GGGCATGGCGGCGTTCTTACCTACTGGAAGCAAGCAGGGATTGTTTGGAAGGCGGCGCGCTCCTAAGACGAAGCGACTCGATGGCTTGGCTGGCGTGACGAAAGGAGGCGGAGGAATCCTGGAAGGCATGAAACGCCAACACCCAAGCTCCGAAACGCCCAAATACCTACATCATGACAAGCTAAAATTAGCTGTGAGCGTGCCGTGTCGTGCTCAGGTGCTCATCGACCGCCAATACTCTACACCTCCGCGCAGCTTCGAAAGTGCGCATGAAGCGAGTCGGTCCTCTCCTGCGCAGAGCCCTTGGACGCCAGATCGGAGGATCTTGTGTGTGGCGTAGTTCGATAACCACGATACACAAACCAGCCATGTCGGCGTCCGATGCGAAGGTGCTCTCCACCGAGCCTCTGGTCAGTACCGCCACGATGCGACCCACGTACCCGGCGCTCATCGCCGGCAGATGATCAGAGACGCAAAGTGGACGACCCTCATCAAGTAGGTCAAGCATTGCACCAAGGCTCGCCGGCGTCCAGACCGAAGGATTACATTCTCGTACTCACCGTTGCCTCTGAGCACGTCGCTATATTGCCGCGTTGTCGCCGCGCTGTGGCGTCCCGAGCATCCGAGCATTTTACATCTGTGCACACTTCCCCCTGAGACCCTGCGACTGACTCTCCCCCACCTCAGAACCACCTACACTGATCCGAATGGGAAAGAGCGGACTTGGGAGTCGGCGCAGCGCCAGACCCGCCCTAAGAACTCCCTCATCGACGGCGTCGGCATCGTAGCCATCCTCGAGAAATCTACCGGTCCCGAACTTCTCCTGCAGAAGCAATTTCGACCCCCTATCGACAAGGTCACCATCGAGGTGCCAGCCGGCCTCGTCGATGAGGGGGAGAGCCCGGAGACATGCGCATTGAGGGAGCTGAAGGAAGAGACGGGATACGTGGGAGAAACTGCGGGCGAAGGGTTTGGCGTTAGTCCTGTGATGTTCAATGGTAAGTCCTCCTGTCACTCGCTGGGATGGGTCGCCCATAAAACTCTCGACGGGACCAACCCGGCCTCATTCTCATGTCCAGATCTTCACTTCGTGGAAAGTTGCCTGACTGAGTGAACTACAGACCCGGGCTTCTGCAACACCAACCTCAACATGATACACGTCACCGTCGACATGTCAAAGCCTGAGAACAAGGCACCGAAGCCGGAGCTCGAGGAGAACGAATTCATCGAATGCTTCTCGGTACCGCTAAAGGATCTGTATGCGCAGTGCAGGCAGCTAGAGAACGAGGGCTTTGCTATAGACGCTAGGGTAGGTACTCTAGCAGAAGGCATAGAGATCGCAAGGCGATGGAAGTTGTGAGGTGAGCGTTGAGGGGTAGCAGCTAACTACGCATAACTGCGATGAATAGATGTACTATATCGTAAGACTAGAATCATTGATTTAACGCCAGATGTCCTCTATCTATGCTGTATCACCGCAAGCGAAGATCTAACACCGAATCGAGCAGCACTATACATGGCTTCAGACGTCGTGTGAGCTCAAAGAAATCCTCCCAAACCCTTTCGTATCAGCCGTAATGCATGTTGCTAAAAAGCATTACCGTTTGACAGCCGGGTAGCAAGGCTGTCGACCTCATTAGATCCCCCTCGGTACTCGTTCGTAAGCAATTCCAACGTATCGTCTCTACAGCTAGCGGCCACGAAGCCTAGATAAGGCCTGCTTGGATCCAGGACGCGGCTTAGATACTCCGGGTGGAACTGCACGCCAACAAACCATGGGTGATCCTTGAACTCAATAATCTCCATTCTCTCGCCTTTGTCGTCTTTGCCGATGAAGATGAGCCCACCAGCCTCCAAGCGCTTGATGTAGTCGGGATTGACTTCGTAGCGATGGCGATGTCTCTCCAGCACCTCGCTCTTCTCCGCGTACAGCTGCCGTAATCTGCTCCACTCGCTGCCAGGCTGGAACAGGGTCGGCCTTAACCCTAGGCGCATAGTAGCGCCCATAGTCTCCTTGTTCAGCTCTGGCATGGAGATAATAACTGGATCGGCAGCCCCGGCGTGGAACTCGGCGGAAGTCGCCTGCTCTATACCGCAAATGTGGCGGGCGAACTCAATGACCGCAATTTGCATGCCGAGACAGATACCCAAATACGGGACCTTGTTCTCACGAGCGTATTTAGCAGCTGCAACCATGCCTTCTGTACCACGCTGACCGAAACCTCCTGGAACTAGTATACCGCCGGCGGAGCACACGGCACCCCAAGCGTTGTGGAATCTGATGGCGTCTTTTGCTTGCATGTGCGGTTCGAGGTGTTCCGCATCGACCCAGACGAGATTAAGCTTACGCCGGCATTTCATCGCTGAGTGCTCAAGAGATTTGATAACGCTAAGGTAGGAGTCGTGCAGCTCGATATATTTGCCTACGAGCACGATATCGACCGTGTCGTCCCAGCCGTTACGTGGCGGCACAGTAAGAGTCTTCCATTGCTTCCAGATACTGTGTCCTTTCTGCACCATTGCAGGCGATAGAGCGGAATCATCGAGCTGGAGTATATTTCGCAGGGATGTGACCAGGCCTTGCTGCTCAAGTAGAAGGGGGACTTGGTAGATGGAAGGCATGTCGCGCACAACGATGACTTGCTCGAAGTCGACCTGGCAGAAGTGCGCAACCTTCTCCACGGTAGGTGGTTCGAGCGGCCTCTCACAGCGGCAAGCAATCTGTAGGACTGCTTGTTAGCATGAGACGAACAAGCTGACGGATCGCTCCCTCACCAAATCCGGAATGAGACCCGCACTCCGAACAGCTTTGATGGCCTGCTGAGTGGGCTTCGTTTTTTGCTCCCCGTTGACAACGGGCACGTACGAGACGTGGATCTGTAGAAAGTTGTTCTTCCCAGCTCTCCTCCGCAGTTGTGTCATGGCCTCCACGAACGGCATGCTCTCAATGTCTCCGACGGTGCCTCCGAGCTCGACGATGCACACATCGGGCGCTTCATTGGTATCATCCACGGGAATCTTAGCAACGCGCTCAATCCAGTCCTGAATGGCGTCCGTAATGTGCGGGACCACTTGCACAGTCTTGCCCAGATAGTCGCCCCTGCGTTCTCGCTCGATGACATGTTGGTAGATCTTGCCGGTTGTGATGTTGTTCTCGCGCGTCAAGGTGATGTTGAGGTAGCGTTCGTAGTTTCCTAGGTCGAGGTCGACTTCTCCGCCGTCGCTGAGGACGAAAACTTCTCCATGCCTTCCATGCAATCAGCCGTCTGGTCGAGGGTATACAGAGCATCGAGCATACTCTTTAGGATTCATAGTCCCGGCGTCGACATTGAGATACGGATCAACCTTGATCGAGGTGACGTGCAAGGGCTGTCAGCATGGCTCGCCGAGTATCGCGCTGAAACGCGCGTTACCAAGGCTCACATATCTTCAAGCCAATCGACTTCAGCAGAAGACCCGTGGAAGATGCTACAACGCGTAAGAATCATCGCGTTGGCGGTCGTTGACGCGACTCTTGTCGACGGCTTCGTCATACCAATAATCCCCTTCCCCACGCCGCTGATGACGCCTGAAGGAGGTTTAGTATAAGGATCTACGGCATACGCTTGTGCTGCTCACCTCCCGATACCAGGACATACTTCGTCTTCTTCTTCTCCTGCTTGGATGGCATGTTTGCGGTGCCTTTCCTGGCTGCTGCCAGGGGGAAGGAGAGAAAACGAAGAGGTCAGGAATTTTTTGATCGTGGACCACACATCGCCCGCAGTGCCTGCCCCACCAACACCAGCGCCCAGGCCGCTGCCTGTAACTAAGTAGTAGACGGAGCTTGTTTCGAGGCGAGTCCGTACTAACCCACTGAACAAGTCTTCCTCTCACCATCGAACAGGCCTCCTCAAGAGAACATCGTTAAACTACCGAGGCATCCCGTGGCATTGGTGCTGTCACGGCTCTTTGCAGCCTCAGCGCGGGCAGGAGCGCGACGCGATCACGCCAGGACGGCCTTGGCACGGATAAGTAACTTCAGTCACTTCAACGATGCACATATTCGAAGACTTCATCATGTCGGATGCACAGCATCAATCACATCGGTATTCGTCATGTCCGCGATGGCCGTCAAAGCCACCGTGAAGACTACAAGTTGGTTTTCGCCCATACGCCGTCCTCCTCATGCCGTGCCTCGAAGGGTATACTGATCCACCAATCCGTAGCCGTCTGAAGCTGAAAGAACCAGCCTAAGGGCCAGCGCGAAACGCTGCCGACCTCTATCCCGCCGAAAAAGAAGCCAGGATTGCTGAATCCAGCAGCGCATCTGACAGTCATCAAATCATGCCGCTGCCGCGGGAACCGTGTCCATCTCCATCGCCCTTCTATTCTTCCCCGGAAGTCGTGCGCTTCCTCACGAAAGACTTATCATTGCCTTTCTTAACCTGTATGTTGCAGCCTTGGAGCTTCAGCGCCCTCGTCAGAGCGCTGCTCGAGCGCATGCCTGGGAAGTCCTTGGCCGTGTAGACGGTGAAAACATCGCTTAAGACTTCTGCCAGAATCGGTGTGAAGCCACCGACATGCAGATTCAGCGGATCTATCCGCATGAGCACGAACCGCAGGCGGTATCTGCCATGGGTCCGGCACGACAGATCTGGAAAGCAGAAGAAGCAGCCCTCCACGTCATGTTCGTCTTTGGCGACTGACGGCGATGCTACCAGTTGGCCCATCAATCTCCGCGTAGTAGGTCGGTCTGGTTGAACCAACGCCGTCTCCTCCTGCGTGGCATCCGCGTTCCACAATGTGCAATGTACAACGTTCAAAGAGTACCGCATCTCGTCGTTGTCTAGTCTGCCAGTTCTCGGGTCCGTTGCAACGAGCTGGACAATCGGAGGTGGGTCTATCACCCTGCGGTCCCGCTCTCCGAATCCACAGGCGCGTGCGGCTATGGGCTGCTGTCGAACTCGAAGCTCGTAGTGAAGTTCTCTGTCGTTCGAGATTAGCGAATCGCCAGCTTAGCAGCCCTTACACTACTTACGAGCTGTCTCGCGGCTGGGCTTGTTGCGACGCCCCGTGCGCAGCGAGCATGTTGCTCGGACCGGCAGCTGCAGGCTCACCGTAGTTCGAGGAAGCAAAAACAGGACCACCAGAGCTGTGCTGCATGCCACTCGATCCTCTGTAGGGCACGTTACTGGGCGGGTAGCCAGAAGTGTAGCTGGGTGACGGAAGTGGAGCATATTGACCCCTTTGTGTAGAATCGGCTGAAGATACGAATGATGAGTCTTGGCTCATGGACCGCGAGTCGTCCGTTGGGTACCTGTCGTATCTTTCCGCCAATCGCGACTGATGCAGCCGGCTCTCGTACTCCGAACGAGGAGACAGTGGCGGGCCATAATATTGGGGTGAGTATGGGGGATCCGATCTTGGGGGTGTATATGGGTGCGAGGTCACCAACTTCTCAGCGGGTACCGCCGCTGAAGTTGGAGGCAATCGTGGAGGCCCTCTGGGCGGATATCCCGACTGTATTGGAGGGAGGGAATGCCTCGCCAAGGACTCATGGTAGTAGTCATGTCGTGCAGATGTCGACGGGATGCTCAGCGGCGGAAGGTGGATGGGCTGAGGGACTCGACGGTAAGAATCCAGAGGCAAGGGAAAATTGGGGAGCTTCTGAGTCTCCGTCATGGCTGGAGGAGGGAGGGCGGCGGTACTTGATGGCTCCCTGGTCGGCTGGGTTGATGGTCGGGACATACGTGTATTATTGTTTGTCCGCGGTGGGGGGACAAGACGCACGCAGCCGCATCTGGTACCCACTTCTTGACGGATTGAGTGCTGTCAGCTGGAGCAGGCCCGAGGCGAGGGTTAGCAGTCTGGGTTAGAGGCGAACGCTGGGCAAAAGCTCCTTGGGTTCGAACATGGCGATCGGGGTGTTTATGTACGCGCACCAGTGAGAGCGGGTAGGGCACCAGAGGTGTATCAGGGTCGCCACGCCTCCACCCGTCTTCAGTCAGACCGGCCTGTCTGCTTCGAGGGTGTCGGCCAGGATACAATCCAGGATTGAGCAAGCCTCACGCCATGGGAAATGTGCGAAGCGGAGGGAACAGGACAAGCCCGCCGACGGACCGCAGCGAGTGCAAAACACCATGTTGGGCGTGACGTATAAGAGAACCCTGCAGCTCGGCAGTTAAAGAGATTGTCTCTGGGCGCAGCGTAGTAGAGCGCTGACAGTCGAGGCCAGGCGGATGCGGTTGAGCCTACTCTGCGAGTAGAAAGGTCCGCGACTCGTTGAGATCAGATTCAGAAACGCTCGCTCGCGACGCCAGGAAGGGTCACGACTACTATCCCGGCTTGGTTTCGTGGTGTGCTGCCGCGCGCTGAGCTAGCCAGATGCGCGCCCACACGATCGCCAAGGGGTCGCTGACTGCTAACTACTCGTCTTCCCATGTCTTTGGGGGAGTGTATGCAGGCATCGCCGTTAGCGGGTGCGTCTGGTATGGCAGCCGCAGAAGCGCACTCTCGGTTCAGCTCCCCAGACGCCGCTATGTGAGCAGAATGCTCCCGGCTGAGGCGAGTTCTGAGGGATTGAGCGTCCAGCGGTGTGTACTACACTACAGTATCTGAGCAGATGCGTGACACCCAGTTTGATACCATCGCTCGGACCGTGCGCTCTGTTTGTGGGCAGAGTACTCTAAACACGACGCTCTACTCCGTACTCCGTACACATGTCCCATCTAGTGGGGGGAGGGGGAGCACCGCGCTCTCAGCTCCCGCCATGGAGACGGCGGGTCGGTGAGGCGGATGGTGTTAGGATTGGGCAGCATGCGGGTGTCAAGACGCAACGCAACGGGCTGCTTCGAAGCCGTGTCATGAAGTAGTTACTGTCGGCCCTGGTCTCGTGCGACTGCTCGCACACGGGCGGCTTGGGGGCTTGGATAACTACCTAGGTAACTGACAGAACGCTGACAGAACGCTGGAGGGGAGCGTTGCTGGTCGATCTCCATCTGCAGCTGTCAGGCGGGGGATGTGGCGCACTAGCTAAGCGGCACGTTGTTGAGGCATGGCCTTGAAACGACCTCGAGCCATGCAGTGCGCCTTGCCTCTTTGCGCTGCACATCCACCGGAAATGCCAGCAGCGCTAGCAGCGCCAGCAGGGAGATCCCGTCCTCGTCCCTGTCCATCGGCCCTGTCCATCGTCCAGCGTCCAGCGTCCTTGCATGTGTGCGGCCCGTGCAAGGAACTTCAAGTTCGCCATCACAAACAAGCTGAAGGTGCTCTCGGTGCTCGGTGCCTTGACCTGCACACCTGCTCGTCAGAAGCCCCCGCTCGCAAGCCACTGGAGCGACGGCCAGAGTGTGCTTGCTGCAGGGAATCGCCTTGCGCGCGCTGCCCAGCCGCACCGGCCTGCTGTTGCGCCCCGGTTGACGGCCGCGCTGCACACCCGGGCTGGCGTCCAACGTCCGGGAGGAAAAAGTGGGCAGAATCGTACGTTGTGGCCGACCTAGGGGATACCCCACATCTCCCCTCGCCGCACACCGCTGCATAAGCGTGAGTATTCGCTTGCATCGACGTTCCAGAGGTGCATCATCGCTCCGTGTTTGTGCAACGCTTTCCGAGATGTACCAAGATGCGATATCAGATTCGACCGCTCCCCTGCTCCAACCACAACGCATACGCCACATCCACCATCACGAGCAAATCACCGCACGGAGACCTTCCTCCGCCCGGCTCACTTTGCCCGCGACAGGCGCCGTTGAGCAGCAAATGAAGCGCTTTCCCCGTTGAGGACTCGCCAGAGCTGTCTGCGGGCTAGACAGGAAGCACACCTCAGCCCGCGCCGGTTAGCTTCATCGTGCCCGAAATCGTCTTCGAGAAAGCCTTTCGCTGCCATCGTGCGAAGCAGACGCCCCACCGGGAGATCCCGTTACTCTCCACTAGAAGCGACCGTCGTGTTTCCTACTCCTCTCCTCCCCATCAAGACCGTAATCTTTATTTCCTGGGCAGGACATTGGGCAACAATTCAGGTTCGATAGAACAGTGCTCGTGACTCGTGCCTGGCCGAAGACGGAGTCAAAGCTCAGCTCCTCGACGTCCAGGGATAGCCATCGTTCTCCGCTAGTTGGTGGCATGACCACAGACTGGGATTCTGGTAAATCATGCAAATAAATCAAGGAAAGCGACGACGCTGGCCTGCTCAGTGGTGGGAATCCGCAAATCGACACCGTTGGAGCCGTTGACGCCGTCATGCTTTGTTTACGCGAGCCAACGGCTTAAACCTTCCGGCCCCCTAACCTCCACCACGGCCGTCCGCATCTCTACACCAGAGATTGAACCCGAGAGGAACAACGAGCGCCACGTGCTCTGCCAATCTATCCATCCGGCTGCTCGTACCTGCTCAGCTATAGGTTGTCTCGCCAGCCGACTTGTTCACCTGCTTGCCAGTCAAATGACGGCAGGGTTCGGGCTCACGATCTCTGGTGGCGTACTTAACGTTCCGCAGATCGCGCGCGTTCGCCGTTCTCCCGTCTGAAACGTCCCGCCTGAAACACGATCACGTCGGCTTGAGAGAATCAGCGCAGGTTGGCTTGCTTCGACGTTACGGCGGTGCGGCTGGACAGCGAGGACGGGCCGGGTGATCTTGGCCAACGGGGGGAACCTTGTCAAGCGAACGGATTATCAAGGTCTCAATCGCCATTGACCGGGCTTGCCTCCAGCGCTGGCACACCTGTCGTTGCCGATCCTCGATTAGCCCACTGTCGTGTCATCGCTCCGTCCCGGATCTTTCCAAGGGAAGGAGCCGTTCTCAACATCGGCTGCAGCGCCGGGCTTGTGGCCACAAGAGCTAGGTTCATCGCTCCAGGATGCCCTGTCAAACCACGGCAACTTCACGAGGACGGTCTTCTGACGCTGCAGTCTTTGCCGTATGATTGGAGATCCGGGCCGCGTATGTCACAGCAACGAACCTGGATGAGGGCTTCAGGTTGATCAGCCGAGCAACCGTTATCCGGGTCGTCTGAAGGATGTGGCAGCCATGGAGATTGCTACCCTATCTCGGTGATATCCGATCACAGCCACCACCTCCGTGGGCAGCTTCTGTCGGGCTCATGAACAGAGCATTGTAGCGACAGGAACGAACAACTGGATCTATCTGCCCTAGCCTCAATTTCGACTGCAAAGCCCGGTTCTCAACTAAAAACTCTACTTCAACCACCCCTTTTGCTACTATCCTCGCGCTAAGTGTGATTGACAGGATCCACTTGCAGGATATCCACAAAGGCCACATAGACTTTCGGATGCTTGCGATCGCTTCCACAAGATGCTTGCTCGGTCATCGAGACTCTAGCCTTGTGTGTTCGAAAGCACGCAGTGGAGTTCAACAAACCGCCGCACTTCCCAAGTCTGTTTCAGAACCTGCAACTCCGCCCTAAAGCACCTCATCGCGATGGTCAAGCAGGGACTCGACCAGCTTGACCGTAGCCCTGACTCCGACAAACTGCCGCAGTCAATCAGCACCGACGGGAAGCGACCCTAGCACACAACGGGCTCTGACAGCGGTGCGGGGACGCAGTTCTAACGCGGACTAATTCCTCCTATTGGCTGGAGAGCATTGCCTTCTTCCAACGACATCTCTATCTTGTGTTCTTCCTGGTAAGATTCGCAACCGCAATGTCGTGTACTCGTACGTTTCGACACTGCCGGCGCAAGTCCGATCCCAGCCGGATGTTGACCAATGGCATGTGACATCCGAGTTGTCGTGGAGGACTCTAATCCGGTTTTGTGTACAATCCTTCGGTCAAAGCCATTTCTGTGGATAAGGTAGCCTCTGACTAAGACCAGACCTGGAGTTCCAGCCGTGCGATATGGTTTCTTGACTGCTGGTGCCCTCAACTTGCCAGACCTACGGAATTTCTACGAGTACAGTATCACGCTAGACGGGGGTAAAGCCTCACCACGAACGTAGAATTCAGGGCTCCGTCGACAACAAAAATCCTCTTAGGATCAATGTAATACCCCACCACACGGTCTAAATTGCTAACCTAAGGTTTGCCATTCTATCACTCACATCTAGTGGTGATTGTAGTAGGTGATCACGGAGTAGTTTGTGAACTTGACGGCGAACGAGCGCTAGATAGGTTTACGCGGTAAGGCTTTTCCCCACCCGACATAAGTATTTCGATTAACCAACTATCCTTGTCCTCTCACCGCTCTTTCCCGGGGTTTGATCAAGGTGCTGAGCGCAGTCGAGTATGTCTTACAGCGGCAGGTGATTGTGCTTGCTGGGCAAGAGCGCCATCAGCCTCGGAATGATTTTCCATTTTCTTGCGAAGGGGATATCATAGTCCGGTCACGTGTATTGCTGGGAGGAGATGGGTTTGCTACCCATCATTACTGCTTCGTCAAAGGGTTCTTGCTTGTTACATCAACATCTCTTGCGTAGCATTTCTCCCAAGAGATGCCGAAGTAACGTATTGAGTTTGCGGATAATCACCTTACTCCCGCATCACGTCGAGTCGTCCCCTACCCGATTTCTCCAGTTCCGCCGCGCTCCCAACCCTCTGCAACGTAAATACGACCATTAGGCTTATGATGACTGGTCGTAGTGTAAGCAGCGCTTCCACATCACAACGCCAGATGATAGCATGGCTGGCTCCGTTTCATGACTAGGCGATGCCACCACCTTTGAGGGGTCATCGAAGGGGCAAGGCTCAGCGACTCCCGTGCTCAGCGGCCTATGGAGATTCCTGAGTCAAACTCTCTCTTCCGTGGAAGTTCTCGTCAGTAAAAGCGCTCGGCTTGTAGTTCTTCGTAGCTAGATATAGTGCTTGTAATGCCAAAACACGTCTCCAATCCGCGATAATGCCGAACCGCGTCGCTCGGTGTATGAAGTAAATTCATATGAACATTCGTCGAATGCAGAGATCATCTTCTTCACCCGTAGGCATACCCCCCGCAACTTCGTACCATGAGGCCAAGAACAGCGCGCGGGGAAGGCCGTCGTGGACGTAGTTGTTTCTTAGGTTGCTTAATTAGTGAATAGAAGTAAGAGAGGTGTAAGGACAGATAGTCCTCTAACGACTTAGATGAGAATGGAAGGAGGGGGGGTGACAGATATATAGTCTGCTAAGAGATTGATGGTAAAAGTATCAATTGCTGCCGAGAGAACAGAACTGTCGAGGAAGGATGCTAGTCTAAGTTGCTGCTGTGCCGCACGGAAAGTCGGGTATGTGTGTCCAGTTGCTAAAGTTCTGTAGAATTCTGCTTCACTCGATCGGAAGGCAAGTATGTTCCTTGTAAGATTAATGCTTGTTGCACGACTTAGTACAGCTTGTTCGCTAGAATGAAAACCGGCAGATCATACAATACCGAGGCCTCTCGGAACTATAGCGCGATTACGAGATCTATATCGGGGTTGGGCACTGTAGTAGATAACATGAACTGCGATATGCTTATCACTAGACGAGCAGACGGCTTGGCTCGGTCACTTTGATACTTACGTGACCTGCATAGACGGAAAAGACATTGGAGTACTTATAAACGCTGGACACTACGGACTGAAATACACAAAGTGGATAACATTGCTGGTCTCTCACTGCGGCGTATGTACATGAATAAGCAGGAATAGATATACCTAGTGTGCGTGGCTTCGGGACAGAACCGTGGTCTTCGCCGCCCGTCCATCTGCAACACATCCAATCTCAAGCTTATTCATCCATACCACAGGCAACATTATCTCCTCTTGGCCGTTGGTTCGGCAACGCCTACTGCATCACCCTGCCATCATGAGAGGGCGCGACGGGTCTTCCGAGGCTTTGGGACGGAGCTGCATTTTCCCTTCCATGTTGAAGGGGGTAAAGGTGATCACGTGTTCGCCTCGGGATTCATCGGTATGGTGTAAGTGTCGCTGGTCGTCGATCGAGTAAGCCGCGGTCGCTCGGCTATATGGATCTCTAATCACGGTGTCTGACCGTGAGGTAGGTAGCCAGTTCACACACAAGCAGTGCCTGTATCTCTTACGGTCAACCATCAGGTGTATCACTGGTTCGTCGGCGGGCTACAGCTCTCCCATTCGTAGTCTCCTCGCCGCCATCGTCGCTCTCGGTGTTGTCGCCATTCACAATTTCCACATCATCGTCGTCGATCGCTTCAATCTCATCTCCCAACGGGCTTTCCCTCGGCTCCAGGAGTTCCAAATCCTCGAGATGAGTCCTTGGCGGCAGCTTCCACAGACTCGTTGCGCACACCCTGTCCTTCGTCAAAAGGTCATCGATGAACTGATCCATGAACGTCAAGGTGAACCCCTCCCTCGTCCGCCTCTTTAGCTTCCTGTAGTCCGCCAACAGCGGCTCAAGCGTCCGGTAAATCTCCACCGGCTCCCAGGCCAATCTGATATAGAACGCAGCCAGCGCCCTCAAGTACTTGAATTCGCCAGGCCTGCCCAGCGTGATGCCCTCATTTTCCTCTTCCTCCCCCTGTTCCCCCTCTTCATCGCTCCAGTTGAGGTATTCCAAGATGATATCCCTCTCCGGCACAAGCTGCAGCAGCTTGAAAGCCAGACACAGAAACGGCGTAGGTTTGCCCATGCCTCCGTACGTCCCGCCTATGAAGGTGAGCTCGACAGCGCGGTTGCATAGCGTGGCTGCATTTAGACCAAAGCATTGCTCCTTCCAATAGTAGGATTCTGTGATGCGGTCTCGGACGGCTTTTTCGAAGAGGAGCGCGGGGTTTTGGCCGCGGATGAGGGCGCCGCTGTAGCCGCGGTCGTCGAGAAGGGCTTTCGCGTCAGCTTGGTGGGAGGACATGTTGGGCTGGCTCCTAGAGGGGTTCCGGTGAAGAGGCGACTTCTTGTCCCCGGATGGTGCGCGGTTCGTGTTATAAGCGCTGAATCATGAAGCGCCAGAAGGTGGCGGGCCGCGATTGTCGACGCGTCGAAGGTTGTGGAGAGAGCAACGAAAAGCGCAGATGGAGCTCCGCCAAGATTTCGCTCCTATCTCCATGATAGTCGCCTGGTCGACTTGTGTAAACATTGGGAAAAGGCCATCCGCGTCATATTCAGTTGGGAACTCGGATGCACTAGCGGCCTGCATATTCGAGCATTCTGCCGGAAATTGTTCGAGAATTTGCATGTCGCTGGTATGGTGTTACTCACGGGAGGCCAGGTGTCTATGGCCATCTCGTCCGCTATCGGTATCGTTTTACTTATTGTACAGAGAACAGTAGCTAACGCAGCCTGTAGTATGCTTTTTTACCACAATCCTGTTCCTCGCCGGCTATGTGCTTCAGCAGCAGACAGTATCAGACCTCCAAGCCGTCATCAAGCCACATGTACCCTCTCCGATAGCGCCACCTGTACCTCCCCCACCCCCGACAAACCCAAATGCAAGAGCCGCTCGTCCCGTAGGCGCAAGCTTGAAGGCATATGGAGAGCTCCAAGCATACCTGTCTTCGGGGCCGAAGTCGATCGACTGGAGCAGGCTGGCGTATACACAGCTGGTGAAAAACCATGCCGACGTATGTAGCGCGGTCATGCTGTTCGGGGATCTGCATCGGATGAAGAGTCCCGCAAGGAGAATACTCTTGTTTCCACAAGCATGGGCGATAGGTGGGAAGGGAGAAGTGGAAGACCCCTGGGTAGAAACGAGCCGCAGGCTACTGAGAAAAGCGGCGAGGCGATACAGAGTAATTCTGCAGCCGATGACAACTATGGCACATGGAGGTGATGGTGAGTGGTGATACAAGGGGGTCTCTGGCGATGCGAAGGAACCAACTGACCCGCTAGCCACAGATTCGGTAGCCTCCTCCTATTCACTTGCGACCCTGTTCGCTCTTAAAGATTACGACCGCGTTCTCCAGCTGGCAACACCCGGGCTTGTGCTCGACTCATCACCTCTCGACTCAATCCTAGGCTTTGGACGTCCGGAGCCACTGTCTGCTCTTCCAGTGGACGACACGCGCAAAAATATATCGATGACTCTTCTACTAGCCCGCCCATCTTCCAAGTCGTTCGAAGACTTGTTTCAGCAGTGGTCATCCGCTCCGACCTCCGACCTCGAGCTTTTCCGCCAAAGCTTTGCCGCTCCTCACTCTCTTCTCCCTCCACACTTTCACAAGCGAGGCGTAGTCACAGACACAGCATCCTTGCGAGATGTTCCGGAACAATTTAATACTACGAGCTTCTTAGACCGGACTGCATACGTGCATCTTTTTGATCCAGGACTGCCGGGCCCGGAGTACGATGTGCCCTATTCGGAACGACTGCGCTTTAGACCTCGACACGATGACGCGAGTTTCCTGTGGGAACGGTTCTACGAGACGTACAGACAGAGGAGGATGGATGTCTGCGGGCTGGACCTGGAGACCTGGCAGCTGCCGGTGGTTGCTGTAGATCCAGCCCCGGAAGCTGCTACGGGAACAAGAGAGGCAGGAGGCACGGCAACGCTAGCTGTTGAAGATGTAAATGACAAACCTATAGAGCATGGCGATGCATTGTAACGAAGGCGTCCACAAGAGCAGAGCGTTCCTGGAGCATTTTGTGGAGCAATGGCGTTGTGAGTCGCAATTGTAGTTATCCGGGACCGATGTCTCTGTTGATCTATCGAAGGAATCCGGACAGGAAGCTGGTCGGCATGCATGGACTGTACGATCATAACTGATACGAACAAGTGTGATCTTATGTCTCCTTTCAATCTCCTTGCACTGTCACGGTAAGAAGGCTTGAGAGACTGCAAATATGCTGCTTTGACGGGTTGACGTCATAGTGATAAGGTGTCGCAGGTATCGAGGGACATGGGAACCTTGGTGCGCGAGCACCTGAACAAAACAATCACGCCCTCAGTTTTCCGACAGTCTCTTGTTGAGCATCTCACGACTGTTATCTCGCATTACTGCATTGGCCATACTGACCCAAAATCCAGCCGCACATCATGGCGCCTAAGAAGATTCTCATTATCATGTCCGACTCCGACCACTTTCCTCTGCACAACACAGGTACCGAAGGCAAGACCGTGCCCCAGCCCTCTGGCTTCTTTCTAATGGAGCTCGCCAAACCGTTGCAGAAGATCCTCGATGCTGGATACGAAGTCACCTTCGCCTCGCCAAAAGGCAATGAGCCCAAGCCGGATCCACTTAGCGAATCCCTCATCGCGTTCGCCGGAAACTTCTACGAGCGCCAGCGCGAGAACGAGCTCATTGAACGCATGAAGCGCGAGAACGGATTTGCTTCTCCGAGGAAGTTCTCCGATATCTCAGATGAAGAGCTGGAAAGCTTCGCGGGTGTATTCATCCCAGGCGGCCACGCGCCGCTGGCAGATTTGGGTGACGATCCTGAGCTCGGGCGGATCTTAAAGCACTTCCACGCAGAGCATAAGCCTACTGCTGTCATTTGCCATGGTCCATACGCTTTTCTGTCCACCAAGGCCGCAGGAGACGGACAATTCGCGTACAAAGGATATAAGATTACGAGCTGGTCGGATGCGGAAGAGAAGATGATGGAGACGATGCTGCGGGGCGAAATCGACAAGGTGGAAAGCAATCTGCGGGACGCAGGAGCGGACATGGTGGAAGGCGTTGGGGAGAAATTTGGAGCCATCACCGTGGACAGAGAGGTCGTTTCGGGAGGAAATCCATTGGCTGCAAACGCGCTAGGAGACAAGTTCTTGGAGATGCTGAAATCGTGAGGGGAGACGGCTTGTGAGATGCGTTCAGCGGAGCGTTCGATACACCGTAATGTGTATGAAGATTGCTTGCTAAGAGCTATGCGTTTGCACCCGGCCCGGAGCTTTGAAAAACTCTCGATAGGAGTCTCTCACGTAAATCGAATAGTTCTTGAAAGTTAGCTAGGGTACGCTTACCGTTTCAACATGATGTCCGCCTTTAGAGGATGTTGCTATATGCAGTCCATGAGAAACTATAGGGCAGGGTCCAAGTTTGAGAAAGTCTGGTCTAGAATGGATTGATTGCTTCATATAGAGAAATGTGCTTGCCTACAATTCCATGACAATATCAGTAACCACACCTACTAATAGAGAGTGGTAGTCTTGCGGTCGGCATAAGAGTCGCCTCGGCCATGAGACGGCTCGAACTGAGCTTTCGTTGACCGTGACTGACCAAGGGACGAGACACCAGTGGCTTCCCGGCTGCTCTCCCGCCCTGGTACCAAGGTACCTCGATGAGGAGGGGAAGGACATCGTCCCGCTACGACATACGAGGCTTCTGATCATGGCTTGATCCTTACGGGGTTCGGCCTAGCCCTCGCTCCCCGCACCAGCTTGCTGCTCTGCTCTCCAGCAGCTCACTCTCAAGCCGCTCTCTCTCACCTCTCCCTTCACTTGACTACCCTACTGCTGCATACCTATATCGCACTGTGGCCGTCAATTGCTCAACTGCCGCTCCCTGTCACCCGCCTTCCGATTGCTCGCTCCAGTGCGCGCTTCACCACCTTACCCCGCCAACGGACTTAAAGCTTGTGGAGCTCAGCTGGAAGCTGTGGTTCCTACTAGTAGCGTCATTCGTGGAGCCGATACCTTACTTACTCAACCTGTGCGGTCAGCCCACTTTCTCTTTCCTCTCCAATTCAGCGTCGATACCGGCAGCGTGCAGCTGCGCAGCGGTTGCTTCTGGGTGCGATAAACATCGGCAGAAGCCGCCCTGCAGGAGCTCACTGCGGGCACAGGTAAACGCAGATTCCATTCCTCCCGGAATTGACTTGCCGCTCTCGCTTCTATGCCGACCCTCGGATTCCTAAAGAAGAAGCGGACGAAGGACTCGTCCGGCTCAAAGGATCTCGACTCACCATCGTCGCCGGCCAAAGACCAGTTCTCACCAATAACACACACCACCTCCAAATCCTCCGACCTCTCGCGAGCTACGACCAACAACTCAACGCTGTCCAAGGTCACGACGTCGGGCTCATCGCACGAGCAACAATCCGCGCAGACCAACGACTCAATGTACACAACGCAAAGCTCACATCAGCCAACCCAGCCAAGCATACAGAACCTGATCCACCCATCCAATGACGGCAAGACTGGAAACGCGAATGGAGCCGCGGCGCATCCGTCGCAGAGGGCCACCAAAGGCAAATACACCCTCCAAGACTTCGATTTTCAACGGACGCTGGGGACGGGCAGCTTCGGCCGGGTGCACTTGGTGCAGTCGAAGCACAATCAGCGGTACTATGCGGTCAAAGTTCTGAAGAAGGCGCAGGTAGTCAAGATGAAGCAAGTGGAGCATACCAACGACGAGCGTCGTATGCTGGGCATGGTCAAGCACCCGTTCCTGATCACGCTCTGGGGCACATTCCAGGACTCGAAGAACCTGTACATGGTCATGGACTTTATCGAAGGTGGTGAACTGTTCAGCTTGCTACGGAAATCGCAAGTATGTGCAACAGATGTGTTTGTGGAGATAGCTACTGATGCCATTGGTTTAGCGTTTTCCAAATCCGGTCGCTAAGTTCTACGCCGCTGAAGTAACTCTTGCGCTGGACTATCTCCATTCGATGGATATCATTTACCGTGACTTGAAGCCCGAGAACCTCCTTCTCGATAGGCACGGTCACCTCAAGATTACGGATTTCGGCTTCGCCAAGGAGGTGCCAGACATCACGTGGACACTCTGCGGCACTCCAGATTACCTAGCGCCAGAAGTAGTCGCCTCGAAGGGATACAACAAGTCTGTGGACTGGTGAGTGTTATTGAGGGACTGCAGGACTAGTAGCCGCAGTCGTTCAGCAAGCTGACCGCGGATAATGCAGGTGGTCACTTGGCATCTTGATCTTCGAAATGCTCTGCGGGTTCACCCCTTTCTGGGATGGAGGTTCGCCCATGAAAATCTACGAGAACATTCTCAAAGGACGCGTCAAATATCCACCTTACGTCCATGCAGACGCTCAGGATCTACTTCAGAAGCTGATCACCCCCGACTTGACTAAACGTCTCGGCAATCTGCACGGCGGAAGCAAGGATGTGATGCAGCACGCTTGGTTTGCGGAGGTCACGTGGGACCGCTTGGCGAAGAAGGACATCGACGCCCCGTACGTACCACCGGTCCGCGGCGGCGCCGGTGACGCCAGTCAATTCGACAAATACCCTGAGGAGACGGAAGCATATGGACAGACCGGTGATGATCCGTAAGTTCAGGAATCCTGGGACGCGCGTGAGAGCTCATAGCTAACCTTGTGGCAGTCATGGACATTTGTTCCCGGACTTTTAGAGTGCCAGACGCAGGTGCAGCTCTTACCACGAGGGCGTTGGCTGCCAGAGCTGGGGCTGCAAAGACGCAGCGTCATGTTTGCGAAACTTGGGCGAGGCCAAGCCTTCAGGCCTTGTAACGAGAAAGAAGGCCGCCTTAACTGTGTCGGAAGGCGATGAATTGAATGGCGGGATGGTCGGGTTTCCTATCTCTATCACATTCCTAATGTTCCACGGATGGCTCAGTAGGCGGCAACGGGGACAGTTCGGAGGCCAGATCGCTTGCGATCGCATTCCTTCTCTGAGGTTTCTCGAGTTTATTGAGATATGTGTGTATTATGACGGAATGTATTTCGTGACTTCGAATTGGTGCATTTGGAGTGTAAAGCGACGGGGCCATTCAAAAGTGATGACCAGGGCTTACAAGCAGTCTGCAACGTCATCTGCATCGACTCAGTCTTTGGGTAACTTACTAGAGAGGCAAATCGGACAAGCAAACTGCCTAAAGCTAACAATAAGCAAGAGATGCCTGGCAGTTTGTTCATGTTCGCCTTCTCGTTAAGCTGGAGCGACGTTCATGATTCGTCCGGCGTAGGAATATCCGCAAACTCTCAGGGCGAACCGCCTTGGAGTCTGGAAAACTGGGGGCGACGACCATGCACAGGGGAACCGTTCAATCAGCGACGAGCATCGCGGTAGCCAAGAGCGGGTGGCTCATGGTGCGAAGCTTGGTGGGTGGGTGGGTGGCTATGCACCTGCCCGGTCACGTATCGACGACCGACAGACTTACCCAGAGTACCCAGAGTACCCAGAGTGTGACTTCTCACACCAAGTTACCGGTCTACGACATCAGGTCCTTGTTTGCCTTCTCAACTCCGTAAGGTTCAGAGGCCCGCTCTTGTTCGGCGCACATCTGTCGCTTGACTTCCTTCCATCTACCTTCAGCACGGCTTCAGGCGCGAGGCTCTTGCCGCTACAGCGTCTTATCTCGTCCAGTAGCGATGTAAAAGAGGAGCCATAGTCTGGAGGACAACGGACATCGACCACACTTCAGCAACATGACGCTTCTTCAATTCGGCCATGGCCACCACCACAAGCGGAAACAGGAGCTGCTATGCGACCAAGCCAAGCCTCAAGCCTACCCGAGCAATAGGAATCCGCTTCCACGGTCAAGGATTAATTCTCCAAGCACGGGAACACTGCCTCCAGCTGTAGTATCATCGCAGCAAGTGCAGCGGACTCCATATCCCACTTCACCACCAAACAACAGGCCCTATACCCAGCCTCAACCCCAGGCGCCCGTCCAACCACAGAAGTACTTGTCACCGCCGGCCACCCAACCAGCAACGACCAACAGACCAGCGCCAATGGTAGTATGGCAACCACCACCAGAGCATCGCAGCAGCAGTCCTCAGTGTGCGATGTTAAAGTCAACACTCAATCTTGGAGCTACGCTAGCAGCGCCTTTTAATGCCGCAGCAGCGTCGGTCAACAACTTGCATGACGGCCTGCACCAAAGAACGACCGAGTATATGAACCAAGGGGCCGCTTTGTGTGATATTATTTCCTCCAGACTGAACGCTATCATCACCTCGATTGATGGCGAGGTTTTCAGTGGCAACGAGAACGAGCTCGGTAAGACCACCTCGAGCCGCAACTCCTGGACAACTGCCCTTGCTGACACTCTCATAGTTGTCAGTCAGACACCACCGCCTCCCTACGCTGGGCCCTTGGTCCTGTCAGCTGATGCTCCAGGAAGTGCCAACACTAGAGCATCTCCATCACCTAATGGTTCAAACCACTTCTCTAAGGTCTGGCTGTATGCGAACTCTCGCATGCCGCCGCATTTACCGCCGCTCAAAGTGTAAGGGACTCACAAACGTACCATGGCATTAGTTATGAACAAGTACTAAGTCCATCGCAGCTACCTGCCAACATGGCCGTTGCTGTGCCTCGCAGCTCAGTACTCTGAGCGAGTCTATGCGCGACCTACGTCTGCTGAACACGAGTCCCATATCGAAGCCGACTGGCGAGCCGGCACAAAGGCTATGGTGCTGAAGAGCGTACTCAACGATGACACCAACACCATCGTCTTTGCCATTCGAGGCAGTCAAACTTTCATGGACTGGGCAGTCAACTTCCGCCCCGCCCCATCGTCCCCTGAAGGATTCTTGGACGACCCTGGCAATCTTTGCCATGCCGGCTTTCTCCACGTCGCCCGGTCTATGATCCGTCCTGTCGCTGCCCGCCTTCGCCATCTTATTACGGAAAGTCCCGCAAGGGCCTGCAAATGCTCGCTCCTGATTACAGGTCACTCTGCAGGCGGTGCGGTGGCAGTGTTGCTTTTCGCCCATATGCTTTCCACCAGCGTCTCCTCGGAGCTCACAGAGCTGGTACCGTTCTTTAAGCGCGTCCACTGTGTCACCTTCGGTGCGCCTCCCGTCAGCCTCCTCCCTCTGCAGAAGCCAGAGCGGGACGACTGCAAGAAGAGCCTCTTCTTTGCCTTCGTCAACGAAGGCGATCCGGTTCCAAGAGCTGATCGAGCCGTTGTCGGTAATCTCGTGAAGTTGTACACAAGTCCGTCACCGGCGAGTATCTGTTCCAGTACCATCAATCTGGGCACAGCGCTTTTGCCGTTGAAGACAGGGAAAAGCAAGAAACCGGCCGCGAAGAAGCTGACGACAGGGGCAGATTACTCCGGGCCACTACCATCATGGAAGGTGCCCCCCAGTACGCTGAGTAATGCTGGCAGGCTAGTGCTGTTAAGGAATACGGCTGGTGCTCCTGCTGGTCAGGAACACATCGAGGCATCAACGGTCACTGATGCGCAGCTCCGCGAGGTGGTGTTCGGTGATCCGATTTGTCACATGATGAAGCTCTATGCCCGGCGCATAGAGATTCTCGCGACAAGGGCAGTCACTGCTGGCGGCTTCGGTTGATCATGAATCCAGGATCTTGATTACTCACAGCTTGCCACGCGGTGCTCGGCGAGAGGACCGGAACATCTTGGTCGACATTTGATCGACTGTTTAACTACAAATTCCGGAGAGAGACAAGCTCGAGAAGAGAACAGCGCTCGGTAGCGGTCGAGGAACGTCAAAGCAGCGAAGACGCACGACCGGACGTTCAGATCCGCCTTACTTCATCAACGTATGCGGTAGTCCGGGACAGTGGAGTAGTATATCTGCTTGGTACAAGCACTTACGATGATAGATACGAAACCGACTGCGCAGAGGAGCGGTCGTCGTGCATCGTGGAGCCTCTCAACAGCGTGTTACCGGTCACCGGCCATCGGAAAGGACAGCTATCGCAGGCTCACAAACCCCGCTATTGAGGGGGTTATTGGATATTGAGTACTGACTGGCGATACGCGCCTATTGAGGCGTGCATTGTGATGAGTTCAGAGCTTGGATGTGTCCGTAGGGTTTGTGGAATATGGTTTCACCATATTGAAAGATTAATATATTAGCTTTCTCAGTCTCGCGTTGACGCCATTGTCACTTTCACGACGTATCAAAGTCCGTTACTGAACAGTTGCCTTCGCTTAGAATCACTCGTGTATATGTCTCGCCACAGTAACTACCCGCTCGGCTCCACTGAAGCCCTTCGGACGGATAACCACGCCCAAGAAATCCCCATGTTAGAGGTGGCACCGCTCTCGGTCATGGAGAATTATCTCAAACGGTTGATCGTTACGATGTTTACATATTCTAGCTGGGCCCGCTTCACCGGCATCTTCCACTGAGCGAGGAGTTCACTCGGTCTCTTGCCTACTATTTAGGACTGCAGCGAGATGCATTCTGCGCCTAGTGGGCTCCAGGCAGTCGATGCAGTGCCCCATGACACTGCTGAATGCTGTCGTGTTCGACATCCGTTCCACGCCGAGGGAAGCCGATAGAGACCCTCAAGTCCTCACTATAAATTCACGACAACTTGTTAAAACGCGGTGGCTGTTGCGCTGAGGTGGCTCGCGATCACTCGGCCCCTACTGTTTACAAACCCCTTTGACCCGGTTGCTGCCGCATTTATTTTCCAGACCTGAAGCGTGGCAACCGAGTGAAGGTCCCCGGATGGTCCTCTGCCAACGTCATCTGCCTTGACAGCGTCATAGGGGGCTTATGGATCATTCGCCAAAAGCCCCGCTTAACTTCCTTTCCGTGACTTCCTCAAAACCTAATACCTTCTCGGTCTCCTCAGTACAGCTCTGCCCACTTCTACCAGAGTGACATAAAGCGACACACAACTAGTGAACATCTCTTTCTCAGAACTCAAAGCTCACTACGCACAATGCTCCTCCACTTCGTCCTCCTCCTCGCCGCCCTCGGGCCCCTCGCATCAGGCACCTTCCTGCAGCAGAGCGCTGGGGCAGATACACCGCCCGTCGGTCTCTTCGGCCACGAAGAGTACGTTCACGAAGCTCTGACGACCGACTTACCGTGTGCTTCGGCGCCATCCTCTCTGCCCACGCCGTTCACACCGCCGACCGCGACTTCGAGCACCTTAGGGGTTGCACCTACCGCTGTCAACGGTGCGGAAACCATAAGCAGCAAAGGACAGTGGCATACCAGGACCTTCTCGGCTTGATTTATGTCTGCGGTAAGTGAGTCTGTAACTAAATGATACGGTCGCTGGGGGTTTTGCTAAGAGTTATGCGGCATCTGCTGACGTTCAGTGCGCTCATGCAGAGAGTCTTTGTACGATATTCGACTAATCGCCTCTGCCGACGCGGGATGAAGATACTGGCCGGCGGATGGCCTCCGCTGCACGCAAAGACAGACAAGCAGGCTAGCGGCAGGAGCTCACCACAGACTCCCATTCTTTCACCGTTATCAGTGTCGGTTCTGCACTTGTGCCTGGCTGGGCTGCGGGCTCGATGCGGACGGAAGGGACTCATTTCTGTGTTCTTCTGAATTTCTGATATTCTTCATCCTTTGCGTAACTGATGTAAATGTAAAATACAATGCTCCTTAGCCCCCAGCATATCGGGCTGCCTAAGCAAGTGCTCATCCTTTAAGAATGAGTCCATAATGAACAACGGAGATGAGCTCAGTACAACGGTGCAAACACACAGTCCACAGCGGCGCTAGGAGTCCACCGTTGTCAGACTTTCGTATCGTGGAGTCGTATGCCACTACAATGGCCGCTGACTGAAGGTCCAGTAACTGCAATAGCACGGCTCAGTCGATGGCATACGGGAAAGGAAACGTAAAAGACTTTTTGAACATATTGGCATGATGGGTGGACGAAACCGCTAGAGAAGAAGCGTGGTAAGCGTGGTGAAGTTGATGGGTTTCGGTAACTGTGGAATCTGGAGACGTTTGTCGGTCGGGTGAAAGGCACAGTACTGCTCCCTAAATGATATGGGGACGGCGTTGGCCCGATAGTGAAGTCTGATTGTACTCGCGCTGCGTTGATGAGGTTCGCAGATGGAAGCCGTGGTCACGTGCAGCTGGACGCAAAACATTCCATCACACGGTTGCAGTAACTAGTCAGGTATAAAAGTTGTCTGTGAGTCATGCTACCTAGGCCCTGCTCGATCTCTTTCACACCCTGAGGAGTACATGACGCCGAAATAAAGCAGCAACTTTTAGCAAGCAGATGGAGAGGATATCTACACCCGGTGCATCACAAACCAGGTGAAGATCAACGCCAATGATTAGAATCTGATGATCGTAAGTGTGGATACGCAAAGAAAGCATGGGCGGCGTAAGCGCGGAGAAGTTCCTCCTTACATCCCAACATGAATGCCCTCAGCGGTAGCACACGGGTCCGGAGCGAAGATGACGTTGCAGTGCTCCCACTCCTCGTCGTTGGCGAGCCTGACGCGGAACTTGAGAGCATCGTAGATATTGTGGAAGCGGAACTCGACGGTACGGCGCTGTGATATAGTCAGCAACGAAACCTCTAGCCGCGAAGATGCCTACTCACTCCTGACGGATTTTGGCCGTTGATGACACGCTCGACCTTGCGCCCATCGCCGGCAGCAAGCTTCGTCAAACCACCCATACCCCACTCCTCATCTACCCCGATGGCGCGGACACAGCGCGTGACACCCGCGTCGTAATGGCCGCGAAGCATGTCGTGCGCCGGGTCGGGGTCCTTGCTGGGCTCTACCCAGACGATACGGTCGTCGTCGGGGACCTCAATGCCGTTGCTCGTCTCGGCGAGGTACTTCGCGGCATCATCGCCACGCATGAATACGACCCAGGCGGATGTGGAGCCAGGCGTGTACACAATTTGTTCAATGCGACCGCCCCAGACGAGGGCTTGGATGCTGGAAACAGTTGAGGTCGAGAGGAGATTCGTGAGCTGGACACGGCGGACTTTCGCGGCTATCAGGACTCGTCAGTAACTGAAGCATTGCACGCTGCAGTTTAGCTCGATGATGCTGTGGGTGTCTTGTCTGACTTACGTCCATGCGGCCGTTCAGCAGGCTTCGGCCATGCCGTGAACTTCAACACGCCCTCAGTTTCAACGTTCTCCCTGCTAGTCGGTGCACCGAACGGTGGATTCACGGCCGTCTCGTCGGTGGTCGTCGATCCAGCTGGCGTGCTATCGGTTGCGGCAGATGTTGCACTGGTGCTTTGAGAACCATTGAGTGCTTTCGGGGCGGTGGGAATGACCTTCTCAGCCAGAGCCTTGGCAGCAACGATGCTCTTTTCAATGATCTTTTCGGCCTGGGCCTTCTCTGCAGCTGCAGCCTTCATAGCGGCCTCCAGGTCATGCTCTCGCTTATCCAGCTTTTCGCGCTGGTCCTTTGCGAGCGCCATAAGTCGCTCTTTGAGAGCATCAAACTTGGCCATATGTTTAGTGGCTTCTTCGACGACTGACTTGGCGTGCTCTTCAAGCTGCGACTGTTCGGCAAGCTTCTTCGTGGCTTCGTTAATTTGGGAGATACACTCGTCCTTGATGCGGCCGATATCGGTCAGGCGTTTCTGTTGGTCCTCCATTATGTTCAAGGTGCCTGTACGCATCCTCTCGACCCTGTTATCATCCGCGGCTATCTTTTCGAACCTATCCTTACGAGTATTCTTCAAAGCCTCCAGTTGCTGGGCCAGTTTATCGAGGACTTCCTGTTCCTCAGCGACCACACGTTCAGCGTTCTTTTGCTCTGCTTGGAGGAGAGACTGCTCTTCGGCCCGACGCATCGCTTCTTTTTCAGCCTCGATCCGCTCTTCCTCAGCTCGCTTCCTTGCCTCTTCCTCGGCTTGCTTCCGTGCCTCTTCCTTTGCCTTGGCCTGCTTCTCTTCCTCCGCCCGCTTCTGTGCCTCCTTTTTCGCCTTGATCCTATCTTCATCCGCCTTACGCCGAGCTTCCGCCTGCTGCTTCTGATGCATTTCCTCCGCAGCTTTACGGCGAGCCTCCGCCTCCATCTTTAAGCGGACATCTTCAACAGCCTTCCTGCGAGCTTGCTCCTCAGTTTGACGAAGTGCATCCTCTTCAGCCTTTCGGCGTGCCTCAGCTTCGGCCGCAGCTGTCTTACGGGCCGTCTCTTCGGCCAGGCGGCGAGCCTCATCTTGAGCCTTTCGAAGTGCTTCAGCTTCAGCAGCTGCCTTGCGAGCTTGCTCTTCGGCCTGGCGACGCGCCTCTTCTTGAGCTCTCTGGCGAGCTTCGGCTTCGGCGGCAGCCTTTGCGAGACGTGCCTGTTCGGCCATGCGAGCGCGACGTTCCTCCGCCTCGGCCTTTAGGCGAGCACCTTCAGCAGCTTGTGCTTCAACATGACGACGCGTCTCCTCTTGAGCCTTTCGGCGTGCTTCATCCTCAGCTGCAGCTTTCGCATGACGTTCATCTTGTGCCTTCTGACGTGCGTCGCTCTCGGCCTTCAGCATAGCCTGAAACGCTTCCTCAGACTTTCGCTGTTTCTCGAGGTCGATGGCGGCACGTCTGGATGCCATGTCTTGTTCTGCTTGAGTTTGATGGGCGGCGTCTGTGTCAGACTTCTCTTGCTCGGCTCTTTGTCTGGCCTGCAGCTGTAACTCAGAGATCCGTCGGTTGATCGATTCTTGACGAGCGGCAGCCTCCTGTGTACGCTTCTCAAAAGCTTGTTGACGCGTGAGATCAGGTTGGAACTCCGAAGCGGCTGGGTTGGGCTTCGAGATCGACGCGTTTGGGGCGTCGTCTATATCTTCGGAGTCTACAAAGACAGGTGGAAGTGGCGACTGGTTACTACTTCCAGCACTGAAGGCAAGTGAGCTGCCTCTGAGCGTGAACGGAAGGGCAAACGCAGGGAGTGGGTGAGACGGCTTGTTCACTGGCTTGCTGAAGGCGGTGGTTGGCCTGTGGACGGAGCCGTTGCTGGCAGGTGTGGATGAGACTGCTAGATCGATGTCAGCTAAGACGAGGAAAAGACACGAAATATTGAAAGTAGATGACAAGCGTGACGCGTGTTGGTGGAAGCTCACTTGTGGAAGGAGTGTGGCCCTGGGCTTGAGCGGCGAGCTGACGGACGGCTTCCTTGAAGGACTGACGACGCTTGGCGACCTCAGGCGGAGTGTCTGCCTTTGGTTCTTCAGCCGCGGCTGTCAGACTAGAGGACGTGTTGACAGGAGGCGGTGCAGGGTTTCTGTACTTGGACGCGTCGAATGAAGGGCGTTCGACGCCGGGCGGGGTCGGTTTAGCAGGCGACGTCGAGGCAGAGATTGTCGGAGGCAGGCTAAAGTTGAGCCGGTCGAGAAAGCTCTTGAGCGTTTCAGCATCATCTGCCTTGCCCCAATGGCGAGCGGAGGCCGGCGACCGAGAGTCTGCGCGGGACATGGCTGATGGCTAGGAAGTCACGAGAAACGATGGAATGAGGGTGTTTTCGGTTTTCAGAAGGGTCGAGAAATTGAGAAATGATGGCACTTAAAAGCCTACTGCACAGCGAGATGAGCGAGGCGAGGTGGGGCTTCGGAGCAAATGACGGCGAGAAGAGTTACAAGAGAGCAGAGAATGCCGCGGAGAATCTTGTGTTTCTCGAAGAGGTAAGAGAGGAAGCTGCGTCAACTTGGCCACCGCATGGTCGAATCTCGGCTTGACAAGGTGTTGATCATGAGGCCACAAAATAGAGATTCCTCACGCGAGCGTGCTTCGGAGTCAACGAAGCTTGCGTGTTGTCATTACAAGAGACTGAGAACTAGACATGCTCTGAAGTTCTGGCGAATACGCATGTGTCAGGTATCATGCACTTCCTGCCACTTGTGTAGGGTCGCTGAGGTTATCCATCACTCTGACTCCGGTTTATGACTCCCACCCAGCTGTCAGCATGATCTTTGAGAGAGAGTCAAACACAACAAGAGTCTGCACTGCGTGGTCATTAGAGAGTTCGAGTGCCAGTAACCGCCCAGACGGGCGCTGGACGCTGCAACGAGCCACAGGCCATCGGCGACAGCCACTGCTTTTGCGCCTGATCGCATCCTCAACGCGAGTTACTGGTAGTAGGCACTCTGCTCCAACAAGGAGGCACAACTGAGAGAAGGATTACACGTTCTTTCTATGTGCAGAATAGACATGCGTAGACGTCCCAGAGAAGGGCCTCCGCAATACTTGGGACATCACAACTGAGGTCCCTCCATCGTCGAGCGGCCATTGAACTCGTCTCCGAGGCTGAGAGCAACGCTGGACGTCGAAGCAGACTTGACGGTTGTCAAGAATATCATCCACGGTTCATGCAGTGGAGGTGACCTGGGAGCTGGGCGGGGCGGGAGCTTGGAGTTCATGCAGGGCAACGAAGCGTGCAAGCGGCCCCCTTTCGTTTTTCAGGAACGCCGCAGAACCCCCGCAGTGCTTTGCCCCAGCTCAGAAAACACGCGGCCCATCAGCTGCGCTCCCGGGAGTGCACCGCCCTGTGCGTCTTGAGGATTTTTTCTTCTTTGCGACTGCCTCCTTCGCCGAACATGCTTTGTACAGAGACAAGCTTTACCGCAAACGCCGGCCAGCCTTCGGTCACTGCCATCGATCCTTCGACACCCCATCCCCGCTGCTGCCGTGTCTCGCCTGACCGGGGCCGTCTCCACAACTGCGGAGTAGCTTCCTTCGGCCGCAGTCCACGACGACAGCTTCTGCAAGTGCACATATGAAAGTGCACGGACGACTGGCAAAGGGATCTCAATGGCGCTCAAGCGCCCCCGTTCGCAGGACTACGAGCTAGTCGAGAACCGTCGAGCCTCCTCAGATTCTACTCGCTCTTTCCCAGATGTCGAGAGCGACGGCCTTCTTGATCATGGACCGCATAGAGCGCATACAGTACGGTCTGCAATGTGGAGATATCCTTGGCTTGTGTACCGATGGGTGCATACTCGATTCTCAAAGAAGAGTGAGTGCCATTGCAAAGTACTGTATCAGCTCTGAAATACCGTATGCTCGAGGCATGGGTATTGTGGGTGAAGCTGAATCAATTCAAGCGGTCACTGATGCTGAAGGCAGGTCTCGGCCGAATGGCGCCCATACAAAAGCGCCGGGAGCGCCGCCGCATTTACCACCTATTGTTCTCACTGGCTTGCGCCATACCGTATCTTCTCGTCATACTAGTAATCGCCGTCGCCGCGCTCCACTCCTCATACACACACAAGCCGGCACACTACAAAGACCTCGCGGATCGGTGCTTGGGCTTGGAACCTGGCTGCGCGAACAGGCACCATGAGAAGGTCTTCATCGCGGCTAGTATCTACGACGAGGAGGGACAGCTCGCTGGAGGCGCATGGGGCAAGGCTGTGAAGGATCTCGTCAACATACTGGGACCGGAGAATGTCTTTGTCAGCGTCTATGAGAACGACCCCGATCCTAAAGCCAAGGACGCGCTGGAAAGATTCGGGAAGAGCCTGAAGTGTGAGTAATCGCTTGGAAGGGTTTGGACGAACTTGGGCTGATACTTGAGCAGGCAACTCATCCATTGTTTCTGAACACATATCATACGATGAGCTCCCCCACGTTACTTATCCGTCCGGCGAGAAGCGCCTCAAGCGAGTGGCTTTCCTGGCCGAAGTCAGGAACCGAGCGTTGCGTCCGCTTGATCAGAGTGCAACCCTCAATGTCACCTCGCCTGACGTACGCTTCGACAGAGTTCTATACCTCAACGACGTAATCTTCCATCCTATTGAAGCTGCCCAGCTCCTCTTCTCTACCAATATGCAAGCCGACGGCCGCACCAACTACCGCGCGGCTTGCGCAACGGACTTCATCAATCCCTTCAAATTTTACGATAACTTCGCGACACGAGACCTGGACGGCTACAGCATGGGCATACCCTTCTATCCCTGGTTCACAGATGCGGGCAACGGATACAGCAGACAAGACGTGTTAGATCAGAAGGACGCCGTCCGAGTCCGCAGCTGCTGGGGCGGCATGGTCGCTTTCGAGGCGAAGTGGTTCCAAGCGCCAGTACTAGAGGGCGACAAAAGCGCAACGGCTGGAGAGCAGGCACCGCCAGGAACCTTACCTATTCGCTTCCGCGCCGAAAACGACACGTTCTGGGACGCGTCCGAGTGCTGCCTCATACATGCCGACTTACAGCATCCTCGCTCGCCCACCACAAACCCAGGCGCCGAAAGCGGCATCTACATGAATCCATTCATCAGCGTAGCGTACGATACCAGCACTCTGTCGTGGCTCTCTTGGACCCGACGTCCAGAGCGGTTGTACAGCATCATCCACAACATACTGAACCACGCGATGGGCCTGCCGTGGCACAACCCGCGCAGGACAGAGGAGCCGGGCACAGAAGCTATAGAAAGGGTGTGGAGGTACGAACCGGAGAGTTGGAGGCAATTCGAAAACGGTGAAATCGCTCAGCCCAGGGGCGCTTTCGAGGACGTGAACAGGGTGGTTGGGCCCGGACGCTTCTGCGGGATTCGGATGGCAGCCGTGATAAATGAGCATCCGAGGAAGGGAGAGCACCGGTGGGGGGTGTTGCCTGTACCTCCGGCGTGAGGGTTTTGTTGTTTTATTGCATAGCGCTGGCGTCCTTGGATACCCGTTTCAGAAGAGAAGCTATGACTGAGCAACTCACTGTCGAAGCTCTATACTTTAGGATGGCAAATTTTACATGCATATCCGTCTTTGCTACGAGAAGTCTGTAAGAAGATTCGTTGCTCTGAAGCCAAATTCTGAGATCCCCAAGCGGTGAACACCACTCTGGCGGAGCATCACGGATCATTCGAAAGCATGTGACGGTGCCAAGTGATGCCCACCAGGCCACTGCGGAGGGATCTCCTGTTTGGAACACCCAACTTCTCGCGTTTAGAAGTGGGCTTGTTGCACGCCAGTCGGATTCAGGATGACTTTGAGCGTGCAGAAACGGTACTATGTATATCTTCGGACGCTTTCGATGCGTGTTGAATGCTTCTGTAAGGGCTGTGATGAGCAAGACGTCATCACATCACAAAACGTTCAACCGAGGGCAATGATATCAACAATAATGGCAAAGCGCCATGAGTGGTAGGCTTTTTTTTTTTAATGCCTGCAGCCCACACAGCACGGGTCTTGCTCTCTCTTCGGTTTTTTTCGCTTTGAACATACGCTGCCGGCGTTATGGAGGCTTTGCTGGCGCACCCTTCAATTGTTCTTGTTGTCTTCGCACTGGTGGCGTACCTGATCGGCGGAGCGATATACCGCCTTTATTTCAGCCCTATTGCGCGCTTTCCGGGCCCTCGATTAGCTGCTTTGACGCTCTGGTATGAGTTCTACTTTGATGTTGTCTGCAAGGGAAGGTACACGTGGGAGATCCAGAAAATGCATGAGAAGTATGGTAGGTTGAACTACTTTTCACATAAAAATTATCAATGGTCTACTTCAAGCCAGCCAGCGTTGCATTACTCTTATAAAACACCTTCTATTCTTCATGATGTTGATTGTCCTCCTCAGGCCCAATTGTCCGCATAAACCCACACGAGATCCACGTCAAAGATCCTTCCTTCTACGACGAAGTCTACGTTGGCCCAAGCAGGAGAACAGAAAAATGGCACTGGTCCGCGAAGATGTTCGGCACCACGACCGCGGCCGTGGGAACTACGGGCCATGAGCTACACCGCGTCCGGAGAGGAGCACTGAACCCATTCTTCTCGAAGCGATCCGTGACCCGTCTGGAGCCTGTCATTCAAGCCAACGTTGACCAGCTGTGTGCTCGATTAAAGGAGTTTGCGGGCACTGGCAAGCCTGTGAACCTTTTCGATGCGTTTACGGCATTGTCTGCGGATGTGATTGGCAGCTTCGCGTTTGGGCGGTCTTATGGCTTTCTGGAGCACGCCGATTTTAACCCGCGTTGGCACCGGCTCATGATGGTATGATAGTTCGCAGGATTCGTCGATGAACAAGACGTAGCTAATTCAGGATTCGCAGGAGCTCAGCGGCAGCACCCATCTAATGAAGCAGTTCGGGTGGCTTTACACGCTCACGCAACACATCCCCCAATGGCTAGTCGCGCTAGTTCATCCCCTAACACGAGAGCTCTTCTCCCTGCAAAACAGCATAGCAGACCAGATCCACTCAATCCAAACCACGCCCGCCTCAGCCCTCTCCGAGAAACCAACCGACCACCCCACGATCTTTCACGACCTCCTCTCCAGCAAACTGCCCCCCACCGAACTCACCCTCCCCCGCCTGGCCGAAGAAGGCCTCACCCTCATCGGCGCCGGAACAGTAACCACGTCCCACACCCTCGCAACAACAGTGTACCACCTCCTCTCCGCGCCCTCCCAGCTCTCCCGTTTGCGGTCCGAACTCGCCACCCTCACCAACCCCGCCGAGCCCTCCCAGCTCCCGACCTGGACGCAGCTAGAGCACCTGCCCTACCTCTCAGCCGTGGTATCCGAGGGCCTCCGCCTCTCCTACGGCGTCTCGCACCGTCTGCAGCGCGTCTCGCCCGACACGGCGCTGCGGTACGGCGACTGGGTAATCCCGGCTGGGACGCCTGTCAGTATGACGCAGATGTTCATCCACAACGACGCGGGCACCTTTCAGTCTCCCTCGTCGTTCACGCCGGAGCGGTGGCTCCCGTCATCCACCTCTGGGGATTCCGGTGCCAGTACAATCGACAAAGACGCCTCGCGCCTGCGCAGATTCCTCGTGCCGTTCAGCAGGGGCACGAGGAGCTGCGTGGGTATGAATCTGGCGTACGCGGAGATTTTCCTGGCGCTGGGAGCGTTGTTCAGACCCGTTGGTGCTGGGGGAGTGGAGTTGGAGCTGTTTGAGACGGATGGGAGCGATGTGGAGGTTGTGCATGATTTCTTCAATCCGAGTCCGAGGCTGGATAGTAAGGGCGTTAGGGTGTTGGTCAAGGGACAAGTGAGATGAGCGGTACGGGAGTGGGGACGGAGGGCGTGGGACGCGCGTGAAGATGTGTTTAGATGGACAGATATACCCCTTGGGAATAGACGGGATAGAAGGCGTTATTGCGATTCATCTTCATTCATACTTCGTGGGCATCATGGACTTGATTCTGCTGCGATTAACAGAGGGAAGCCGCAGGTCTGTAGAGACCCAGCGGCTGTCACACCAACTGATCGAGGATGGTTAAACGGGATTGATGACCGGGAGGAGAGACTTTGCGTACAGGGCTCGAAGAACTTTGTGAGATGCTTGATTGAGAGGGATCTTCTTGTATGTTGTGGTTGTAAGATTGCACGACTCGAACAAGTGGCTTATCAGGAAGGATGCGCATGGGGAGAAGAATAGTTGGTATTTGAGAACAGTCGAGCCTCAAGGCAATCAAGGGTGAAGACACAAGACCGTCCGAGTGCATCCAGTGCAGCAAGACATCAATGCCTCTGGACGCTTCCTCCCAGTGTACTGCAGTAGGATAGGGTGGAAATGACACATCGCTGGAGAACCTCGCTCATCGCCCACTATTTTTGCATCATGAGCTGTACGAACTCGTTGTCTGTGGAGAGTCAGTATGGTGGCATGTCCCACGGGAGTTCATCGCTGGCGGGACGTCTCACAGTCGATCCTCCCATCACCGTCCTGGTCAGCCTCCCGGATCATCTCATCGACCTCGTCGTCCGTCAGCTTCTCGCCAATCGAGGTCATGACATGTCGTAGCTCGGTCGCGGAGATGAAGCCGTTGTTGTCCCGGTCGAAGACCTTGAACGCTTCGCGGATCTCCTCCTCGGAGTCGGTGTCCTTCATCTTGCGGGCCATCATTGTGAGGAATTCTGCGTAGGGAACATCAGCGATGTCGCGGGTTGATATGGGGGAGGAGAGTTCTACCAGGGAAATCAATTGTGCCGTTGTTGTCTGCGTCGACCTCGTTGATCATGTCTTGGAGCTCGGATTCGCTGGGGTTCTGGCCGAGGGAGCGCATCACGGTGCCTAGCTCCTTGGTGGTGATCTGGCCTTTTGCGGTCATTACCGTCAGCGTCATGATGCTGTGCTGGCGCTAAATGCCGTTGTTCGAGAGAGCGGGTTTGGCTGTGTAGTAATGGCGGTGAAGCGTTGTGTTGACCCGCTGATAGCGGCGGTGGTCGTCGGGCATGAAGGTTGGGGGCTTTGCAAGTCGAAAACGGGGTCGTCATGTCGGGGTGGGGGCTAGAGTGCTTACCATCGCCGTCCTTGTCCTGATTGAAGTCAGTAGATGAGCTTTGCATAAAATCTAGCCCCACGTAAGGCAGCCAGGCAGCAACGTGCTGCTGCTGAGGAGGTCGGGAAAAACTCACAAAGAGAGAGAAGGCCTCCTTGAACTCAGAGACTTGCTCTTCGGTGAGCGAGTCAGCCTGCGATAGTCCATCAGTCAGCGCTCTTCCCCTAGTCGCATCACTATCATGATGAGTCTGCTGCAAGGCGGGGTACTGAATGCGGCGGAGGAGCGACGAACCATTGCGGTTAGGTGGGGATAGGGTGGAGAATGTGTCGAAAATGGGCGTCAGGCCGGTGTTGAAGTAGCTGGGCAGCTGTTTGCTCGTGTTAGGGGTGCGGGTTGTCAGTGGGAGAGGACTGGGGGAACGAAATGAGTGCAGGTGGTGTTGATGTTGTCTGCGGGCCTGGGCAGCTGGGCTGGCGTGGAGCGGTCCCGCTTTCCCCATTGACCGGATCGAGCCAGCAAATCACGCCGCTTTGGGCGGGAAGTGCCGCTAATTAGCCTCTTCGTCACCCTGCGGCTCCGCCAGCTCGTAAGGCTGGACCTGCGAGCTGTCACGGCTGTCCATCAAACATGTGAAGCGTGCTGCCAGCTGCACTTTTACTTGACAACAACCGCGCATCTTGTTTAGATATCTGCACTCCCGGACCATGCCATAAGAATCGAGCCCATCTTACTACGCCATGTGGCGCGACCGAACAAACCTGTGAGTATCGCTTTGACAGCTTGAATAACCCGCAACCTCCAGCTCGGACAACCAGTCTGTGAGCTGTCGGGAGGAGGATCCAGCCAGAGAAGCGTCATCCGTGCCTCTAGATAGAGGCCGCAAAGCCAGATCCCGCCCTAGCAAGTTGAGCAGAACGCTGACCAACACCCGCCAGCTTCATCTCCTATCGCCAATCCTACTCTCACCATCCCCCCAAGAAGCCACGCCACGGCGGCCCCTCCTCCAATGGCTTCGGTGGCGCCGCCCGCGGCTCCGAAGAGCGCCAGGGCCTCATGTCCTCCGGGGCCTTCGACGACGACGGCGATGCGGTAATAGAGATGGACCTTCTGCCGCCGCGCTGGCTGGACGTCCAAGACGAGGTCACAGAATACCTCTCCGACATCGCCAAGCAGACACGGCGGCTCGACCAACTGCACCAGAAACACGTCCTACCCGGCTTCGACGACGAAGATGTGAAGAAGCGGGAGGAGAGGGAGATTGAGCAGATGACGCAGGAGATTACGCGCAGGTTTCAGAGCTGTCAGAAGGCGATTCAGCGGATCGAGATGATGGTCCGGGAGGCGAAGCAGCAGGGGAATATCAGCAGAGGGGAGGAGACGATGGCGAAGAATCTGAAGATCTCGCTGGCTTCGAGGGTTGGTGAGGTCAGCGCGACGTTTAGGAAGAAGCAGTCTGCGTATCTCAAGAGTAAGACAATGCTGTTCTGACCGAAAACCGCACTTGCTGATATACCGTCAGAACTCCGAGCGCTCGGCGGCCTCACCACGCCAATCTCTCGCTCCGCAACACCAGTGCAGAATCCCTACACTGACCCCTCCATGCAAGAGTCCGAAGCCGATCGCTCGTTCTCGCAGGGCACTTTACTCCAAGCGCAACAGAAGCGCGTCAAAAACAACGCCAACGACACTGTAATCGCCCAACGCGAGCGCGAAATCGAAGACATCGCGCAGGGAATCATCGAGCTAGCCAACATCTTTCAGGAGCTCCAAACTATGGTCATTGATCAGGGGACTATGCTAGACCGTATCGACTACAATGTCGAGCGCATGGCCGTGGATGTCAAGGCCGCTGATAAGGAGCTCACGATCGCGACAGGATACCAAAAGAAGAGCATCAAGAGGAAAGTCATCCTGCTACTGCTGATTCTGGTGGCTGGGATGTTTGTCTTGCTGTCCTTGAAGCTAGGGCGGCGAGGGACGACTGCCGCACCTCCTGCTCCGGTGCCTAACATGCCAAACCCGCCTGCGCCTCCTGTTGTGCTTCCGCGTGCGGAGCATGACCCTTTGGTCTCGCGCCTGTCGTCTTTAAGAAGCAGACGGAAATGGCATCGACGGAAACGCAGACTGTGGCCAGAGATTGGAGAAGATGGCAGCTTTTAGTAGCCTCCCGTAATCAAACATCAAACTAGAAGACCTTTGCAGAACCGGTTTCTGACGAGACGCATCGCCCAGCAAGTTCATCCCGCAAACGCCCCCGGCATATCCACCTCCTCAGTTCCCGGCTTGAACTTGGCCCACTCAGCTGCGCACCTCCTCGCCATCTCCAACTGCTCGTCAGTCTTACACACTAGAATCCTATGCTTCGCGCCCTCCTTCCCGATATCCTCCACCACGCCGTCCCCCACATACCTATTCCTTCCCTCATCAATCTCAAACCCCAAACACTTCGCCTTCCCCGCAACCGCCTCCCTCAGCTGGCCTCCCTTTTCCCCAATCCCGCCCGCAAACACCAACGCATCCACCGCCCCTTCAAGACTAAGATAATAACTCCCGACAAACCCCACAATCCGGTCAACAAAGATATCAAACGCGAGCTTCGCCATCTCATCCCCCCGTTCCATGCGTCCAATCACCTCGCCAAAGTCCGTCGTCCCCGTCAGCGCCGCCCACCCGGATTTCTTGTTCAGGATCTGCTCCGCCTCCGTGATGTGCAGTTCCTTGCTGCTCTGCCTGCTGGGCCGGCCGGCGTCGTGCGTGAAGTGGAAGATCAAGGACGGGTCGATGGAGCCGGAGCGCGTTGCGCCGGGGAGCCCGGCGAGGGGCGTGAGGCCCATGCTCGTGTCGGCGCTCTTCCCGCCGCGGATGGCGCAGGCGGAGGCACCGCTGCCGAGATGCAGAGCTATGATGTTGAGTTCTTCGAGGGGTTTGGCGAGGTGCGCGGCGACGGCCCGCGTGATGAAGGAGTAGGAGATGCCGTGGAAGCCGTATTTGCGCAGCTTGTTGCGTGAGGCGACGGTCGGGTCGATTGGGTAGGTGCGCACGTGGGGAGGCAGCGTCGAGTGGAAGGAGGAGTCGAAGTAGGCGATGTTGGATGCGCGGGGGAGTTCGTGGTGGACGGCGCGGACGATGGTTAGGGCGCCGGCGTTGTGGCTGCAACGAGGGTTAGCGTGGTAAGGATGGAGTGGAAGTAGATTAAGTGAGTGAAGTGATGGGATTTTGTTCTAGCTTGGGTGGCATTCCGGGGTGAGTCTTCAGGAGCAAGAGTGGGTATAGGAGTGGGTGTTCGACGGTCTAGCTAGACAGAAGCGACAGTCCGGTTTGGAGTAGAACCGGTACGGTCTGAAGATATACTCCCCTCTTCGAGTGCTCGGCTGAGGGAGTAGCCCAAGCGTTTTACGTTTGACTTCGCCAAAGTATTGTAACCCGGAGCGCTTGACGAGGGAAAGGACACGGAAGAACGTGAAGATTATGTACTCGAAGTGTCATGAGAGAGTAGAAACCAACATACAGCGGTGCTAGATCAGACAGCTTCTCAATGTGATGATAAGTATCATCGTCAATCAGCTGCGCCTTCGGGTAGTCTCCTCCATGGACAACCCTATGGCAGGCGAAGCCAATGTCATCCCGATGCGAGAGCTCCGGCAGCCCCTTATCGTTCGTCAGGTGATCTAGGATATACCTAAATGCATCCTCCTGGGAGTTGATTCCCTCGAGCTTCTTGCCCTTGATCTTCTCGTCTCCACGCGAATACTTGAGGGTTGGGGGCGGTGCGGTCAGTCCGTCGACTTGCGCCTCGGCGAGCTGAGTTGGGTCTTGGGCTCCTTCGGTAGTCGAGTAGACGGAGACTTTGACGGAGGAGGAGCCGGCGTTGATGGAAAGGATGATCTTGGCCATGATAACAAGGTTCCTCGTTCCTTCTCTGTAGTTCTGTCCAAGCTCTTTCGGTGTTTGACAGCGTCCAGCGGCGCGAAAGCTTTGGATATAATATGACCACTTCGGGTTGTCAAAAAGCCGGCCTCTGACGTCGATGTACTCCTGAACTCCGTAGCTACTTCTCCCGGGGCTAGTAAGTAAATTCAAGCAGTCAGTATGCTTTCAGATTGAGAGCTCTATGAACTGGCCGCGCTGTGGGCGGGCGATTCCAAGGCAATATCATGGCGGGGTCCGAAGCATGATCGAACCACCCCACCGCCAGACTTGGAACTTGAAGATGATGCGCTTCAGGGATTGGGGGGTGAAGCTTTACTGGGCTGAACGGCCAATGGCGCGCTAAGGAACGTTGGCCGCCCGAACGAGTGGCTGATGGGCCGTCAAGCCGCAATCATGAGCTACTCCAGACGTCACTCGGCATCGCTGCCGACGGTAGTTAAACGTGGACGACGTGCAGCAATGGAGCAATTTGGAGAGTTGCGGCACGTCACTCTGCCGCAGCTCGAGCTTGCCGGAAGCTCCGAGAGTACGAGTACAAACACTCTACCTACCTAAACTTGTTGTGCTAGGTGAAACATAATCAACTCATAACGCCGCCATTGATCTTCTCCGCGAAGCTCTCAGCGCTGCAGTTTTACATCAATCTTCAAATCCCTGACTGTTAGCGGCGCATCAACATGCCTGGCGAAGTGATTGACAGACCGAACCCGGAGCCGCTGCCTTCCAACATCCCAGACGATGTCCTCTCTCTGGCCGTGAAGCTTGACAAGACAACGCTCTCCGACAAGGACAATGCCTCGCTAGTCGCCTTCCGCAAAGCAGCCTGCTATATTGCAGCTGGTGAGGAGCTCTCGCATGCTTCTGGAAGTCTTTCAATGAGAAGCTACTGACATGCAACGTACAGCGATGATCTTTCTGAGAGACAATGTCTACCTTGAACGCGACCTCACCTTTGACGACGTCAAGCCTCGACTGCTCGGTAGGCAATCATAAAGACACATCAACAACAAAGACATCCGGAGGCTAACGCGAATGTGCAGGTCACTGGGGCACATGCCCTGGTTTGATCCTCGTCTACTCACACCTCAATTATCTGATCAAGAAGCACGACCTGGACATCATCTATGTCGTAGGACCCGGTCATGGTGCGCCCGCTATCTTGGCGGCATTGTGGCTCGAAGGTTCTATGGGAAAGTTCTTCCCCGAGTACAGCAGGACGAAGGAAGGCCTTCACAACTTGATCACCAAATTCTCCGTCACTGGCGGCCCACCAAGGTTTGTCATTGATTGGATTTCCTTCAGCCCAGCTGCTGCTGACGTTGTGCCAGTCATATCAACGCGGAGACACCTGGAGCCATCCATGAAGGTGGTGAGCTCGGTTATGCCCTGGCGGTCTCTTTTGGCGCGGTGATGGATAAGCCGGACCTCATTGTAGCATGCATCGTTGGCGATGGCGAGGCCGAGACCGGGCCGACAGCGACGTAAGTATTCCAAAATCCGTATGGACACACAACCTAACGTGCATCATCAGCGCGTGGCACGGCTACAAGTACATCGACCCTAAGGAGTCCGGCGCAGTCATTCCAATTGTGCATGTGAATGGCTTCAAGATTAGCGAGCGCACTATTTACGGCTGCATGGACAACAAGGAGCTGACTACGCTCTTCACCGGCTATGGCTACCAGCCTCGCTTTGTTGAGGATTTGAAAGACATAGACGCAGACCTGGGCAGTTCAATGGAATGGGCTCTAAGCGAGATCAAGAAGATCCAGAAAGCAGCGCGTTCCGGGAAGCCGATTATGAAGCCAAGGTGGCCAGTGATTATTATGAGAACGCCCAAGGTTAGTAGACTGCTTGTTTTTGACGGCCTGCCATGGTTGCAAGATCCGCTAGGCTCAAAAAGCATCACATGTTCACCAGTAGCTTCATGAGCCGCATGCGCACCTGCTAAAACGATTTTCAGGGCTGGAGCGGCCCTAAGAAGGTTGACGGCGAGTTCATCGAAGGGTCGTTCCGTTCCCACCAGGTCCCACTGATGAAGGCAAAATCGGATCCAAACCACCTGAAGGACCTTCAAGCATGGCTAAAGAGCTATGGACCTGAACACTTGTTCAAAGAAGACGGCACGCCCACTGAAGAGGTCGTCAGCATCATCCCAGAGAGCGATCGTAAGAAGATGGGTCAGCTGAAAGAGACCTATGACCCTTACGTAGGCATCAAAGTACCCCAGTGGTCGAAATTTGGTGTGCCCAAGGGTGATGAAGTCAGCTGCATGACCGTCTGCGGCAAGTTTCTAGATCAGACCCTTCAGGACAATCCCACTACCGTCCGCATCTTCTCCCCAGACGAACTCGTCAGCAACAAGCTCGACGCAGTCTTCAACCACACCGGCCGGAACTTCCAGTGGGACGAGTTCAGTACCGCGCAAGGCGGCCGCGTCATCGAGATCCTATCCGAACACTGCTGCCAAGGTTTCATGCAAGGCTACACCCTCACCGGGCGCGTAGGGCTCTTTCCGTCGTACGAGGCCTTCCTCAGCATCATCCACACCATGATGGTGCAGTATGCCAAGTTCGGCAAGATGGCTAAGGAAGTATCGTGGCGAGGAGCAATTGGCTCTCTGAATTACATCGAAACCTCGACCTGGACCCGTCAGGAACACAACGGCTTCTCCCATCAGAACCCGGCCTTCATTGGCGCAGTACTGAATTTGAAGCCAGATGCGGCAAGAGTGTATCTCCCTCCGGATGCGAACTGCTTCCTCTCGACGCTCGCCCACTGCCTGCGGAGCAAGAACTACGTCAATTTGATGGTCGGCTCCAAAGCGCCTTCCCCAGTCTTCCTCTCCGTTGAAGAAGCCGATGCTCACTGCCGCGCCGGCGCCTCCGTTTGGAAGTTCGCCTCCACGGATGGCGGGCTGGAACCGGATGTTGTACTTGTGGGTATTGGCGCTGAGATCACCTTCGAAGTTGTGAAGGCCGCCGAGTTGCTCCGCGAGCTTGCACCTGCGCTCAGAGTCCGCGTCGTTAATGTTACGGACCTCATGGTGCTTGGCACCGAGGGAACCCACCCGCATGCGCTTACGAGCAACGACTTCAACGCCATGTTCACCGCCGACAAGTATATCCACTTCAACTACCACGGCTACGCTCCGGAGCTCAAGGGGCTGCTTTTCGGGCGTCCCCAGAGTGAGCGCATCACCGTCGAGTCGTACCGTGAGGAGGGGAGCACGACGACTCCGTTCGATATGATGCTCGTGAATCGCACCAGCCGCTACCACGTGGCTGAGTACGCGCTGAGGGGCGGTGCGAAGTTTAACCAGAAGGTCGAAGTGGATCTGGTAAGTAATATTGCGGATATCAAGCACCGGGTCGTCAAGACGAGGGAGTACATCTTGGCGAATGGGAAGGATCCGGAGGGGACTTATGATACGCCCGCGTTTGAGGGGCTGAAGAAGGGGAAGGGGGGTGAGCAGGTGCTGTATGAGGGATGATGGGCTGATGGTGCATGAGAGATAAGGTAATGAATTGAGCGGGATATGGAAGGAGAAAAGCACCACTTGTAGATTCCCACTGATCGCGGTGGATCCTAATATGAAACAATGCGGTTTACAAATTGCTTTGCAGAGTACTCGAGTAGAGCAATCACGAAGAGCTGCCAACGTCTCGGAAAAGCTCACTGAACAATGAGGAAAGCAGCTTCATGCCGTAAATGACGGCTCAATACAGAGCAGTCCGGTTTGCGGAAGTACTGTCCGCTCCGCTATTGGGTCTCACATGTGGTGAACGATTTGGAGAAGCGGCGTAGGGAGAGCTGTACGGAAGCCAAGAGCTGATGGGCCAACATTTCAGTCAATAGCCAGCGGTGAGAGGAAAGTACTACAGTTCACGATCTGTTCCCAGGCTACGAACTGACATGACAGTGAAGACAAGCCGATTGTTTGAAAGGGCGAACTTGTACAGAACTGTGTTCAATTGCAGGCGTCTTGCCGCAGGTGCTCCACCACGAAGCGTACATGACATCTCACGATCACTGCACACCTCCGTCAGCCAGCTTGACTGCTACGCCCACAATATCGTAAGTCTATAAGCTCTCCTTGAACTCTGCGTCCTGTTAACGCAGTATTCCAGACTACTGCAGCTGAGTTCTTGTTGGCAAGGTCTTCGATGCCGCGGCTTGTGATCGCGCTCCTTCCTCAAACATCACCACCTCGACAACCCTCGCTACCGCCCTCGACGCCCACCTTCCAACTCTTTCGCCGGCCTCCTTCGCCTTCCTTATGGCTCGATGCAAAGCGTGCAAACTCGCCAAACGGCTTGGCGGGGGATCTCGTCGATATAACCAGCTCTTCCCGTCCTCTTCTCTTCTCTCATCAGCATCCACAGCGAAGCATCTCTTAGGGTAAGTCTTCCCTCTTTCTCATCTAGCACCGAGATCACACCTTATCCTCTCTCTTCCTCGCTCAGTACCCGCATCTCACCATATCCAACCGTTTTTCCTCGCTCGAGCTTCTGGCTGACTTTTTGCAGGCCAGTATAGCTACCAACTTGCACTTGCACTCTCACGGTACGTCCATCCTGCTCGCATTTCAGACTTCCTTTGCTGACTGATTGACATGCAGACCACGGATCGAAGCTTCGCTCGTCTCTCTGAACGTAAGTCCATCTCAGACCTCACTCATTGAGCTTGGCTAACCTGCTTGCACAGATCAGCAAACACTCAAATCAAGCCCCTCAACCGTCAACATGCAGACAGCTCTCTTCGTAAGTTCATCCCATCCTTCCAGCACTCCCATCCTCCAATCATCTTCCATCTTGAACCACTGCTGACCGTTGCTTCTCTCACAGCTCCTCGCCACCGCTGGCTCCCTTGCCTCCGCCGGGACCATCAAGTACAAGAACGAGCCGCATCTCACCATCACCCTCTTCAACGAGCAGGACTGCATTGCCAAGGTCGAGCCGATTGACATCAATCACACCCACCATGTCGGCAAGTGCTGGACCAAGGACGTCGGGTTCCACAGTCTCAAGTACACCATCGACCCGAAGCACAGCCATATGTCTGGCCGCACTTGCCATGTCGACATCTGGCAAGGTCCGAAGTGCCAGGGCCCGGCACAGAAGGGCGGCGACATCTTGCTCGAAGTCGGCTCCTGCCGCAACACCGACCACGGCCTTCCGGCTGACAAGTCCGGTCTAGCGCACAGTTACATGGTCATGTGCGACGAAACCAACCCCCCCGAGCCTGAAGTCGAGCTGGAGCTGAAAACCATCGTCTTCACGATGACCAAGACCAAGCGCGATCTGGAGACACCGGCGCCTGCCCTGGCTCAGAGGTATGCACAACCCAGCAGACATGACAAGCACCCAGCTAATCACATCGCCAGGGATGACGATTTCGACGCCTCCGGCGCAGCCAAGACGGGGATCAACAAGGGGTGGCACTGGGTCGCTGACCCCGTCTCTAACTTTTTCGATCATGATCGCCGTGACGCTCCCGCTCCCACTCCCACTCCCGCGGCGGAGCCCACCATCGACGCGACCGTCGGCGAAGGCGGCGTCGAGGTGGTCTATATCAGCGCTGAGGTGGCTCCGAGCGCAACCAAGATCGTCGCTTTCAGCTCCGAGGATGGGTACGAACACGTTTACCTCCAGGGCGTACCGGCCGACTTCCTCAACGACGAGTAGGTTGCTCCGCTTTCTTGTATGTCTTGTGTGAATGGGTAGCGCAAGTGCTCTGGACTCTGTTCCTTTCTCTGTATCAGTGGTGGCCTTGATGTTTGCTGGCGCTTCTGGTCTTGAGTTTTGCTGCTGTTCTTAGAAAAAGTTGATTGCTTTCGATCCAACTTTTGAGTATCTTGACTGGTCGTGATTGGTGATTCTGACTGCTCTTGATCTTCTGCTCGCCTTGCCCCTCATCCTGGCATGTTGCTTTGGTCCTCATCTGGCCTGGCTCTTGCCTTGCCTTGCCTCTGCTCTCGCCTGCCTCCCATCACCCAATCTACAGGTGTTCAAGCACAGTTTGGATGTTTTTAGACTCTACTAACAGAAGCATATCCCGGCAGAGGGAGTCGTGAAGTGTGGCCGAGACGGAAAGAAAATGAGTTAGAAAGACCGCATAGATAACCTAACCCCAGCTTCTTGCTTATCTCTCATAAAACAAATGGCAAAAACTCAAATCGCCGTTTGAGAAACTCACCTCGAGGAGGTTGGTTTTTTAGTGGGGTTGGGTTGGTGACTGGAGAGGGCGGTGCGGTCGGATCGGTCGAGGATCGGGGTTGGTGTAAGGTCGGTGGGACTCGAACTCGGGGCTCGGAGGGGATCGGGTGGGGGGTTCGTGTTCCACGTTGACCAGAACCACCCGGTGGTGGTCGCCGGTGGAACAGGATTTCCACTGCGGCACGTGGATTGTCGACGGGGAGAGTCATGAATTTTGGGGAATATGTAGCAAGAAACGAGTGTGGGGGGGTTTGCTTTACCGTTCACTCGGTGGGTGGAGTCAATGTTGTCTTGGTGGTACGTTGGTAATTGAGGTTTGGCTCGTCCCGTTCGTACTGGTGGTAACGTATACTGGCTTATTCGCTGTCAGTATACGGTTCAGACGTGTCAAATGATTCTATCATAAGTTATTGTAAGCTTTAATATTGGCAGCTTCGGACCTGTGGGTTGTACTGCCTAGATTGTGTATTATCAATAGGTCCGTTTCACCACCACAGAAGAGAGCAATAGAGAAACGCTGTACTTTCAGCATTGTGATAAGTAGAGTATACTTAGATCAAGAGCAGAGGATCCCATCACCGCCGCTGTCTCATCTGGCCTCGACATGCATCTGCACCTTGAACGCCCCCCAACACCACGCTTCCTCGTATGTCCGAGTGTTGCCATCGACGTCCAATTTGCACCACGACGACTTTCCTCACCCCCCTTCCCAGATTTCCGGCCACCGAGCTCCGCCTTCGCATCTCCCACCATCCATCTTCATCCATCCACTTAATCCCCCTCAACCACACCCTGTCATCTGCCACCCTAAGCGCCATCCCCCCAAATCCCCACCACAGCCATCGCAAACGCCACCCCCGACACCCCCGTCCTAACCACCTCCGCAAACCCAAACCTCTCGACCGCGCCCCTAACCTCCTCGCCATTAACCTCCGCCTCCGCCCTCTCCCCTTCCTCCCCAACAACACTCTTCAGCCCGTCCTCATCATGCCTCAGCACATAGTCGACCGCGCCGCCGCTCGCAGCCACCAGCGCCGTCCACAGGAGATACGGGTGTCGGCCGCGCGCGGGGGAAATGATGAAGGCGAGCGAGAGGGAGGTTACGGTCACAGCGGAGAGGAGGCGCAGGTGCCGTTTTGCAGTCGTTTGGAGGTGCAGGAAGGAGCGTGCGCAGGAGGTTGCGGTGGGGAGGGCGAGGAGGGAGGGGACGCTGTGGGTTGCGAGGGTGTAGGAAAGGCCCTGTTGGAGTTGGGGTTAGTGGTGGCTCGAGAGTTGCGGTGGGGTAGGAGAGAGGTTTGCGCCGGCGCAAGGGGGTAGAGAGCAGCTTGAGAGGGTCGGGAAACTGGTGAAGAACGGCGGAAGATGGGGATACGGTGCTGCGTGGGTGGTATGGCTTACGGTTAATAGGCCTAGAGAGAATGTGCCGACGAACTTGGAGAGGGAAATCGTGGTTTTGTAGGGGCAGACCATCTTGGGGGATGTGCGCCAGTCGACGGCGATGGTCTATGCCAGCGGTTTGATGTGTAGATGGTCGCTGCTTGGAGTATTGGGTATGTGCAAGTGAGGTAGCAGTGTTGATGTAGTGAGGAGAGGTTCGGTATGACGACGGAGCGGCAAGCTGTCGGTTCCCAGTGACGCCCGAGCTCAGCTCCGCCCTGCAGGACAATGGTCGCGTAAAGTTGCATCTTGTCGTCTCTCATGGAATCGCCAGCAACAACATCCATTGCGCCCGTTACGGGAGGTCTCACGATGCTGTACACAAATACAGTCAATACCCGCTCGGAGAACCACCACAGAGCCATCGGAGCTTCACAGAGAGCTTTCGAAGTTCGAACGCCCAGTCGCTGCGGAACCATTTCAGCTCCGCAACCTCGGCAAGCACCTCGAACTGCTTGATGGCTTACGGACATTGTCTGCGCATCACCGTCTCACGGCCGTAGACAAAACGGATCAATACTCCCGGCCCACGCAATCAGACCTCGACTGTATATAAGGAACATATCTCAGTCCAATTATCCGTCTGTACATTTCCGCTCCGAAGCGCACTTCCTCAAAACCACCCACCATGCCCATCCCGAAGTCCGAATATCTCAGCGAAGTCTGGAAGGATGGTATCTTCAGTATGGTTATCCCCCTCGCCGCAATCAACCTTTCTACTCCCTCCTATCCAGATAAAACTACAATTGGAATACCCCAGTCACCCGCTAACAACTTTATCCACCAGACAACAAAGTCGTCTTCTGCACCGGCGGCGCCGGCACAATCTGCAGCGCCCAGGTCCGCGCACTAGTCCACCTCGGCGCCGACGCCTGCATCCTGGGGCGCAATGTCGAGAAGACGGAGCGTATGGCTCAGGATATCGCTACTGCGAGAAAGGGCGCAAGGGTGTTGGGGCTGGGGGCTGTGGATGTGAGGGATGCCGGAGCGATGGCGAAGGCAGCGGAGAGGTGTGTGCAGGAGTTGGGGGGGATTGATTTTGTCATGTGAGTGGAGGTTTCTTCCGGTGTAGGCGGAGGTGAAGATATGGACGACAGCTGGTGTGGAAAGGAAGCCTGAGCGGGAGCATTATGCACCGGCGCTGCCGCAGTCAGCAGCCCCTGGAGCGCTGGGGATTGGGACTTGGATAGCTTTCCTAGGCGACGACGCACAGCGCTGGAAGCTTGAAAGACGAGGTGTTTAAGACACTGACACAACCACAGCGCCGGCGCAGCAGGCAACTTCCTCGCTCCAATCGCCCAGCTCTCCCCCAACGCCTTCAAATCCGTGATTGACATCGATGTGCTTGGCTCCTACAACACCGTCAAAGCGACCCTTCCCTACTTGCTCAAGTCCGCCGCCGCCCACAAGACAGATGGCAAGATGCGTAAGACGATCTTCCATTTAGCCCTCTTTTCCCTCTCCCAAATTACAGCCTATCTTGGGGACGAGGCTTACAGGTAAATATAGCACCCAAGAACGGCACCGGCGGCCGCATAATCTTCGTCTCCGCAACGATCCACTACGCGGGCGCGCCCCTCCAAACGCACGTCTCTGTGGCCAAAGCAGGTGTTGACGCGCTCTCAGCCGCGGTATGCATCGAGCAGGGTCCGCGGGGCATGACGTCGAACGTCATCTCACCTGGCCCCATTGCTGGCACCGAGGGCATGGAGAGGCTCTCAAAGAGTGGAGAGGAGGCCCGCAGGGCGAGTGAAAAGAACATACCGGCCGGAAGGTGGGGCACTGTGAGGGAGATTGCGGACGCGACGGTGTACTTGTTTGGGGACGCAGGGAGTTATGTCAATGGGGAGATTCTTGTTGGTGAGTTTGATTGGTCCGAGGATGTATGGGGGATTGAGTGGTGGTCACGTGCTGACTGTGATGCAGTTGATGGCGGTTCGTGGCATACGGGTATGCAGCCGGGCGCGGGATTCAAGTATCCGGACTTTTTGCTGTCGGATGAGGTCGTGAGTGGTGTCAAGGGTACAAAGCAGTCGAAGCTGTGAGCCTCGGTCAGGGCTGGGTGCTATCAGCCACTCGGGGTGCCTGCGGCGCGTGTAGACAGTTGAGAGGTCTGTCATCGTATCACATGATCTTGGGAACTACACAGCGTCCATTCCATACGCAGCTGTGAAAAATGGCACACTGCCAGCTACAGAACAAAGACCACCAATTATGAGGGCGTCCTTGATCATCAAAATGATAATCCGCTTTATCGTGTCTTGTCGTTGTCTGCTACGTTCGTGTTCAGGTTGAACAAAGCCTCTTGGATCTAGATTGAAGTCTCTTCTGGGCAAGCGTAGATACACGGCCGGCTTTGGAGTGTGGCATTGTTGACAAACGTGTTTAGCAGGAAGGACTGAGCGGACTGCTCCCTTACCACTCACAAGAGCTGTGGGAAACACAATTCCACCCGTTTTGGAGTGAAGGATTCATAGCAATTTTTCTACATTGGAGCATTCTTTGAGTCGATCAAACGTGGAATGAGATCATTACCTAGGGCCACGTGGAGAATGTTTTGTTTGGAGGTACTGTTGCTTCAACGCCACCGTGTGATGAGGCTACATTTCAGAGATCTCGGTGGCTTGTTTGTGATGGCAGTTTCAGAACCCCCTGCCGGTCACTAGGAGCTGTTGTGTTTTCTCTCCCTGTTTAGCGGTCTTTACAGACCGTTGCGATGTGGAGCCTCATCTCTTCTAGTAACGATCCCATGACTGGCGCGATTGTCTGGCGCAAGTCGCCGGTGTGACGCGCCTTTGAGTGCAACGGTCGAGTGATGCAATACCAATGTGCTCGGTAAGAAGATAGACAATACTGAAGCCGTGCGTCGAAAGCTTTGACAATCTTCCATCCACGGTTGCAGCTCGGGTGCGAGGCGCAGCGCGCTGGAGATCTGGTGATCTCGCACCTGCCTGTTTCATGAAGAGGCTCATATACTAAGCCAGATGCCCAAGCGCCTTCAATACTAGCATCTCTTTTTATACCTCATCAAGGAGGTAGACTTCTCGATGTGGAAATGAGGTATGACAGTTCAGCGTTGATGTTCATTTCGGTGTTTATGGCAGCCGCCGCCATGATCGTTGTGGAATTGTCCGTCAACGCGCCGGTGACGGACCGAGATGAGGATTGACAGGGAGAGAGGAACGACGGGAAATGAAAATCACGCCGAATCGCCAGAGCACGTGCAGTCCAACCGGCGAGAGCCTGGCGCCAAGCTTCGAGATCGTCTTTTAGCGGTGGTCTGTTCGTTGAGGCGCTTCCCGCGTGTGGCGCTCTCTCTCTCTTGCTTACGGCATATGCAATTTTGCTTTTGGAGGCCGAGGATGTGCTTTGGTGGTGCCACAGCACATTTGGCTTCAAGAGCGTGGTGTTTCATGTTCATGCCGTGGCCTCCCGCTGGGAGTCTTACGGCACCCTGATCGGCTCAACGACCACAGCATGAGCTGCGGAGGCGATTCCTTTGTGTAGAGAACGAGCAGTCGGCCAGGGTTATGCGTGGTGTCAGACTATCTATCAATGCGGCAAAAAAGGCGCAACTGCAGCACGAGAAAGAACGGTCCACCAATGATTTCTTCTTCCTCGCGCGTTGAACTGGCCCGCAGGACAGTTCACCCCGCATTTTCGTAAGATGCGGCTGCTTGAATACGGCCAGCATGGGGATCTCGGCGGATGAGAAAGCGGTCTTGGGATCAGCTTCACATCTCGGCTTCAGCCGTTTTTCTTGGTCTCCCTGCGGACTCGCTCGCTCCGCCCGGTTGATGGCACGATTGCGTGTCGTAGCGAACTAGTTACAATATCAAGGCCGGCCCCCCGGGTCATGCTGCTTTGAATTGAGAGGCAAAATTCAAGGTGGTCACCGAAGCTGCCGGGGTCGCCTCCGCCTCAAGGTGCTTACCGGTTTATCGCCGGGTCTCCTCCTCTTCTCCACATGTCGCCACACACACCTGCTGGCTGCTTGCTCGTGCAAAGGCGTATCAGAGTACTGTGGCACGGCATGGAGAAGGGAGACTGTGGTTTCATGAACGTCATGATGTAGAGACGGCCCGTTGCGATGGGCACACTGTGTTGCCGTTGATCCCATTTCATGATCGCATTTCACATTCTTTCGACTCCCCAACTGCGCTGGGCGGAACGACGGATGTCCCACGGCTTGGCCAAAAGCGAGGCCGCGGCCAGTTGCTGCCCTGCCACCTGCCTAACCTTGTGCGAGCAAGTTGAAGTTAAGCGGCAGGAGGCGCAAGGTCAAGCCTTTCGAAGTTGCAATGCGAACCTGGGTTGCAGGGGGAGAGCAGGGAACCCTGGCGCGCTTTCGGTAAGCTTGGATCTCACTCTTTCCTTTGCTGCAGCTCATCCTTGAACCTTGCACCTTGCACCTTGAACCCTCCTTCCCGCCAGAAGATCGACGCCCACTCACTCTCCCCAAACTCCACTTCTTCCCTCTATCTTTCTCGCCGTCATTGCACTCTCTATCTTCATCCTGCTCGACGGGTGCCCCATCGTCGGCGGGCCTTTTACAATGCTAACTCTTTTTACTGAGCTTCTGTGTTGATTGAGGTGGGACGGAATCTGGGCCCGCGGCACACCCTTCCGCCGAACCTGGTTGCCGTTACCAGTCGTTACTTCAGAGTTACGTACATTGCACACTCGTTCAGAGCGTGAAGAAGTGCGGATGAGCGCAGACCGACTTTTGTACCTCTCTGGAAACCTGTCTGTTCCCCATCGACCTCGCAGCGGCCATTGTTCGACTACATTCCGGCCTCGGTGTCTCTACTGCATCGCTCGCCTTACACCTTCATCTTCACTCCCGACATCGTCTTCGGATCACACGGCAGAGTTTCTCGAGCCGTCTAACCACAATGGCGGGCTTCCACACTGGGCCCTGGACGCTCGTCTCCGGCTTGCTGCTGTTCTGGACAGCGCTGGTCGACCTCGCACACGGCCAACTTGTACAAACGTACTGCTCGAATCAGAACACAGGCCCAGACGGCGCTCAAGGTGTGTAGAGCAGAATCGTTGTGTTCAATGCGTCCGCACACGTCTTCAGAAGCATCCGCTGACTCGGCGCAGGCTCGCATCCTTGGCAGACAAACGGATACTGCTTTGACCAATGCAAAGAGAACTACGCATTCGCAGTCGTACAAGGAAACTACTGCTGGTGTAGCGACTACGTTCCTGGGAATCAGCTCGACGTGAGCGATTGCAGCGCAACATGTCCTGGTTATCCAGACGAACGCTGCGGCTCGCCAGACTCGGGCTTGTACGGATACGTTCCGCTCCTTAGGGAGCCTTCGGGTACTCTGAGCGCAAGCATTGCGGCGGCCACCAGTGAAGCACCCAGCACGGTTAGTAGCACATCCTCTGCGACTACTTCATCCGCCTCCCCGTCGACTTCTGTATTTATATCTTCGGTCTTTTCTGTGGAGCAGAAGGACACTGTCTTTTCGTTCGATATATTCTCATCGCCTTTGTCGTCTTCATACTTGCCGTCAGCGTTCGTGAGACCATCATTCGTGATACCCTCGTTCGAGTTCTCTGTACCATCTCCAACTCCGTCGTGGACGTTTGCTTCAGCGGTAAAGCCATCTATACATCTCTATCGAGTTCTTTTGGACTGTAATTTTGACAATCATGCAGAGTCCCTCATCGGCTCCGCCTATTTTTTCCTCTGCTGCGTGGCAGCCTTTTGCCGATCCAGAGACCGTTGTCGAGACGGTTACTGAGTCGGCCCCGGTGGTTACATCTCTTGTTACTCTTGTATGGGCGGGCCTGTTCCTTATCTGACGTTTTCTGTCACATCTTTTTAATACCCGTGCTGATCCATGGATTAGATCCCATCATCACCGTCACCAGACACGTCATCCTCCCCATCTCAATCATCCTCATCACCGCCTTCCAGCTCGACACCTCCTTCAACCACACCTCCGCCTCCAGTCCCAGTAGCCACACAAGCACCGGCGCCGAACACCCCGGCCGGGCCTACATCGTCATGGACACCAACTCCTGTGACCGAAATACAAGTCATTACCATCAGTGGCGAAGCAGTTACACACACGGTAACTACTACGCCTACTGCTCCTCCAGAAGCGATCAGTCAAACTTCTGGGCAAAAGAAAGTATCTGGAGGAACGATCGCCGGTGCAGTGGTCGGAGCAGTGGCTGGTGTTGGAGCAATCGCCGCTTTGATCCTGTGGCTGCTATTTTTCCGACGAAGGCGCAATGATGACTCTGAAGACACCGAGAAACCCAGGATCAGTCCTCGCAGAAACACGAGCACTATGAGTCGGACTGGACTCCTGAAGTCGGAGAAACCAGAGTCAGCAGTTCCGACCCTTACGCGGAATAGTGTGCACGGGATGGACAATCTCGAGACTCCGATATCGGAGAGGAGGAACAGCAGACCTCTGTTCTTCGATTCACGATTGAACCCTTCCGCATTAATGGACCACGATAATGGGAGCCATGCAAGCGTGATCTCAATGCAGGATAACCGGGATTACACCCGGACACTTGGCGTAAGCTTTTAAGTAGACTCCATGTTTCTGAACCACTGTTGACATTGGAAACAGGTCAGAAACCCTGATCCGACAAATTCCTTCGATAAGGAAGCCCGACCCTCGTTTTCCCGTGGCTCGTAAATAATATTTACTTCGTCTCTCATTCACCAGCATTTAGCAGCGGCGTTTTTCCGGCGTTCGATACCACCGTCCGCTTTCGCGGCGCTTCTTGAGGGGCTTTGGGGATTTTCCCTGGCAGACCGGTTGTGATGCCGCATACATCTAATGGCTTTTATGAGCTTTTTGAATGTACTTGTAGCGTTTGTTCTGTGCCTCGCTGAGGCAAGGTTAATATTTATTGGTGGATACATGGACGCCGGTCGTTAAAAAGTTCAACGTTGCGGCGTGGTTCGGGGCTGCATGGAGTCGAGGATGTGGAGTAGTCAGTCCACTATGAATGAGAAGGATGAGGTTATCACAACTGAAGTTGACCATGCAACGTCGATGAACATGTGGTATCTTATCTCTTGTCTGCTGCTTGTTCGGGCATGACATGTGCTTGGCGTGGATACAGTCCTAGATTGAAATCAACGTCCAATCTCCAAAGAACGTTTCAGCACCCTCACTATCATGGCTGGCCCTCGCTATGTACTAGATTCCAACCGAACAACATGACTCATACAGACCCGGCACACGCAAGACCGACAATAAAACAGAGAAGTCCGTGAACCATATCGCACCGCCGAATATCAACCACCACCTCCGAAGCGCACATTCTCCCCACATACCCCTCCTACCCCTCCACGCGCGCTCAGGCACACCGACAAAATGAGCAAGATGTGGGAGGTCGACCCTGAGACCAGGAGCAAGGTGCGTAGACTCCTCACGCCGCAAAGAGGAGGGGTACGACACAGGCAGCTGGCGCACATATCGGCATGGTTGTTCGTTACGGGCACGGCTGACTGGTTGCGCAAAACAGTTACTGGAGATTCAAAAGCAGAATGGCAACAATGCCTGCGTCGACTGCGGTGCGCCGAGTCCGCAATGGGTATACACCTCTCCTCCTCCCCCAGCTTCAATCGGTCCTCCCACACCCATACTCCCCCCGCTCTGTACACCCGCGACGGCCCGCCAATACAACACCCCAGAGACCCCAGCTGACACCCCTCCCCGCCCCTAGGCCTCCCCCAAGTTCGGCATCTTCATCTGCCTGCAATGCTCCGGCATTCACCGCGGGCTCGGCGTGCACATCTCCTTCATCCGCTCCATAACCATGGACTCCTTCAAGCACGCCGAGGTGCTGCGCATGGGCGCGGGCGGCAACGCAGCCTGGCGCGCCTTCTACGACGCCTACCCCGCCAACAAACTCGAGGGCCGCACGTTCGAGGAGAGCAGCATACAGGAGCGCTACGACTGCGCTGCGGGCGAGGAGTGGAAGGAGCGGCTGGCGGCCAAGGTCGAGGGGAGGGAGTTTGTGCCTGTCGTGGCGGAGAAGAGCAGGCCGGTGGGACGGCAGGCCAGGAAAGAGGCCGCGCCGCCCTCGGTCGGTAGCACTGGTGGCAGCGCGGCAGGGAGCCGCTCGCACACCCCACTCGCGCGGACACGCTCGACGGACTCGGCGGGGCCTCGCGCCGGCAGTCCAGCGCTCGGCACAGCGGCGATGGGACGGAAAGCGCAAAACGAGGCCTTCTTCGCGCGCATGGGGAATGAGAACGCTACGAGACCGGACGACGTGCCGCCCAACCAAGGGGGGAAGTATGCAGGGTTTGGATCGGAGCCTGCACCGAGCAGTAGAAACGCCGCTGGAGGAGCGGCACCAGCGATACCTGGCGTGGACGACTTTCAGAAGGATCCGGTTGCGGCGCTGACGAAGGGGTTTGGGTGGCTGAGCAGTGCGGTGGGGAAGGGGGCGCAGGTTGGGTATGAGGGGTGGGTCAAGCCGGGGGTGCAGAAGGTGTGTTCAGCTCTCATGCTATCCCTGCAGGTGTGCTTCATCCCAAGCTGATACTGACTCTGTTCTCGCTCTACAGCTAGCAGAAGCAGACATCGCAACCCAAGCCCGCCGCACCGCCGCCCAGCTCTCCCAAGACGCCCAAACAACCCTCTCGCGCTTCGTCGAAGGCGACGATCGTCGGCCTCCACGGCAAACCTCCAGGACCACAGCAGCCACAGGCGGTCAGGCATCGGTGGAACCAGACAAGCGCGACTTCTGGGACTCGTTTGGCGACGCCCCGAGAGGCCCCCCAAAGGAGAAGAAAGACTTCTGGGATGACTTCGCTGCCGCTGGAGAAGTGCGGACGACAGCGGCGCCGAAACCGAAGCCAGGGGCGATTGGGACGGGCGTTGTCAAGAAAGCTGGATCTGGGGCGGCGCATGGGCAGGGGAAGGGGAAGGGGGACGATGATGGGTGGGGTGATTGGTGAAGCATGAGGGTTTACAAGAATGGAGTTGCTCTTGGGGGAGTTTGGTTGATTGGCGGGGCTAGACGGGGTCGGAGCGGCTGGGATCGAGAGGGACGAGGGACGAGGGACATTTATACGTATCATGGCAAAGTGGAGTCCGGACCACGCTCTGCTAGCCCGAGTTGAGCGCCAGAGAAAGAGAAGTTAGGGGGTCGCATGCCAGGCTTTGGGTCTGGCGACTGGATATAGCAGTCAAGAAGAGATTAGAGCATCTGGGCAATAGCCCAATGATCCGAGAAGCAGATCGATTCTCTCCGTTATATCTTGCCCTCCCTCCTCAACCCCTCGTACAACGCCCACCCCACCAGCGCCTTGGCGTCTCTGCCACCCTCGCGCCACAGCTCCTCCAGCCGCACAAGCTTCAGCGTAATCTTCTCTCCATGATCCCTCAACCCCGTCAGCTTTCCCTGCCACTCCTTCAGCGTGTCCCTCTTCACGCGTCTCTGGTGCAGGAAAATCGGGATAAACTCATCGCTCCCCCCAGCGCTGGGATACGTAGCCCGTTGCAGTTTCTCGCCCGTGCTGTCTCCTGTCGGTGGTAGGGCCAGCTCGGACATGTTGACCAGCGAGTCTTCGGAGACTTCGAGCCCGGTCTCTTCGCGGATCTCGTTTGCGGCGCCACCGGCGAAGGAGCCTTGGTCGCTGAGCATGCCGGCGGGGAGCTCGGCGAGGGAGAGGGAGCCTGCGGGGATGCGGGGCTGCAGGGTCAGGAGGACGTGTTTGTCGGTTTCGGTGTTCTCGGGGACGTCGTCGGGTTGGAGGACAATCTTGGATCGTGTCGGTCAGCTTTGGCGAGGATGGTTGAATGGGAGGGAGAAGTCGTACCATCATGCCGACGCTGCCGCCACGTAAGAAGACGGAGCCGGGAAGCTTTTCGGAGTCATCATTGGAGACATCGGCTTTCAACTTGATGAAGCCGATCTTGTCACCACCGCCGAAGAAGTCGACGGACTGAATGTTGATGCTGCGGAGCTTGTAGGGGGAGGAATTGAAGGTGTGGTCTTCGTTCTGCTGCAGAGACAGGGAGTGCTGCAGGGTTGATATCCAGTCCGTAAACGGCTTGAAGCCTAGGAGCTGGTCCTTGGAGAGGTCTTTTGTAAGGTTCACTGTGCACTCCGGCGAGGAATTGGGGAGGGTGAAGCTTGACATGGCGGCTCTCGTAATCAGGTTGTATGCGGAGTTTGGGATGTGATGTGCTGTCAGCCGAAGTCGAGAAAGCATCGATATTGTGGAGCGCTGCTTGAAGCTGCCATGGATATGTCAATTGCCGTTCTCGATGCCTCACATTGATCGTGACGTCTGACAGGGTCCAGAGCAATCCCTGCTATGCGGGACATCGGCGGCGGAAAGAAGACCAGGATTGCCGGAGCGGATATCTTGGCTGCTCCGCTCTTCTTCGACCCCACCGCCACCTTAAACTACTTCACTTGGTAGAGTTCATTGCAGAACTTTACCTGTTTCGTTCGTAAGTTAGGACGCTGAGGATTGTGTGGTGTAAAAGGGGCTATCTGCTCTGGTCCTCCTGCTCTACGATATCAAGGCTTCGTGAAGTCAGCTTATCAACGTATCGACCGTGGCAAACTGTTGACGCCCGCATCTTACAGATTCAGTCTTTACTATATCTTCTTCGAGGCTTAGTTCTCTTCAAACTTCGTCGAATCCTTGGAGGATTAACCAGAGGTCTCAATAAGATCTCTGATCACAATGGGGACACTCACTGGCGATATGCCGCGTCTCGCTGAACACTGCCCTCACAAGCTTCCAACGTCTTGCCGGCTGACGGCCACACCCTTGTGCTGCGCCTGTCAAGACAAGAGACCTCATTCGCTGACGTACCGGATCTATGTCGACGGCGTTGGCTTCGTATCGCGCGGTACAAGGTGGCAGGGCTACTGCTGGTACTGCAAAGGTGAGGAAAATGATGTGCTGCCGATAATGTTCAGAGACGCTGACTGCTAGCAAACAGAGTTCTGGACGAAGCGTGTAGAGGTAGCACCGATTCGTACTTGGAATGCCGAAATACCTGAAAGTCCCGACCAGACAGAGTTCCTTAAGAGATGGTTCGAATTCCACCAGGGCTACCGGTTAGTAAAGCGCGAGGATGGCTCCGAAGAGAGGAGGGCGGTTCTCGGTGAGCCATGGAAAGACGTTGCCCCTGGAGAGTTGCCTAGAACGCTCGACGAGCTTCGAACGGGAATCCGTGAGATACCTGACGACCCATCCGCGAACCTCCAGGACTGGCTTCAAGAGACAATGCCCGAGCCCTTCGAGTCGATTGAAGATACTCTGAATGCGCTGCTAGAAGAGTCTGACTCAGATGCTGAGGATAGCCGACCTTCACCAGAGGCCGGATCTGTAGTGATAGTCGCTGAACCCGAGTTGGATGCAGAATCGTCTCCCCTTATCCAAAGGTCTCCGCGACAGCCGGATGTAAGACAGCGCGCTCGTCGTGAAGTCAACTCCAACCAGTCTGGACCTCGCCAACTGACAGTGTCTTCCAACGAAGCTGCTCCCCCACAAACTGAGCAACAAGCTCGGCATGAGGTCGCTCGAAATCGCTTGGAAGAAGCTCGCCACTCTAGGGAGCGAGCTGCGCTTGCGCTGGAGGAGGCAGAGAGCGAGGTTCAGGCCAGACAAGAAGAGGTCCGACGTATCGAGCGCGAGCAGAGGACTGCAGAAAACTATACTCGCGTGTTCGGTACTCGAGAAGAGATAGAACGACAAGGCGCAGATTACGAGAGTCCCATCGGCGGCATGTTCAACAGGGCCTGGGGCCGGTTTCGAGAGGCTGAAGAACGCCGGAGGGAGGGAGTCCCAGCGCCTCAAGGCGATCCTTGGAGTAGTGCAGCTCCAGCCCATTCTAATCCGACATCGACACTTACGCCTCCGAGCAATTCTTCGCTCAATACAGCACCTCCGCAGTCCACTGCGACGACGAGATATGAGCCGGAATTCTTGACACGTGAGATTAACCGGATATCAAACGAGGTTCTCGACGATGAAATGCGTGAGCTCCTTGTACAACGAAGCATCCTGCAATCGCTACGAGATCGCTTAGACCAGATACAAAGCAGTCCAGTGCAGCAAGAGCTCCAGGATGTGCCAAGCCAAGGTCTCGATGGAGGCGACCGTCCTGAGTCGAAGACCGACCAAGAGATGACCAAGACGGTGGACTGCAAAGTCTGCTACCAGCAAATAGCAGACACAGCGGTCCTGCCTTGTGGACACATGGTTATGTGCCAATGGTGTGCCGATGTGCACATGCCGACCCATGAGCATGACAGAACTGCGCTGAAGACGAAGAAGCCGTGCCCGGTCTGTCGAAAGAAGGTCAACAAGCGGGTCAAGATATTCCTCGCCTGAACGGCTTTGGGCGTGGCGGGAGGGCGTTGTTGCAACCGGCGCTTGTGAGCGGCATTGAAGTGTGTATCATGCTCTTACTCGCTCTCCGCCACTAGGTGATGGGAACAGCGATTGAGATCTAATAGAACCAGACCTACATGTAGATCAAGCTTGTGAGTGTGGTCGGTAGTCCAGGTGGCGATTTCAGCTGGCTCGGTTTTTGAGCCTGCGCTTAAAGACTGGTGAACCGATTCAACCGAAGTTCCCACCGTGAGCCCAGTGTACATGTGCCAAAAGCCTTGGACGATTCAAGCTCATACTTCTTGATACAATCTAACTAACCATCTCTTAGCGCTACGATGCGCCACAAACTTGATCAAAAACCAAACAGGAACAAAGCCACAGAGTCTTACACGGACACGCCATGAGCCTTATGGAGCCGATACATCATGTCCAGGGCGTCATCATCGTCCTTTCTTAAGCCATCTCTCATCTCGTCTTCTTGCCTCTTCCCTTCGATCTATCCTGTTATTCTTCTTTTTCTTGTTCCTTCTCATGGCCCTACTCCCCCTCCTCTTCATGTTTGTCTGCGTCGACGTTTGCGATTAGGCTATTGCCCGTCTTCCCAACAAGCTTAGGTAGTTTCCGCTTCATCCTCAAAACTGCTACAAGCCTGGATAACATAGGAGTTCGGGCTTAGGTCAAGAGGCTCAACATTGTGCTCTTCGACTATGAGGTCCGCTCGTATCGATGCAGCGCGTGCTTCAGGGTTCGGCAGCACCCGTTCGAAACTTGGCGGCGGAGATATGGCGTTCGAGTCTGCTGGATAGAGGAAGCCGTTGGGGACGCTTTCTTCCACGTGCGGATGCTAGGCGGCGTTTTGTGTAGGCGCTGACTTTGATCGCCGAGTGGAAAATGGGTTGAGAAGATGATCATCCGAAGAAGTTACGAATCAGCAGCGTTCTCGGTCGTCGGTCGTCCGCATCGCGCCTTTCTGGTGAGTTGCAATCCCATTTACTTCGCCACTCTCGCCCTGCACATTGGACACGAGGCGCTCATCATCAACCATCTCTCGGCACACTCAGAATGAAAGATGTGCTCTACGGGGCTGCATGGCAGCACTGTCAAATGCTGACAGCGCCCATCAACGAGCAGCTCCTTGCAGATTGAGCACTCGACAGGTTTGCCGTTTTCAGACTTGGTCAACCATGCGGTACTGTCCAGGTCGCGCCGAAAGGACTTGATGGTCGCTTGCTTTACGAGACGGCCGGTGCCACCGTGTCTACTAGGCCGATCGAGATTAAATTCCCAGTCTCGCCAGTGAGGTTGCACAGGCTCGTAGCCGACAGCTGCCCGAGATTCATTCACCGTATTGTAACGCTCCGCAATCCAAGACTGGCGGATCGGACCGGCATCGTACGTCTACAACAGCAACATCGTTAGCAAGGTGCGAGGCGCATGTAATACTATAGGGCGACAACAACTTACGGTGAAGAACGCGGCATCCTCCCTCGCGGCAGACGTGCCGACGCAACACTGGCAGCTCGTGCCCACGTCGGAGACAAAGTCGCTGTCGCAGGAAATGACGAGATTGGAGTGACGCTCATGATCCCGTAGCTCCTCGCGTTTGGCATACACAAGTCCATTGACACAGCCACCAACGGGGCATTTGCCGAGAACCTCGCGAATCTCTCGCGCACTCGGGTTCACGATGACCACCGGACATATACGCGAAAACGGGCCCAGCAGCTCCACGAGGTCTTTTGACTCGGGTAGGTCCACATCGCCCTGAGGTGGCGTGTAGCACCATTCAAGACCGTTAATGGTGTAGGTCCCAGGCCGCTCGGGAAACGCATGCTGGAGTTCTCTCGCTTGGTGGTGCCAGCCGTCATCATCACTCCAAACGGCGGTGATGATCAAGATGCGGTTTTGTTGCCCGTCCCAGCCAGACGGGTCTCGATAATTGACAGCGAGGACAGTGCCGACGGTGCGAATGTGGTGGAATTTTATGATCTGCTTGATCTTATCCCGGGCGTTTTCGTAGTCTCCCTTGTCATTTGCCCACTTGCGAGCTTCCACTGGCGGTGGCCGGATTAGACGCGCGAGTTTGTCCATTTTCGCCGCGCTGGGGTCTGTATACCGGTTCGTGATTGGATGTTTCTACGGTTGATTTGTTGACGTAAATCAAGAGACGCAGCGAGTGGTAAGTATTCTAGCGGGTGCGGTCTATTTTAAAGATCTCTCAGAGCGGTGGTGGTGCTACAAGAGGTCTACGGCCGGACTCGTGGGATTTGAAGAGCTTCGACAGGATGTGCTGGGTGCGTACGAAAAATAGAAAGAGCAAGAAGAATTATATATCCACACGTTGTCCTGGTGAGCGAACTCGCCTTGGTCGTGAACCATAACTTTGCCTTTCACAGAACCATGGTTCAGACACAAGCGAGCCCACCACGCCCGGGCAACGGCCTCGCACATGATCTAGCGGCATGGTACCAGATGTGAATGCTACAATGGGCGGCAGCGACCCCATACCGGCAGTCTCCAGGGCTGTAGGCCTGGACCCTACGGGTGAAGGAAGGGTGGTGGACGTCCACGACCCCTGAATCTGAAGTCGTAGTGCAGTATCTATACCGCCGTACACTTAGTTTGCGTTTTCCAAACGGCTTGCTTAATGAGGGAACATACGTGCGGCGCTAGAATTGCCAACGAACGGTCGATAACTCTGGAAGGAAAGGAAACAGCGGATGGCAGGATTGACAACAGTGTATGTCTTTGTCTTGCGACAAAGAGCGGGACTCGCCCTCGACGATCACTCGCCTTGGGACGGTCGCCAAGATCTTTACATCTCCCGCGACTCTTCGATACATTTCGCCTTCTCATCGGGGGCAAAATAATGGCCTTGACGAAGAGTATCGGACAGCCCTGTCTGTTTCTAAAGTCTACCACGTCTCTTGCTTGTATCTGCCTGCCTTCTCCATACTCAGCAAATACCTTTCTGCATCCTCCCTTTCCAGTGCGCCCTCTTTCTGAAATACCTCGATCAGCGCCTCACGCACCGCCTGCGGCATCTTACCCGACGAACCGCAGATGTAGACAAGTCCGTTGCGGGTCGTGAGTGCATCGTACACAAGGCGTGACTGCTGCCGGACGAGATCTTGAACATATACCTTCTGTCTCTGCAGCATACAGTAAGCAACTGCACACCGTTCACGAAAACATGTCAAGTTGGACAAAAGGAGAACTACTCACCTGATCCCTCGAAAACGCAGCAAAAAAGTCGAGCCCTGCCTCCTCTCTCAGCCTCTCCCACTCATCTCTAAAGAGGAAATCCGCCTTCTCGTTCCTACATCCAAAGAACAGTACATCCCCGCCTCCCTCCCCTTGGCCGCCGCCACTCCGTCCTTTCCTTTCATCATCCTCCTCCTGCCAAGTCATCCTCTCATAGATCAAACTCCGCATTGGCGCAACGCCCGTCCCTGGGCCAACCATAACGACCGGCCTCTTGGCCTCTGCCCTTGAGGTATTAAGCCCGCCGCGCTGCAAAGTAACGTTAATGCGCTGACCAGGCCACAGCGAAGCGATGTAGCGCGTGCAGACGCCCTGGCGGAGGCGCTTGATCACTGTGCGGTACTTTACTATTGCAACGAGGAGCTCGATGCGCGTGCCCCCACCGCTGCTTTGCAATCCTGATTCGATGGCCGATACCGCAGTCGGTGCGGGCAGTACGCCGTTCTCCATACTGCCGTTACCGTCGGAGTTAGCGGAAGCAGGAGGACCGGCTTTGAGCCGCCCGCCCGACGCAATAGAAAACTGCCGTCCCCTCAGCGCAGGCAGGATAGCGCAAGCCCACTGCCAGGGCAGCTTTACGGTGTCGAACTCCTGCAGGACCTCGAGGATAGAGCGGCGAGGCCGCGTCGTATAGTCGTAGAGCTCGTCAACAAGCGCTGGGTCTGTGAACTCAACCAGGCGATCTCGCTGGTCGGCGTCGGTGGTGAAGTGCGCGAGGAGGGCAAAAAAGGAGCGCCGCGGGATAGACATGATGTCAAGGTAGTTTTGGAATAAGGTCCGGAGGGTGAGAGTGCCGGGTGGGAGAAAGAGGTGGGAGAGGGGTGCTGGGGGGTAGGTGCTGAGGTTGGAGGCGTGGGTGGAGGGGAAGGTAGGCTTGAAGGTTAGGGGGCGGTCGGCGATGGAGGTCCAGTTCTGGGTGGAGAGAAACTCGGAGACGTCGGAGGGGAAGTTCTTGGGGTAGATGGTCAGGACGTCGCCCGGTGCGTAGGGTGTTGGTGTCGGCGTAGAGAGGGTCAAATGCCGGACGTCTTGCCAGTGGGTGGGCGATGTCAGACGCCTGTTATCGAGTATTGTCGCGGTTAGGAATCCTGGTATAGGCAGAAGGTCTTCCGGAGGTAAGTCCTTGTCCGGTGAAGCCTCAACTTGGCTGTTCGTCGTTTCGAAAGAAGACGCCGGATAGCTTCCACCGTTCGTGACTGGAGCCGCAGTCTCTGCACCGCACTCCTGGTCAGCAAAGTCGAGGATCCATTTCGGCTGCAGGAGGACATCATCCGGTATTGGCTCGACTCCGTGGGGCAGTGGATAGTGGTCCAAGAGGGTCTGCCTCAGATCGAGAGACCAGGGCAGGAAGCTTCCATCGACCCTTGATGGAAAGATGAGTCAGCGGGCTTAGTACGAAGAGGATGTTCTGAGACCCACCCTTCAGGATGTTGCTCGTCTGCTTCGCCTCGGTCATGGATCGGCTGTGCGCCTAGTTGCACAAGTCGATTATACAGCTTCCGGCTCGCCCAGTTGAATCTTGGGTGGTCAGAGAAAATCACGACAGAGGTGAAGGGTTGACGGACTTTGGGTACGACGTATCTCCCAGGCCGAATGTAGTAAACCGGACTGGCTGCAAGCATCCAGGACGTAACCGCACGCTTCTGAGCGCCCTCCAGAACGTCTGAGCATTCGCAGGGAGGTCCCCTTGGCCAGTCGTGGAAATAGCAATGATCACAACAGAGTGGTGGAGCAACTGATTCTGAAAGAAACATGATAATATCAGCTCCTGCGGAGAGCAACTCGGATGTTTGATCGAGCATGATTTTACTAAGATCAAAGGTATACGAAGTACGTACAAGCTGGACAGAATTGAGATTAGAAACTTGAGTAGCAAAGCGAAGCCGTTCTGTCAGACGTCCAAGTTCCTCCGCGACATCCTGAGCATTGCCAGTCTCTGATCCATACAAAATAAGAGCGGTCCGGCCTGGCGGCACCTCTGATGAAGTGGCCATGTCAACAGGGTGTCTGAGCAAAGGAAGAAAAGGATGACCAAGATGGAGACAGAAGGTTGGTTGCTGGGCCACAATCGCCACAGCCTAAAGACGGGCTTATCCTTTGGAGCCGCAATTCTGCTTCTGATTAAGGTGGAGATATTGACATCATTCGATGATACTCTATCGGAAGATGCGAGGCTCATGCAACCGCAACCTTCGAAGAGAGTCAAAGCCTCGAGGTCTACACTAACTCGCTGATAGCCTGACAATCTCACTACTGCCGTGAGAGGAATCGAATGTTGTTGATGGCGTCAACCTTTTTTTCTTGACCTCTGCATCCACTTCTCTAGCGCGCCCCCCGGAGAGCCGCATCTCAGGGTCCATCTGGCGCTAAGCTACTTGAGGCTAGACGGTCTCGCTTAGTCTCAGAATGCTCCCAATTTTTGTGAGCCTCCTGCTCCTTTCCTGGACTCAACTTCCTGACAACAAACAACCAACCTACCAAGTTCAGCTCCAACTCTCCCAAACAGTCTTCGGGCACTCAGCTTCCCACAAACAACTCCTCCTCGTCAAGTTTTCCCACCCACCGGCGGTCTTTGACAAGTTTCACCTTCACACACCTTCACAGGCAGACTCCAAGTCTATCCAGGACAGACAGTTTCCTCAATCTTGCACGTTCAAGTACTTCACCAAAACACTTCGTGTCATCAACCATCAAAACTACAATCAAAATGTCCGCTGCCGATGTCGACAGTGCCACCGCCCAGATGGCCAACACTACCCTCAACGAGCCCACTGGTACCGACCAAGGTGCCAACGTCGGAGCCGGCGGCGACAAGCCAATCAACGCCGCCGAGAACGAGGCCGTCATTGCCTCTGCTGCTGAGGGTAGACGACTCTACATTGGGAACCTCGCTTATGCGACCACCGAGGAGGAGTTGAAGGAGTTCTTCAAGGACTACCTGGTGTAAGTTCCACCGACTCTGAAGGAAGCAATGCAGGGAAGTAAGCTGACACGTCCTCTCTTGTTAGTGAATCCACCTCCATCCCGACCAACCCGCGCACCACTCGCCCAGTCGGCTATGCGTTCGTCGATCTCTCCACTTCGTCTGAGGCTGAGCGTGCCATCGCTGAGTTGAATGGGAAGGCTATCCTTGATCGCAAGGTATCCATTCAGCTTGCTCGTAAGCCCGAGGCGCACCAAGAAGGCGGTGCCAGCGGCGAAGAGGGCGCTAGCGGCACGCGTAGGAGGGGATCCACTCGGGGCCGTGGACGGGCTCGGGGTCGTGGTGGGCGCTCAGGCCGCGGCCGTGGTGGCGTAAGTTTCTAAGAAGTTCAAAATCCGCAGAGGAGGCGCTAATACGGGTTTCAATCAACAGAAGGGCTCCGCCGAAGGTACCGAGAATGGTCCCAACGGCGATGCTGCTGAGCATAGTGGCCCCACCAACGTCCCAGGCCAGGTCGACCCGCTGACCGAGACCACCAACGAAGCACTCACTGCCGACAAGCCGGGTGAGGACACCATTACCGTAAACCCGAGCAAGACTGGACGCACTCATGTCCAACGCGAGCGCAAGCAGCGTGGACCTCCCGAGGATGGTGTTCCCTCCAAGACCAAGGTCATGGTAGCCAATCTGCCGTACGACCTTCGTGAGGACCGCGTAAGTCTCCCGTCTGCGTTCGTTACCTGCTAGACTCCAACTAACATTCAATCTAGCTCCTGGAACTCTTCAAGGACTACTCTCCGTCCTCCGCTAAGATCGCGCTCCGCCCCATCCCTCGTTTCATGGTCAAGAAGCTCCAAGCCCGCAATGAGCCTCGTAAGGGCCGTGGTTTCGGCTTTGTCACTCTTGCTTCAGAGGAGCTCCAGCAAAAGGCTTGCGAGGAGATGAACGGCAAGGACATCGAAGGTCGTGAAATTGCGGTCAAGGTCGCCATCGATAGCCCTGGCAAGGAGGACCAGGACCCCGATGCCCCGATCGAGGGCTCTCCCGAGACAACTGAGGGCGTTCCATCCACCGCCGAGGGCTCTGCCAACACCGCCGCTGCCGTTGCTAACGCTTAAGCAACGCGACCTGGCGCACTTCTTCCGGTATCGGTTCGCTGGTCACGCCTAACTCACCGTTGTCATGCTCTTTCATCGGCGTTGCAGTGACGTGGGCGGGCTCTATACATCTGGCATCGGCATTTCTTTCGTCTCGCTCTCCGCCATGACGTCTGAGGAATGCCCGCTGGTTCGGAACTTTTATGTCATCTAGCGCTTACATTCTCGACATGTCGTTTCCAAAGCCATACTTGATACCTCCATATGTACTTTAGACCTCTAGTGGGTGATGATAGCGCGACATGGTGGTGTTTACCAAGGCAATGGAAAATCGAACGTGCCGGTTCTACTATACTGCCGCAATGCATGACTGAAATATGTTGCCGTGTGCCTTCGCTCTGCACTCACTGAGTTTGTAAACTACAATCAGCATCCATTCTTTTCGACTCTAGCAACAAACTCCCTCGAATGATGATCGGAGACCACTTTCCGTAAAATTTCGGCAAGCCGCCGGCGACAGCGACGATAGCCGAGGCCAAGCTTCCTTGCCATGTGCCTTCAAGATTCCGCATCACCACGGGCAGCACTGAGCCGCACTCAGATTTGATCTACACCTCGCAACTGCCCCAATTCCACCTGCCACCATAATCGGGAACTTCTCTGTCATACCGCAATCGCCAACATGTCAGGTCTCCGAATTCTCGTCCCCGTGAAGAGGGTGATAGACTACGCAGTACGTATACCAGCGAAACCGCATTCGCCAGTGGCCCGGAACCACATACACACAAATCTGTACTTCGATCTACGAGCAGTTACCGGAGCCACTATAACAAAACCCCCCCAGCCGCCATTCTCCAATTCCGCCACGCTTCTAGCCAGACCTCGAGCTAACAGCCCGCCCCACCAGGTCAAACCCCGCGTCAACAAAACCCAAACCGCAATCGAGACCGCCGGCGTAAAACACAGCATGAACCCCTTCGACGAGCTCTCCATCGAAGAAGCGGTACGTCTGCGCGAGCGCTCCAAGACCTCCGGCCCGAAAGTCGACGACATCGTGGCGTGGAGCGCCGGCCCGCAAAAAGCGCAAGACGTGCTGCGGACCGCCATGGCCATGGGCGCGGACCGCGGGATCCACGTGCTGGTGCCGGACGCGAGCCAGGGCGGGAAGAAAGACGGGGAGAGCGGTGATGGAGGCGATTTGGAGCCGCTGGGGGTCGCGAAGTTGCTCGCGAAGACGGTGGAGCAGGAGAAGGTGAATATGGTGATATTGGGGAAACAGAGTATCGACGACGACGCGAACCAGACGGGCCAAATGCTCGCGGGTTTGCTGGGGTGGCCGCAGGCGACGCAAGCCTCCAAGGTGGAGATGGGGAAGGATGGGACGGAGTGCACGGTTATCCGGGAGGTGGATGGGGGCGTTGAGACGCTGAGGGCGAAGGTTCCCATTGTGATCACGACGGATTTGAGACTTAATGAGCCGAGGTATGCGAGTTTGCCGAATATCATGAAGGCGAAGAAGAAGCCGTTGGTTAAGAAGGCGCCGGAGGACTATGGCGTCGATGTCAAGAGGAGGTTGAGGACGGTCAAGGTTGTGGAACCACCGCCCAGGAAGGGCGGGCAGAAGGTGGGGAGTGTGGATGAGATGATTGGGAGGCTGAAGGAGCTGGGTGCGATATGAGGGTATGTTGGGACCTGTGTGCATAGGGGCGCTCATCAAACAGAAATCTTTGGCATCGATATGCCAGTCATGGTTATGCTCGATCAGCGGGTCCTTTTCCGTGATCTCGTTTCCGGCACAGCGTACCTAAATCTAGTCGGGCAATCGCTGGAGGGTCTTGATTTCCCACTTGAAGGACTCCTCGAGGTTCTTGTTTTGCGACGGGTCCAAAGTCTGATTAATTTCTCCTTGGGTGCCTCGCTACAATGGTACTTGTCTCAGGAGAGTTCGCAGTCGAACTCAATTCTCGAGTATCATCCAGCCTGAACATCGGCTTCAAATCTCATATATGCGTATAATTGCCGAACACGGAGAACACGTGACCTGGGTTTTCTACCACTGTATGCAGGGTTATAGGCAACACGGTAAAGCGAGGAGCATCACGGTAGGCTTCAAGAAGGGCATCTGGACGAGGTCGGCAGTGACGCGTATCACTACGTCCCTACTGGGTAAACAACAAAACATTCTATAATTGTGAAATACCACTTTTATCTATGTCCGTCTATAAACACCAATAGCCCAAGCAACTCTCAAGATCGCCAGACCCCACGCCATACCCAAGCTGTCCCAGATGACATTGAGCTTGCTGCCTTTGACTTCCTTCCAGCCCACAGCCACCTCGGCCATGCCAATGTTGGCGCTTTCCGCAAGCATGAGCATCTCCACGTCAAATATCCAGCCTTCAGAATGCATAAAGGGTATTATGTAGGGGAGCGTAGGCCGCGAGAACAGCTTGAAGCCGCACTGGGTATCTTCAATGGCGGAGGTAGCTGGTGGTGTCATAAGTCGAAGGAGGACGTGGAAAGCGTGCATGAGGAAGTTGCGGAGCTTGGAGCGCTGGACGACTGCTGTCAGCTTGGTCTTACATAAGAGTCCTGTCCGTTTCATGCATAACGTACCTTGACCACAGCCTCGCTACCCACAAGATGAGCGCGCGACCCGATAGCCACTCCACGCCCAAGCTCGTCTTGTACGTCCTGGCACTTACGCACGAGCTTGCCCAGATCTTCGAACCTGCTCGCGCCGTCCGCGTCGGCGAAAGCAACGTACTTGCCGCGTACGTGCCGCATGCCATGTGTTACCGCACCGCCTTTGCCTCTGTTCTCAGCCAGCGAGATGACTCTGATGGAGCCATGTGGTATCTGCGTCGACCGCGTCGGCTTCGGCGTCCGTGGGCCCGGAACAGGTACCGGATAATGCGAGAGCTGGTGATCGCGTGCGAAATCCAATGCTGTCTGTACCGTATCGTCCGTGGAGCCGTCGGACACGACTATGATCTCCCAGCCGGTAACGCTGCCTGTCGATGCTGGAGCGGTGCGTGCGGAGCCGTTTGACAGCCCGCTCGACTTCCTTGACACAGCGGAGATGGACGGCGAGCGCGACTCCACTTCCGAGCCATGCGCGTCGCCGTACTCCCGCTGGAGGTAGTCGACGGCCTCCTCGAGCATGCCGCCCAGCCGTTCTACTTCGTTGTACGCGGGCACCACAACCGACATGAAGACCTCCGCATCCTCAATCTCGTTCAGGTCTTTGAAGTCTTCGCCTTTCCGCCGCGCCGCCTCTTTCCGTGCGCGCCATCCGTCTAGCCAGCATGGTAGCTCCTTGTTCTCGCTGACTTGGCCGTCTGGCAGGATAGTCTTGTAGGTCTTTTCGGATCTTTGCGGAGGGCGCGGATAGGGTGCTACTATGAAGACGAGGAGATAGATCTTGCATATGCGCCGCAGGTTAGCCGGGCCGAGCCGAGGGGTGGGGGACTGGGGTTGGTGGAAGTCGGGGATATACCAGGGCTGAGGTGGTGAAGAAGCTGGTTACGAGCAGGAGCAGGAGGAATTGCGGCGGCGCACTGCGGATCAATGCCCAACTCCGCTGGGCCACGGGGATGAGGCTATCATATTTGCTCATTCCTGCCCTTCGGCGCAATTCAATATCGTGGACGTAGTAGTGACAGGCTCATTGAGTGGTAGTGGGATAGGCAGGGCTTGTTGATGATTCGACACTAGCTCAGATACTCCAATCAAGCCGCCGCAGAAATCGCCACTCCGTGCCTTTGTTGGTCGTAGTGCAGCAATGGTTTGTTAATTTTGGTGATCTGTCTGTTCACATAACCCGAAGCTAATGTTCGCGCCAACCCGCTGTCTCTCTTTCTCCGAGACCGCTGCCCCCGACAACTTCAACAAACCATATTGGCCGAGAACTAAGAGAATCGCCATAGATGAAGCCAGATTTTCCTCCTGGAGAATATGCGCCAGTAGCGCTTTTTGTTCTACGATCCGAACGAGGGAGAATTGCACTGTTAGACTTTCAAAGCTTCCTCGGTTCGGGATCCAGGAATTACTCCCTCCACCGAGCAGTTCAGCTTCAATCTTCTTTCAGCTCTTCACATCTACGGCTGATATCAGGAGAGCAATTGCAGCTTCGAACATACTGGTCTTCACCGATGCCGCGCTTGGAGAACGGCTGAGTTTGTGGCGCACTATGTCCGTGTAGATCACCTCCGCTTCAGCTGTTACTCTCGTTGCATGCTTTTACGCAGCTCCTCTCTGGTTCTCATGTATCGTGAAACCGGTGCATGGGAGACACGGGTGAGTTATGCATAGCAGTGTGAGTGCAGTCACGGATCCCTTTCCTTGCCTCCGAGTTTGGACAGTGTTCCAGGGACGTTCTGTAATGCGACTTTGCTGTCCTCTACAGGCTCGCCCCGTCTTGCCACTGAACTTCGTCAGCTACGCCACTTAAATATACAGTTTGTCGACGCAGCTGCGAGTGAGTCCTCAGCTCCTGCTAATGTAGCCTGCGGAGGCCGAGAGGTTTTTTTGCCGCTCAAGCGGCAAATACAATTTGTGTACGTGGTTGGGTGTGGCTTAGTTCACGCCAAGGCCACCGTTTTCTTAGGTTTCTCTTAAATTTTTTCTAGAGAAGGAAGTAGAATAGAAAATCCTCAATTAACTCTTACTGTTCATGTGCCTCACATTTACGATAGAATGCAACGTTACGTACTCTTCCGTCGGACTCCGGAGCTCAGTCAGCATACCAAGGGAGCTATCCAGCAGTTCATGACAATTGCTCGCCCCCACACAAAACCTACGCAGGCTTTCTACCTGATTTGTTGCTGTTGAAGGCGAGTCCCGACAGCGCATGTGTGGGATTTTACTCAGCCAATCGAGTTACGAATGCTTATTCTTCATGAATCAGCCGCGCGCATATCTTCCTTCCGCTTACGGATACCTAGTATGGTTACCTCCCTCCATACATACGAGCCTCTGCGCCAGTCCATTACGCGTTTGTGCGCTTTGTGTGGATCATCAGTCAGGGTCTTACTAGAAACAAAGGGGCGGGAAACCGGAGTAGCCGAAGAATGCTGTCAGGTGGCCGCAACTGAGAATAGCCGTTTTATCTTGAATGGAATACGACCAGCGTCATTTTCACCGGATCCTGTCTGGGGACGGGCTGCCTGCTCGCTCGCACCGCACCGTCAACTCGGGCTCTCTGAGCCAACGGCCGCATGATGGTTCACCGGTCGTGGATACGCTTGCGGGTCTCTTTAGGTTACAGGTCGTGCCGGCCGAATCGTTGCAGCATAGTGAGGTTGCCTGACGACTCGTGTCGCCATTTGACCGAATCCTTCAATCTCCTGACCCGCAGCCGGTGAGGATTCTTCTTGAGGCCGGAGCTAGACTTTGATTGACTAATGCCGCGCTGCCTGGAACGGCTAGCTTTTGAGAACCGACCACTTACTGGCTTAAGACCCAGTTGCCTTGGCTCAGCTCTTGTCCAGAGGATGCCGTCTCGGATGCCTCCGTCAAATCAAACCCTCGAGATCATCTGATCTTCCCATCGACTGGTATGCTTGAGTAATTTGCTCAAACGCCCCGAGATGCGCTGAGGGCACAGCTTTAGCGGGCTGCGGCTTGGTAGACGTGTTCTTGTCCTCTTCTTGACTCGCCGGTTGGAAAGAAGGCAACCACCATTGAGTGGTTTTGTCTTGCTTGGTAGAGCTTCCGAAACGTCACCGGCGCGCGTTGTTGGCTCGTACTTCGTGATGCAGATGGCGGGACTGTGCTCATCAGACTTGTATCTCAAGGATAATGTAGCTCACCTGATGCCCGAGTGTTTTCGACCACGTTGCCTTCCAGGCCAGTGGTATCCATGGAACACATGAAGCCATCACCACGGCTGTGCCGTATCTACCGCTTGTCGTTCGGCAATTGGCTTTGGCTAACGATTTGGGATCCAGTCTCTACACAGTGACAACGAGTCGTAGCTTTAGCCTCCCCGGCTGCCATGGGCTACAACCTCTGGAAAGCTCTTTCGATGCCTCGTCTCATGCCTGAACTCTCGCTTTGATATAGACGTGGCACGATTTAGTGGTCCACGAGACGTTGATGAAACTCTAATTATGCAACGGCGTGCTGCAAGAGTGAGGCTGTAGTTTCTCAAAGAGCGTGAGGTGTGCAGCGTGATTATAGGGTACAGCGAGTAGCCTGTAATGCCAGACGCTAACCACGCATTCTGTGAGTCAAGTCACCGTTAGCGACACGGGATTAAATGCTAGTAATTGTAACTGCAGTTTTATTAATATACACTTTTAGCTCTGTGGCACTCGGAGTATCAGCTATGAAACTCACCTTGAAACGAACAAAGTCTCCTCCGGCTGGATAGGGGTTGATTGAGGTGAACTGTCGTCTCTAGGCCGTGACACTGTTTACACATGCGTGTTTCCACGTGACTAGACCCGCGTATAGCGCGGTTGTATAGATGTTCCACGGTTCGGCGTCTGGTCAAACCACCTTTGACTAAACGCCGAACCATGGAACACTGTACTCCGTATCGTCACTCAAATGCAAGGCGGTGAGGCAGCAGTGCGTTGGCCGCACGCACTGCGAACCTTGGAGCTTCAGCATCTTTCGAGGAGCCCAAGGCGTCTTTGTGATACGACACCTTACTCTTACATGCATGAAACGTGCCAAGGTCTAACGTATTTCAGACCTCGCGGTAGTGTTGTCCTCGCTTAATGATCAGAACATCACCCAATGGTATGAGCGCTTCATGGTGAAAAATGGAGAACGTAGTGCGCTTGAATCGCCGGTTCACGCCGATATAGATGAATAAGCAAGTTAAGCTGCTTTAAGTAATGATCCATGGAGATTTCTGGAAATGCGGGCCTCTCCGGCTGACAAGTCGGTTTTTTATCCAATGGGAGCTTGGTTCGGGACTACACTACCGCGAGGTCAACTCTACCTGAAATACGTTAATGCAAAATCTTATAGCAGTGCACATGTGAGGCTTTCGGCTTCTAGTCATGCAACAGCCGCCGCACGCCAGACGCTGCGTTGAACATGTGCATATCTTATTGAACGATCGCGTAGATTCGGGTTCTATCTATTGCAGTGGGCTTCCAGCAATAGTGTAAGCCGGAATTACAGGACTGAGCTGCCACTTGACGTAAATGGTCCCGCGTCCTTGGCAGGAGGAGTAAATCTTGAAGCTGGAGCCAAGGGGCTTAAGCCGAACCTCAAATCAAACAGACCGTTCAGTGAATACATTTTGATATGCGTTCGCTCTCGGGACATTTATATGGCACAGTCGCGGTAGAACGGAGGTATCAGGTATAGTAGAAGAGCACCTGGCCAATTCTGTCCTGGGTTTTTGGTGGAAGGTGAAACATGCAGATAACATGAAACAAACGACGGTCAACCATTCAGGGAATGGAGAATGTAGGCCATTCTGTCCTGAAGCACGGTAATACTATCCCTGCGGTTGCTAGGAACAGCTATGAAGATACACTTTTCCCTCCAGATCCTGCTCGGCTCCGGGTGCGGCCAAGGTCCAGGATGTTCCGCAGCTTGGAAGAGGCCATGGCTCGTACGCCAGAGGCTTGTGCCTTGAGACTCATGGATTCCATGTCCGTGACCAGTACTGCAGCTTCCACACCCTCCTGTGGACCCGATACGGCTTCCGCGGTATCCTTGTTGAAGCCACTTTGCTGCCTTGCAACACCCACAACCACATCATCTATGCTTGCTCGATCGTTCCCTACCTGAGAATTGAGATGTCCACGACCAGTTATTTCTCGGCTTACGTCCTTGCCCTCTGCCGTCAAGACTCGAACATTCTTCCACTGTGTAATCGCCATGTCGATAATCCGTAGCGCTCGTACCGCGGCGCGGTGTTTTTCATCTCGAGCATCTCCACTGCAGATGAGCGAGAGCTCCTCAATCACTAAGCAAGTCCGTCAGAAGATCCAGGGGAGTTCCAGCAAATGTCTCGACAACTAACCACTATCCGGTATTACCACGTTCCATGTGCCACCCTCGATAAGCTCGCAGAAGACATCGTACTGATCCAGCAACATGCTCGTATCGCAAACAATTACCTGCAAAGAACACAAGTCAAAAAGGCGTGGTCTCCTATGCCACGAGCGTTACTGACTGTGTAGTGCTGCATCACTTGCTTGTTGGGTGTCTGATGCTGCGGTTGCTGCTCTTCGCTCTTGAGTGTGCGCGAGACTGGGCTCTGGCGCTTCGGACTAACGGCATCAACGGTTCTTACAAACGCCTCCGACTGATGTAGATCTACCTCCATGTTTGTAGTCATGGTAGGTTGAGTAGGCAACTGTTGAGGCGAATGAGAGTCTCTGCCCCCAAAGGTGAGGGAGCCGACAGCCCATGTTTTGAACCTTCTGTCGTAGTTTAGGTATTGACAATCCTTCAAAATGTGTTAGCTGGGCAAGCTTGCCAGTCGCGTGTTCGCGTACTGATGCCATCTGTCTACCCAACCACAAAACCCTTTCAGTCCTTGATTCCACAGTCGAAGCAAGCTCCAGTGACCTCTCCTCTTCGTCCAAGTCGTGCTTGGAGAACCAGTCTGCTGGATGGTACCCCTGACTCCATATTTGGCCGCGCATCTGAAAATCTTCTGGCAGCGGCCGACTATCCTCGCTCTCCTGACCCGGAAACGTATTGCTCTCAAGGTGTGACCCAATCTTCTCGGACCTTGCCAACGTATTCAGAAATGAAACAACTTCTCCCCATGGGACGTATCTGAGAATTGCTGAGCAGTCGTGTGGGATTCTCAAAAGAGCCAGAACAAACACGAACATTACGTGCACGTATGAGAGCACATTTCTATCCCCTATACGCCGAAGAACAAGCCGAAAGGTGGAGAACACCAAGTGACACGCAAGAGCAAACGTTGGGTCGGTAAACGGGCCTGGGAGATTGGTAGAAGCCGCTGTGTTAAGCTCCGGTTTGAATAACGGGACGCCTGCATCCGGTTCCGAAGGGAGGTTCTCCACTCTCTGATGCCTGTACATTTGATCAAAGTACCCGCGCAAAGCAGACTCCTTAGCTCCGTAGAGGAAGAGCGAAGCCAGATTAGAGACGGCTACGTATATGCCATGTTCCTTCCATTTAGCTGTCACGCGGCCAATATGATTATCCAGCTGTCCAAGAAATTCGTTCAGTACCGGTTCGAATGAAGCCAAGGAAACCCTGCCGAAAAGTATGCTGTGTGCCTTGACGAAGACAGTGTCGATGCTGACCGAGTGGGTATGAGACGTATTCGTACGACTAGCGAGTGTTCCAAACAGCGTGAGAATCGATTCCTTCGTACCCATAAAAGGCTCCAGACATGTAAGGGATCGTGAGTAGTAGTGGAGCTGCTGGAGCGCGTTTGGCCTTGCGAGGATAGCTAGGTGATGATAGAGCCGACCGACAGCAGGGCTTCTATCAGCGCCTTTGCAATACCAGAACCTCGCGACGCCTGCCCAAGTCTCCCGGTCCCGGATATCTTCATCCTCCACGGCCATACGATACCGAGCTAGGTCACCCAAACATTCGACCCAAGTATCCTCGAACGTTGGAACCGTCTCATACAACAGAGCAACCATTTGGTAAGCAATATAAATATAAGAGAGCATGTAGTCTAATGATTCAGGAAGGCGAGCACGTAGTAGCTCGAGGAAAGAGTGGATCCCGTGCTTCCACATGCGTGCCGGCATAGAATATTTAGCAGCCAAACGTCGTAAAGCGGGAGATGCGGACGGATGCTGAGAGGCAAGGAAAAAGTCATGGTGCTCGTGTAGCAAGGTCCGGTGAAGAGCAATCAAGGCTGCCCAGTGGTCCCCCTGCAGCTTTGGCGGCTGACCAGATCCAGCTTGGTTCGCCGTCGCTTGGGACTTGTCAACTTGTATACATTTGGTCTCGACCATTGTCAATCCAGCGTAGATCGACTTCACCTCCGCAGCGAGTTGTTCCTGGGATATTGGCCGGCTGTCAGGTTGCATCACCATACCAGGCCACCGGGGGTCAGTCTGACCGTGCAAAACTCCAGATGGGCGACCCGCCTGCTGTGTCTGAGATTCGGAGCTTGACATGCGACCCTGAAGATGGGACAATGGTTTGCGGGTTCCCAGCTCTGGCCCCTGTGGATTAATAGTGTAGGCGCCGGCCAATATCTGAGGCTGCATAGATCGTTGATCGCGAGGCAAAAGGTCCAACACCGGAGAATTATAAGAACCAAAAGGAATGTTACTAGGGATATCGTGCATATTAGACGGCTGCTTGTGGCCCGGGAATCGCAGATGTCGGTCACGTGAGGAGGCATAAAGCCGATCATGCGATGACTCAGTATTCCAGGCCGCAGCAGGATCCACGGCTTTGGTCTCTGAAGCCGAATTCGTTCTAGGACGTTGTGGATTGGTAACATGACGGACATGGCGTGGCGAAGCGCCTGGTGACTGGAGATCTGAACCGGCAGGACGTTTCTTGTTTGGTCGTTCCGAGGACGGCTCCTCTTTAACAGGTGGGGAGCGCTTTACTCCTGGATCAAGGGTCAAGCCAGGGAATTCTGGAGTCAGTCTGCTTTCCGAATCTCTAGGCGGAGACGTAGTAGTTTGTGGGTTAGATTTGCTGAGCGAGGATTGATGGAGTTTGCTTCTACCGCATTAGCGAAACTCGGTCACACCTACCATGATGAAACTGTATGGTGGTACGGAGTAGTAAGAGACATACGCTTGATGCAGCCCTTCATCTCGCAGAAGCATCTTAAAGAGGTCGGTGCCGCGTCTAAAGCCCAGTCTTTCGACTTGAGCGCGGTGATCTGCAACGACGTGCTCCAGCAATCGCTCATAGTCGTTGAAGAGAACGTGGTCGCAATAGGGACAAGAGAAGACATGGCCTGTGGCCCCGGTTGGAGGTGTGGCTTGCGTAGAGATATCCCCTGTGAAGCTCATTTTCAAAGATTAAAAGGCAGGCTTATGGCTCCAGGGGTTCAACCGATCCGCAGGAGATGTAATCGACGGATGTCTGTCGCGTTCAATGATATGGCACTCTTGGTTGGATTTGGCCTTTGAGATCGTTGGTGTGATGGAATAGCAGGATTCCTTTGGATTTGACGAGGAACCTGCATCGATCTCAAACCAATTCAAAGCACCGCTGATCCGGTGTCCAGTGTCCAGAAAGTCGCCTAACAACGACATCAGCGAGTATTGACACTCGGATCATTGAGGGACGCAGTACCTACTTCGTTATGCAGGCGCTGGGCAACGCTTCGGCACCAACAGCTAGCGGCGAATAAGCCCCTTGGGTCATACTACAATGAGCTTTTGAAAGAAGGACAGGCACAATCCGCAAAAATGCGGAATACTCCCGGACTACCTGTGTTGTCCCGTTATTTATTTGATGCATACTCCGGTGAGCTTGGCGTAGGTCTCGGAGCTCGCTGTTCCGTCAATGCAACCTGTTTGCCTACTTTTTTGCTTAGCGCGCCCGCGGTGCGCGAACCTGACCCTGAACCTGACCCCTGTAGATTGAGGCTCTTTTGTCCGTCAAGTGTCCGCCCTTCTTCCCCTCCCCTCATATCTCTACCGTAGGTACTAATCTACCACAGAGCGCGCACGCTTGGTTCTGTCCAGCCTCACGGTTGCAATTAGAACGCCCGTTGGTCCGTGCTATTGTCTAACCGGTCAAAAGTGCACCGTCGTGGGCGACTTCAATATGTCATGTTCTATTTCTGCCACTGCTTGCGGCGTGTAAGCCGCGCACAGCTGGTAGGAGCGAGCATGCCTCAAGCACACTGGTACTGGAGTCTTCTCATAAAGTTCAAGGAGGCAATCAATGCCTGTCATCAACTCAGCTCCGCGATGCTGGAACAGCCACGCCACACTACGGCGCATAAGTAGTCAGCTGCCAAAAACCAGAAGCCTAACGAGAAGCTCAGGATGCCTCTTCAGCCGTAAGACAATGTCTCATGGCGTCCGGCTGCCTAAATAATAAGCTCCCTAGGACTTCCGCTGAACGTCGAGACGCTGTGCCTCCCTCCTCAAGTCGACCTGCGCTTATACGAATGGCTGCAAGCAAAGGAGGGCAGTGCCTTTGGGCCTAAAAGTGGAAAACAGACGCTCAGGCTCAAGGGTCGAAGAAGCAGGACACTCCGACTTCCCGACTGCGGGATCAATGAACAATAAACCGCCTCCGACATGTGTGGGTGCGGTTACGAGTGTTCATTCTCCAGAGATGATCCGCCAACATCACGAATATCAAACGCTTCCGTCTTCTTACTTGCGTCCGTAGTGACGTGCTTGAGGATGACTTACGAAGCCGAGATGGGAGGACAAAGAATGCAACGCGAAGATCGGATGCGCGAGCCCCAAATATCAGTCTCGATGATAACCTAGAAGAGCGACGCCAGGCTGCTATCGGTCAGTCGTCGAAAGAATGAGATGCCCGGTCCAAGGCCCGTGTCTGAGGCAGACATCGGCCACCAAACAAGTCCGCGGACACTAATCTGAAGTGTAGCACTCAAATTGTCCCACATAACACAGAAGGCCGTTAAGTCCTGCGAAAGATAGGCAGCTGAGCACCAAGCTAATGCCTTGGTAACTACTGCTCTCCTGATCCGGCGCTTGTGGAAGGCGGGAAAGACCAATATGTTTCCGACCGTCTAGGAAGTCCAAGTCTAAGACACTCGTGGGTTAGCCTTTCAGTTGTTCGTCTCTATGCGGCCTTATGACCGAGCTATTACGGCGTTCAGTTTGCGTGTCTGCCTTGGTTGGCTCCCATCCAATCAAGCCTTCCTAGTTGTCTTGTGCTATCGGATGCGGACGTCAGCACTTCTCCGTATTGCACTACGTGTGATCGAGATCAGTCTCATGACTGATTCTTCTACATGTGCTTACTCCCGCTTCTCCATGTCCGCACTCACTCCTTGCTTGCCTCATTTACTGGTACTCTACCAATGAGTCTGCGGCTGTAGGCGTCAGGTAAGACGCATCGAAAGAGCAGAACCTTTTTCAGCGCCTTGATCATGTCTCTCTGCAAGCAGGCGCCAATTTCCACAGCACCAGGTCTAGGTCAGTATCTCAGCCTGATCTAAGCCGGCAAGCTTCATCATCGTACAGAGCTGCTGATCGACCTCCGAGATCGATGTATTGACGCTTCATGATCAACCGAGGCCTTCTATCTGAGCCTTTGAGTGTGTGGCCAAGCTAGAGGATGCCTTTCCAGCGGTTATGCCAAGCCCAATTCCTGAACCCTGAACCCAACCCGCCGGTACTATTGCATCTGCGGTAATGGGCTGATGACCTTCGATCTCTACGTTATGTTATCCCCGGAGCATAGATATGAGGCAATCCGGGAACAGCCATTTGATTAGCGTCCGCTTTTTTGTGACACGCACTCTACTGTGAGCAGCTAAATCAGTGCACCGCGAAACTCTCGCTGTGGAAGTCACGTTTTTCCGACCATGCCTCGCTTTACCATCACTACATGCCCCTACAAACGAAGCAACGATTTGCTTTAAATAATGTATTAAGATAGAGAGTCGACTGAAATCTTACAAGATAGCTTTTGTAGCCTGAACAAGTTAATAATGTACGTGATTGATGAAAATATGGTTTTCGCGGTGCACTGATTTACCCTGCCCCAGGTGTGGCGCTCCTGGTCTCCTTACTGACGGGTCCACAGGCCGCTTCCGCTTCCTAATCATGACTACCTGCACTTGAGCAGTGTTGTATCGAACGTTGAACAACCTTCAGCTATCAAGTTTGCCTTGCTGTATGTAGGTGCAATGCAGTTTCCCTTGCTTCGCTATTATATGACACGAACGATAGACCGCATGTCTGGGAACAAGATAGATAACAGCGCTTACAGCACATTGAAGGCTGACAAGGCAACCAGGCAAATCGGCAGCCAAGGGATCACCTCTCCCGTCAATCGTTCATCACACCAGTTCACCTGGAGAACATCAGCCTAACAAAGCTTGGGATGTTGCTTGGCCATGCATTGCTGGGGCAAACTCCTCTAAAACAGTGAGTGTGAAAGGTGGCACTCATTAATGAACCCAAAGCAAATCCTGGGTCCTAATGCTCAACACATAGCAGTGAGACGTACATCCTTGTATGCTGTTGGGGCGCTTCGGTCCTTGTAATGTCTGTTTCATGTATGCACATGTAGGTACTCCACACAGACGTCAAGGCCGCCTTGTGCGGCCCCTTCCTGGTCCGCAAATCCCCGGACGAATGCCCAAGCAACCGGCTCCGGCTTGGTGGTCAGTTGAGATGATTGCGGGAAGCATCATGCAGTTGAGAGAGAGTTGATTACGCGGTGGACCGGAGCGACAGCCTTGCGAAGGCCGGCCTGAGAGAAGTCATTCGACCATCATTGAATGTTGAGATTGTCTGCCAATCTGTCTGTTTCTGACATCTGCATGCTTGTGTGGGCGGAGATGTCAGCCGCTTGCCTTGCCTTACCTGACGACATCTTGAAGCTGACACTTGTCATTGAACTCCAATTACCTTCTAGATTCTCTACCAGCCGTGCCAGTCGGTCCAGCCGCTGATAATGCCTCTCTGGGAGAGTGGCTTGCAGCAGCGTATGTTTTGGATTGCCTGTTGGAAGAGACTAGAGGCCTGGTACAACTGTCTAGGACAGCGTTACGCCTGCTGGCAGATTATTGACAAACACAGCAAGATAATCTTCTCTTTACTTATTCGTGACAGGGGAATCGGGAGGGCACCCGTGTTGCATGATCCAATTCTATGGGATTTGCCTGCTTTCACGCAGTCCTGTTGGAACGACGGATACGCTCACCGAATATGCAACCTTCCCGGGCAGCAACTGCTGGTGCGGAATTCCCGCACAGGAATGCAGTTTTAAATTGAGGCCGGGCGTAAGGCTGCAAAGGGCCTAATATAGATGACACTCTAAGTAAGCCGCCCACAGATCATCCTACATAACTTTCAGGATATGATTGGCAAGGATGGGGGGGCAAGGCAGAACACCTGGCTGTGAATATTCCGTGCGGCTGGCGGGATGATGCATGTCGACAAAGAGGCTATAAACAAGACCTTGCCCTACGAACGGGCCGCCAAGAGCCCAATCATCCTGAGAACAAATCGTTGACGACATCACCCAGGCAGCGAGTGGACAACACTGGTCTGCGATGCTTCCAGAAACGTCGATAAAGGTGGAGTTGCAATGATGCATCCACTCCTCATTGCTTCTGGGCACTAAAATCCGGTCTCTATTCAATCACATCCAGAACACCTGATACACTATGCCTGACGCCATCCGCCGATGAAAAGCAACAAGTGGCTTGTATTTCACAGAACGTGGAGAATCACTACTCCACGCCGTCCTCCGTCAACCCGGTATTGGCCACCACCTCCGGTTCATCAAGGTATACTGTAGACCTCGTTAGCCAGATGCCTAGGTCTTGAACTCACTGCATGGTGTGAACACTCACCATGTGGTCTTATAAACCAGCTAACCACAAACGCAACGCCAAAAGTAGCCGTCAAGCACACAAATACCGTCTGAGTGAATTTGCCCACCGTGACGCTGTATATCGCATTGAAAATTGTCGGCGCCACTACACGTGCCAGCGCGTGTAGCAGGCCCGAAGCACCCAACAGCTGTCCCGTCTTGTCTGCAGGCACGTGCTTCGTTAATGCCGCCTGCAATGTCGGACTGCCGATGCCTCCGACAGATGCGAGTGCTCCCGAAAGTATAAACAGCGGACCGGTGCGAGCCAGCGTGTACCCGAGATAGCCTAGCATGTCGAAGAAGACGGCAACGCGGATGACGGAGAGATCGAGCGTGTCTGAACCGGTATTTCTTTGCGCGCGCTTGCTGCTTGGTCCTCGCACCAACCGTGTAACTAGAGGTAGGATGACGAGCAGGCAGCAGACGCGACAGATGTTGACGATGGAGACGAAGATGCTGGATTCAAATGTGCCCCAGCCGAACTGGAAATTGGAATATATGACGACAACGGTCATCGAGCCCATGGCGACGCCGAAGACAATCGTATCTACTGATGCTAGCAAGAGGAGGTTGCGGCGTACGGCAGGACTTGAGCCCTCGCCAGTAGGGTAGAGGATCTTGAGAGGTTCGAGTAAGTTGAAAGACCGGATCTGATTGATCCAGTCCGATGCAGGTCCAGCCGCATCCTGCTCTGCTTTGTACTTTTCTCTCGCCGCCAGCTGTCGTGCTTTTGTCAAGGACTCCGGGATAATAAATGCCGCGAAGGATATGAAGAAGAGATGTGCCCCCAGCGCCACGTAAAAGATGGATAGGACTGAACCGGTCCACTTGATAATGTAGCCTGCAAGGATGGGACCTAACGCAATGCCAGAAAACAAACATCCATGGAAGTAACCAAAAGCTACATTTCGGCGCGATGGCGGGGTGCAGTCCGTCGCGTAAGAATGCGCAAGAGCCATGGCGGCAATGAAGGAGCCGCAAAGTCCATCAGTCGCATATCCAACCAGTATCCAGTTCACAGGGAAGGTGTCCGGGTATTTCGCGGCAAAGATCGTGATGATCTCTCCTGATAGCGTCCCCACCGTGGTGGCTAGGATAATCTTTGTACGGCCATATCGGTCTGATAGTGCGCCAAGCTTTGGCGAGGTGATTGCGGCCAAGATGCCCGATATAAGGTTTCCATATAAGGTGAATTGCGCAACGCGCGCTTGCACCTCCGGTATTCGACATTGAGGATTGTCTCCTCCAAATACGACGGGCATCATAGTGAAATCCGGGTCGGCCATGGACCTATCCGCAATATATTCTCGGCATATGAGAGATAATATCAGGTTGAGCTTCGGTACGATAATGCCGCCAAACGCGAGGGTGGAGATAAAGAACGGCGCGAGCATCCAATATATCTGTAGTCCGGACGGTCAGTAAACGTTGTTGCTGCCCGGAATGTGCTAGGGTCATCCTACCGATGGCCTCTTCCACCATGGCAGACCCTCAAAGTCTGCCTGCCCTGGCCATACTGAGCCGCTCCCTCCGCCATCTTTGCCATCTTGCGCCCCGGATGATCCATTCTCTTCCCCTAACAGCGGCGTCTCCTCCGTGATCGTTCGCGAACGTGTGATATGCGCCGGCGTAACACCCAACCCGAATCGCTTCGCCTGTCGTATCTCTTCCCCAGTCTGACTGATGTTGGGATTCCTGGTATTCTTCGAACTCAAGCCGGACTCCACCTGAGCCTCCGCCACGAATATCGCATCGTTCTCCGCCATGGTGAATTTGACGCCTCGTCCGCGCGAGAGGGAGCGGTCTTGAATGAAGTGCGGCGGTTATGGAGGTAATCGTAGGGGTATCACAGCGACTCGAGGACCAGGTCTGCCGTCGACGTGGTGGACAGCACTTGTAAGCAGATACAGAGAGCTCATCCTTTGATAATCGACATCTTGTTTCAAGGGTAGTGAAGGTTTATGATTGGTAGTTTCTGGTAGCGTGGAAATCAACGACGTAGGTGTTGCTTGTCAAGCTTTGGATTATCAATCCTTAGATCCGGCGCCGAGCCGTGAACGGTTTACGCCACAAAGTGGTCGAACAGGTTCCCGTCTGTCAGGACAGACGTTCTTCGAGAACAGAGCCACTTGATAAAGGCGTAGCATTGTTGCTGAGGCGCAGACGCTGACTGAACGTACTCTCACGCCTTGACACGACTTGGAATGTATGACGGAGTGGCGCCGCGAATCGGCATTTGCAAGGTTGCCAAGCACCGACCGCCAAGTTCATGATATAGAATCTTATTCCTTGCAGAAAAGATAACACCATAGTAGCATACAAAACTCAACTAAGTGCAATATTGATCCTCACGGCTTATCATCCTCAGTACGAATAGTCCGAGTAAGCATCATCTAAACAAACAACGCGAACTCCATAACAGGCCTTCTCAACTCTGTGTGGCGACAGTGAAAGTCATCACTGTACCTAATCTAGTAGCACCTCCGCCCATGTCCTCCATAGCTTTGCAAGCTGCCTCAGTAACAACCTGGGCTATGCTTGCTGAATTAGTGGACATACTGTTTGCATAGCTAGCTCTCTACATCGCGACTGGACCACCGTCAATGGTATCCATATCCTCGGAAGAATCCTCGTCCAAGTCCGAGCCGGACTCTAATGCTTGTACAGCGGCTTGCCTGGCAAGATCCGGCCAAATAGGATCCATGCACCCAACTAGGATAGCGTCTCCTTGACTAGGTTGAGTCTTGCGTTTGTTCGCACCCCTTCGAGCTTGATAATGCCAACTCAAGAGGCGAACCCGAATGAAATCTGCAACATTGTCTTGGAGGTCACAATTCAGCTTGCGTCGTCTCGTCCGTGAAGGTCTGTATGTTGTCTCAGCAGACCGCGTCTTCACAACGGCTTATCCAGATCTGTGTAGTACTCACCCATGCATCGGGTTTGCCGCTCCGTCATCCTCGGTTGTGCCGTCGGAATGGGTTTTGACTACCGTAATTCGTTTGAACCGAAGTCCACATGAAGCACTGTGTGGAATTCGGTCAGAAAAGGGGACATCTCTAAGACGAAAAACAATGTACACTGTCACGCACAAAGCCGAAGGAGACGGGGTGCAGTAGCTTACCAATGTACTTCAGTATCATGACCACCATCAGAGACTCGCTTACATCCTGGACATGATGTGGTTTCGGATGAATGGGGATCTTTTAGCTCCTCAAATAGCATAGTCATCTCTATCTTCTGCCCAGGAAGGAACGCCGCATCCCATTTTCTTGATCTGGTAATGTCTCGCCGGGTCGAGTGATCTTGGAGGACGTATTCGCTGTTGCGCACCTTTTCATAACCTCGGAAGTTTCGGAATCGATCCTCGAGGACGGCATCGAAGGCTTCCCACGAGCTGATGAACTGTAAATGAACGGGGAATATCCGTCCGATCGCGTCCTCGAGAATAAAAGGCTCTTGAATGAGACTCCGTTCCAGGTGACTTGGAAGTCCTTTCTGGATCTCCATGACAGCTTTGTATGTGGCCAGGTGGACGAACAAAACCTTCTGCCCAAGACTGATCAAGTCTGTGCCAATTTGCCTGAGCCGACCAAGCTGCAACAGCTCCGTCATCTTCGCCATAATAGCAGCAATAGATGAAGATACAAGATGATTGTTCTCTGTCAGCTTCGAGTCCAGCTCGGTAAGACGTTTGCTCTGCTCATCCAGTAGATCATTGGTCTCGTTCTGGTTGAGGTGTGCAAGATCCCTAGACCCACGTTAGAAGCTGTGGCAAGCACCGAGCCTATGCTTGAATCGCGAGACAACTATCATACATTCCAGCTGTAACCAGCAGCGTACTGATGAAGCTGTTGTGAGCTGCCACTTCCGCACGGAACTTTGTAAGTTCCTCCCTCTCTGACACTTGCCATCGCACCTTCGCGGCAACAGTGCTCACAGGGTTGGCTGGAATTCCGCTTCCTAGTGTCCGCGCGTATTTCTTCAGCTTGGCCGAGAATGCTGCAACGGATACCTGGCAGTTCTCTACAGCGTGCCGTGTGGTCTCGCATGTGGCGTTGAGCTCGGGAGTACTGCCAAATTTTCTGGAAGCTCTTTCCACCTCTAATAGCGTCCGTTCGAGCACCCAGAGTTCTCCTTTGACGGCTTTATATTCTGCGGAGGACCCGTGGCGTTTGTCTAGCGCCTCGACAAGGTCTTTGACAAGTAGGCATACCGCAATGATGTCGCCGACGGATCCGAATGTGACTGGCATGGCGGTAGAAGTTTGTTAGACCGAACAGACAAGCATAGACACTTGACGCGTGGAAGATGTTCAAAGAAACTGGTAAAAAAAAGTGCAAACGGGTCAGGCTGGTTTCGTTCTTCTCGAGCGGCGCAATGAAGCAACACAGCCCCCGCAGGGCTGATGCATGCATGCGTCGTGAGTGCCAGCGGCGTGATTTAAGCGCATCCAATGGCTCCTAGCCTAGAAGGCCTGTGGCAGTGCATCTATCTCACTGACCGAGTGAGGTTGACGAGGCCTCCAGATTTTGAGGAGCGCGTTAAGTGTTTGAAGATTACTGGTTCATGGCAGGTCAACCGCTGCAGACTCGGAAACCGACCTCAACCGCTCAGATCGGGGTGGGCAGTTTTCTACTAGAAGATATGAAGAACCAATTGCTACCAGATAGACCCAAAAGTGTGCAGCATAGCAACAAAACGCCTTACCTCTACGAACCGCATACAGGTTTAGTGCTGTAGGTGCTCGGTAAAGCCGTGGAATCATGGTAGCGATCGCGTGGAAGAGCGCAAAGCTTGACCCTCTTCACTCTCTAAGCACCGTAAGAATTGGCACAGCCTTAACCATAGCAAGTGCAGGTGTTTTGGTTCCACGAGGCGTGTGTCAGAAAACGCCTGAAGCTTACTCAAACAGTCTGTCGCCGCCTTTGATCTACCTAAGTAGACATAGACGTGATAACCAGAGTCAGTTGACAAAATCTGGGTCAAGGATGCCCTGGCTCATTGACGCACGGATTGCTCGTCCGTGGTTTGAGGCGGACAGTCGTCTACACCAGGCACTGCCAGGCAGTTAAGTGGTTGACGGGATGGGTGGTGGCTGCTAATCGGGCCAGAAGGGGTGTAGCGAGGTCCACCTCCGTAGTTCTATCGTTGATCGTCGACGCGTTGCTGACGCCAATCAGCATGCGCTCCGCACTCAATAGCGCCCAGTCATTGGCGGAGAGCAGAAAGAAGGCCGCGACCGGTGCTGGCATGAAGGAGTTCTCTAGGCCGGGAGAAGCAAGCATTTTTCAGATGCTGCAGGCCAAGCCGCATATACAGCTAGTCAGCGACTTCACCCAGACCGTGACCGTGCTTGCCCAGACGTTTGTGGCGGACCGTGAGATCGTGCATGAGTGCCTCTTGGCTTCATCACGAATGTGTACACCTAGGTACGTCGGTATCGCCTGGAAATAGGGTTTTGATATAAAGTGTTTCGTATCCATCCTCTCTTACATTTTTGAATTAATTAGTACAATTCAAATGTCCTTTGATAAGCTCCCCAACCTGCTACAACACCATTTCTGACGTTTCGTCTAAACGCTCTGCTAAAGCACAAGTCGATTGCAATAAGAATGGCCGTACTGCTTCCCCGTTCATTGTCCGGGGGCGACCTTATCAACCTTCTCGGTGTTATCTTCGCAGTCGCAATCGGATTACTCTCAATCATTATAGCTGTTGCTACCTGGCGTGCTTACCGTCACTCCTCACAAACACGACGTACAACGCTTTGTTCTTACAGCGTACCAGGTCAATGGCTAACATTCCCACTTAGATCATCAAGTAGACCTCGAGACAGGTCGACCATCAACACCAGCGCGTCCAACTAACCATCGTGGTATCTTCGATGCACCGCCCTGGCCTTATCCAAGGGTCCAATGTACCTTCGAGCTTTTAAACTTCAGCACCGCAGCAGCACACGGCTTTACTGATGCTGCCCACCGTCTAAGGGATGTACCACAGCGTGTAATCGGCGCCACTGAAGACCCTGTCACGTCAACTCTTGACCAGCAACCGCTCCTCGAGGCTCGGGCTTCCGACTCTTCGTCAGGGCCGTCCTCTCCTTGAGGATAGTTGATGAATTGAGCGCGTCTCGCACGCTACGTTCTCCCTGGTGGTCCCCATTCCTGTGCACAGGCAAAGCGGAGCCACTGACCGTACCCATCTATCTCTGTTTGTCGATCAGTGGACAGCTTCGCCTACCCGGACGGACTGCTCAGGCACCAGTGCGAAGTCCATAAGATGCATGTCGGCACGGACGAGGCTCTGTGCTGCCTAGCTGAGGAGCGCAAGTGAGGTGTCGCTCCATTACCGGACACCGAATCTTGCAAACATCCACCGGATCAGTTCGACAAGAGTAGTTGGTCCGCTCACAGTCAAGTCATGTTGACTCGCTAGAGCTATTGTACGGCTTAGGTTCGGTACAGGCTCAAGACGCGCAGGGTGTTCCAGTCAGCCGGCGCGGTGGCTTTCTGCGCAAGCACAGGAGTCGTTGACGACCTCCATCCTCTGACCCAGTCCCGAGTCCAAACGAAGGGTGTCGGCCACGAGCTATGATCATAGCCTGGATATTCTAGCAGCGGCAGCTCAGCGATCTCGACCAGGAGAAAGTGCAATGATTTCGCCTACATCGCCACTACGTCGCGCCAAAATAGCCAGCACCGCCTTTATGGCCAGCAAATCCGGCGCCAGGACGCCGCAGAAAACCACCTCCCAAACCCTCAACGCCAGCACCCCACCGAGAAGGGGAACAAGGAATACGTCTTCCTCACCTATTCTCAAACCACCCCTCCACCCTCTCCACCAGATCCGCCTTCTTCCCCGCAACCGGCAGATGCTTCCCACCCAACCAATCCTTCAACACGGGCACCGTCAACTTCCCCACCGCGCCCTTCTCAAAATTCCTCCTCATCTCCTCGTCACCAACACCCTCCGCGCCCTTCCCCTGTGCCACCGTCCTCACCTTCTTGCTCGGCGGACCCGCCTCCGGATCCACAGACACCCGCTTCGCCCCCGCACCCTGCTTGTTCCTTCTCTGCGACCCAACATGCGCCTGATACTCCTTCTCCAGCTCCGTGCCCCACTCAACCACATACCCGCCCGCCCTCTTATCGATCTGGCGATACTTGGGCACGGTCTTATCCTCCGGCATCTCCGGCAGCTCCTCCCTGAGCGCCAGCGCCTGCAGGATGCGGTAGAACCACTGCAGGGCCGGGTTCGGGTAGCGCGCGGGGTCGTAGACGGCCTTGGGGAGCTGGAGCTGCTGCATCACGGTGCGCATCAGGTCGATCAGCGTGTCGGGCGCGCGGACGAGGGTCGTTTCGGGGGTTTGGCGTATGTCGTCTGCGAAGGGGAGGGGGAGGATCCAGAGGCCCGGCGGCATGAGCTGGTCGCCGGAATCGGAAAGTTTCTCGCCGCCGGGGACCAGGGCCGCGAGGACGGGGGAGGCGTTGCGACGTGCGATGAACCAGGCTACGGCCATCTTGGAGTCGGCGAGCAGTTTCGCGTGCAGGGCGGCGAAGACGCGGGTTGAGCTGATGTAGTCGGTCTCGGTGGGGTACATGAACATGGGCGCGCGGGTGCTGGCCCAGATAGGCAGCATGCTCATGGGCTTGAAGCCGATGATTCGGATGACCGGGTCACCGAAGTGCCGGATGCTCGCAATCTCTTCTTTGGTGAAGGAGATGGTCTCGCCGCCGAAGCGATACGCCTTGCGGATCTCGGTCTTCTCGACCGCCCGCGCGGTGTCCTCTGCGATTTGCGTTGAGGAACCAACAGCGATTTGTGCGGTCTCGCCGGACAGCCAGACGTAGCAGCTTCGTACGGGCTCTTGCCGCTTGAGGAGGATGTAGCCTTTGACGGAGATTTTGAGACCGGGGCCGATTTCGAAGGGGAGCGAGAAGAGCGCGCGACGAGGTGCGGCTTTGGAGTGGATGGCTGAGAGGAGCGATTGGAGGAGTGTTATGCCGTCGCCGCTTGAGGAGGTTTTAGCGGCTTGGGTTAAGGGGGCGGGCGCATCGGGGTCGGAGGCTGTGGTGCGGTAGACGATGTCCTGGGAGTGATTAGTTAGTGTGGGGTGAGCCCAAGCTCAGTGCATACATCGTAGAACTTTGCCCGGTCGAAGCCATGACCGGGGCGTGAGATAGGGAAGAGTTCGATGATGACCCCAAGATCATACAGATCTCGTGCGCGAACCGCCGCCGCGGATCTCAGCGCTTTGTCGTTTGCGTGCGGGTTATCGTTGTCTGTGACTAGGAACAGCCGCCGCGATGAGAAGTTGGGAGCTTTTGTGGTGAAGATTTGGTTGGCGCAGAAGAGGACGTTGGCCATGGACACGGGCTCCTTTGAAGGCACCAAGAGCTTCTCCGCCTCTTCTTCGTCCTCGACTAGGTCCCTCAGCCGCTTGACATCTGTCGCTGAGGGAACGTCCAGGTCTGCTAGCAGGTAGCAGTGCGGATATGCGAGTCCTCCTCTGCTGTTCTCGTCTTCGCCCTGGAACTTTGATTTTTCAGTGCCAATAAGGAGTATGCCCATCATGTCGTTCGGATTCGAGATGATGCGCTGCTGCATTAGCTGGTAGGCGCATTTCAAGGCTGCTAACGTGGCAGAGTCGCGGTCGGCTTTCTTGTCGTCTGAAGGAGGTGGCCTCTCGAGCATGGAGCTGCTGACGTCGATGGCGAAGAGGACAGCATCTTTTACGGTCTTGTAGCCCTGAGATGAGTTAGGTGGGATGCGTGTGCGATCGGGTGGTGGAGCTTACGCTCTCGTCAATCTCCTCGTCTTCATCCTCATCATCATCCCTGCGCTTGTCCTTATCGTCGGAGTCTGCCATTGTTGTGTTGTCGTTAGGTGCATTCGGTAGTGATTGCGGGTTGAGGGAGCTTGACGCGGGGAGCTCAGGCAGACGCGCCTTTCTCCGCGATATCACGTGCTTGGACCTGAAAGTGGCTGAGAGTCATGGATGGTTTGATACGTCATGACCCCGATTGGCGCGGCTCTTCCCGCAGCTAGTCGATCGGCGCTCGATCGGGCTGTTGCTGACAGCTGCAGACAACCCAGACATCTCGCCGCAGCAGTCGCCGCTCACCACCACAGATTGATCATGTCTCTGCAATAATACCAATTTCACCCACACCACATCTCTCTATCCACATCCAGCAGCCGCCTCTCTCACACTCACAATGGCCCTCCGCCAGCCGCTCACCCAGCTCACCAAGCGCGCCACAACCTCGCAAATCTCCAAATTCGCCTCCACCCCCGTATCCTCGCTGTGGCTGTCTAAGCAGGAGAAGGGTCTTGCGACTGCCGTACCGCCTGTAACACAAGATGCCACATCCTCGAAGGGGCCCACGGCCATGGTCTTCATGAACATGGGCGGTCCCTCGACTACAGACGAAGTTGGGGACTTTCTCAGCAGGTTATTCGTATGTTCCGCTTTCCCGTCCCTCGTCCCGGGCCATACACGGTCGTTCCCCTTATCCAAACACTTGAATGTGCGCTAACTACCTCTTCAACAGGCTGACGCAGACCTCATCCCCCTCGGCCGCCTCCAGAACTACCTCGGCCCCCTAATCTCCCGCCGCCGCACGCCCAAAATCAAGAAGCAATACGCCGAGATCGGCGGCGGCAGTCCCATCCGCAAGTGGTCCGAACACCAATGCGAGGAGATGTGCAAGATCCTAGACAAGACCTCCCCTGAAACCGCACCCCACAAACCCTACCTCGCCTTCCGCTACGCGAACCCTTTGACCGAGGAGATGTACAACAAACTGCTGGCGGACGGCTTTGGTGGCGGGCGAGGCGGGCGCGCCGTAGCTTTCACCCAGTACCCCCAATACAGCTGCAGCACGACCGGCAGCAGCCTGAACGAGCTCTGGCGCTGGCGCAACAAGCTCGAGGGTCCCCGCGCCGGCGGCGTCGACCCGGCCGGCGCGATCCAGTGGAGCGTCATAGACCGGTGGCCCACACACGCGGGGCTCGTCGAAGCCTTTGCGCAGAACATCGAGAAGACGCTCGCGACCTACCCTGCCGAGCGCCGCGACAAAGTCGTGCTGCTCTTCAGCGCGCACTCGCTCCCCATGAGCGTCGTGAACCGCGGCGATCCCTACCCGGCCGAGGTGGCCGCGACGGTGTACGCCGTGGTGCAGCGGCTCGGGATGCGGAACCCGTACCGGCTGGTGTGGCAGAGCCAGGTCGGCCCCTCCGCGTGGCTGGGCGCGCAGACGAGCGATACGGTACACAACTACATCTCCCGCGGCCAGAAGGATCTAGCGCTCATCCCGATAGCGTTTACGAGCGACCATATCGAGACGCTGTATGAGCTGGACAAGGAGGTTATCGGTGAGACGGGGCTGGATAGCGTTAAGAGGGTGGAGAGTCTCAATGGGAGTAAGGTGTTCATTGAGGCGTTGGCGACGCTGGCCAAGGCGCATTTGGAGAGCGGCAGGGCGTGCAGCGCGCAGATGATGCTGAGGTGTCCGGGGTGTACGAGCGAGAGGTGTGCGGCCTCGAAGGAGTTTTTTGGGAGCCAGACGTGGGCGAGGGCGGATTCGGTCGTTGGTTAGTAGCTGCATGTTGCGAGCAACAAAGCGTATCCTGCGCGTCGCAGTCGGGATTTGAGGAGACTCGACGTGTTGGAGCATCACAGAAAATCACCTGTAGATAGACCCAAATGCCAACTTCCCCGGGCACGATGGCCAGCAGAACGACCAAGGGTTGTCCAAAAAGACTGTTGCCGTGTTGTGGCCGCGACCGGTCTCAAGACCAAGGCACGACTGAGCTGGACTTGGAACCCTTTTCAGGGTCAGAGAACCAGACCGGTTCTACGCGGTAGAGACTGCAAGGTGTTCAGTGGAGAATTCTCACGCATCGACCACCTGAGCCCTTTGGTAAGCGAGGAACTGCGTTTGGACCATCCTCCATGATGTTCACGAGTAGCTCTCTATGCAGCAACTGAAACTTATCTAGTTACACTTCCCACTTCAGCTACCTCCCCCTCCTCCCACCAGAAACCTCCCCGGCACACCCCCCGCCGCCCTGCCCCACCCCTCTCCCACCTTCGGTCCCGCGAAGCATTCAGCCCGCTTACTCCACACGCAGCTCCCGCCAACCAGCCGCCGGATAAACCTGTAAGCCCCGACATCCACAAACGCCAACCCGGTCCCCGGATCCCGATATCTAGCCGGGCGCGCCGTAATCGCACACACCGCCGGCGCGGTCTTCGGCCCCAGCTTCGTGCGCTGCCACTCGAACAAGGCACGACATAAAGCGTCCTTGTCGCGCGGCTTGAGGTCGTCGTAGCCGTGCAGGGTTATGAGGTTGCGGGTCGCGCGCTCGATGAGCTTTCGAGGCGGTGGGGGCGGGGGTGGAGTGACGTGGACTGGATGGTGGGATGGTGCAAGGGGCGCGTAGAGGGGTTGATGGTAGGGGTGAGGATGGAGGGCTTGTTGGCGCAGTTGGTCGGGGAGGGAGGCGTAGTAGTGGATTCCGTCGAGGAAGCCGGCGGGGCCTTGGGGCGGCGCGAACATTATTGAGTTGGGGTAGGCGAGGGGGTGGAGGGGTCGTGGAGGCGTTGGCAAAGGGGGTGCGGTAGGGAGCAGAGAGGCCGGTTGGGTTGTGTTGGACGGTTCGTGTGTAGCTGATACGGTGGGATCCGTCGGAGCCGCAGCGCTTCCGGATGTGCCCTTCTCCACGCCTTGCGCCGCGGACTCGTCCGTCTCCTCGATCTTGGCCCCCTTGCCAACATGCTTGAGCTTGCCGTTCACCCAAACCGCAGGACCGCTGTAGAACCGAATGAACGGCCCCTCCATTTTGCGATTCTTCAGCGCCTCCAGCTTGGCCCTCTGCTCCTCTTCCCGCTTCTTCTCCGCCGCCTCCCACCGATTCAAGCTCTTGCTGTTCTGCTTTTCCACCCTCGCCGCCTCGGCCAGCCGGTCCGCCTGCGTCATGGCTTTCGGTGCATTTTGCTCTTTCCGCTTCGCAGCAGCTTCCATAACCATGAGCGTCTTTAGCCGATGCTCCTCTTTCTCCTTCAGCCGATTGTGCGTCTCCTCCTTGTTCTGCACCGCCAGCCTCCGCGATGAGGCCCTGACGGCCGCAGCTTCGCCCGGCGCGGGGAGGTACGACACCCTCTCGGACTTCTTACGCGGCCGCAGGGCAGGCGCGGGCATTGTGGACGTCTGTGTCTCCGCAGCCGCCATCGGGTCAATCTTGACTCGCTTCCGCATCCCCAATCCTCCCTGCTTGAACGGCGCATGTCTCGCCTTCCGCTTTGCCGCCTTCTCCACCCGCTCCTGCCTCACCAGCGCCTTCTCGCCCGCCTCCTCGTCCTCCTCCCCAGCGTCCCCTTCGTCTCCGCTCGACGAGGACAGCGAGACGTCGTCTTTGTCCTCGGCGTCTGAGCCTCCGAAGTCCTCGTCTTCGGCGAGCTCGGCGAAGACTTCTTTGGCCTCGGCGTCTTCTTCTTGGACTTCTTGCTCTTGGCGGGCGCCTTCGATTAGCTGGCGCATGCGGTTGCCGGCGTTGGCGCGGCGGGCGCGGCCGGAGACGAGGGAGGGCACGGAGGGAGCGTCATCTTCGGAGGGCGCGGAGGCCATGGCTAAGGTGTGGGAGAGGCCAGTACTGTTGCGATCGTGAAGGCGAGGCGGGCGACACGCGGTGAACACAACGGAAAGAGGATGGTGAGTCAGCTGGCCAATATTGGGGATCTTCGGAAGTTCGAAAGGTGGGGCTTCTGTTTGATTAGTGGTGCGAGTGATGTACACGTATTAAGCCGCTGTCATCGAGTATCTGTAGGGTAGGTCTGTAGCGGGGTGAGAAATGTAGAAAAGAGCGTGTCAGATACGAGATGTCCACGTGATCTGGCGTGCGGGAGCGGGCCGGTAAGAGCATTGCGGGCAGGGATTCATGATTTAGACTGTTGGAGTCCACCTGCACTCGATGCGCGTCTGTAGCGGCCGTCACCAAGCTTCAAGCTCTCCTCTGGCGTGAGATACTGAGAGAGAGAGGTGATGGGCGCCCAGTGAGTGTGCAAATGCGCTGCAGATGCTGAGCATGATCCAAGTGACAGAGTGCCTACCGGTCGCTGCTGCTTCCCGGTCACGTGTTGCGGTACCTCAACTTTCAGATAGGGATCACAACTCTTGCATGCCCTACCACGACAGGCATAAACGTTGGATGTCGTGGTACGGAGGCACGCCGTGCCTGGATGCAAGCGCCATGTGAAAAGCAGACGGTCGTGGGCTGTTTCAGGTTGTGACTGATGCCGGGAACAAGCCCATCTCGGGACCAGTAGCGGTGCGAGTCGTCAGCCCTGCCGTCAATGAGGCAGCCCGCCAGCGAAAGGGAGTCGAGTGCGGGCCTGCACCAGAAGGGAGCACGCAGGAGGCGGACGCGGGAGTCGCTGTGATTAATTGCCAGACATTGCTAGGCCACTCACAGATCGAAAATGTTTATGTGATCATCACAGCTGCCCACTGCCCAGGTGTTTGGCCATCCCCAGTGTTCGTCAGGTCCTCCACAAACCCGCCCTGCGCCATCCTCCGTTCGCTCGATTAGGATCGGCTCCCCTTCAATCTTCAAACGTCTCCTTCACCTGCTCCCTCCCTCCCTCCCTCTGCACCTCTCTCCCGCACCGGCCTCCGCATTTGCAGCGCACTCTCTTCGCATACATCCTTCCTGTCGTAATCTTCGCTCCCTTCTCCAGGTCCACCACCTAGCAAGGCCTGTTTATTCCCCGCAACGGCCGTGTACCATACTCCCAGGCCCCGGAACCCATCACCGCGTTTGCGTGCCCACCATACGACCTTTGTTCGTCGCATACAACCCACTCCTTGGACATACCCTAAGCACGAACTGCCGTGCCTCGATTCAGCAGCTGGCTCTCCACGAGAAGCCGTTACCGAGCTTTGCGACCCGTAACTCATAATCGACCTTCACCTCTCGAGAGAGCCCACACCACCGCCCATCCGAGAGCAGTTAATAGTGGAGAGTGTCTTCAGCGGATAGCTTCGCATGCAACCGATCCGTACAACGCGTGTCTTTCGCCAACTACCAGCTAAAACCCTACGTCAGCGGGCCTGTGACGATTAGGAATTCATTCATCTGTACATTCAAGACGAACATCTAGACCTCATCTCTACTACGACATCGCCGCGTCCCGTCATTCACACATACCCCCGTGTTCCTACTCCCCTCGGCCGGTCCCGGTGACCTCCTCAGTTGACCCCGGTTTTGGCAAACGGAGGCCACTGCTTGCTGTACCCTAGGACTCGGAAGTATTGTGGAAGAGGCTAGATCTATAATACATAATGGGTTCCTCGCGACCAGAACACCACATCAACCTCAACTACCTTCCCCAGCTTGTTCCGCCAGGCCAGCGGTCCGGCTCCTCAACCGCAGCCACATCACCGATTGAGCCTCCCTCCAGCAATACTAATAGATACCCTCTGGGAAGCGGTAATGGCGTCGGCAATATCGGTCCTGCCGCTGTTGGAAGCAGGTTGGGCACCGGGTCTCCCTCACATGAGTTCGGTGGTAGCAGACTGTTCTCCAAGCGGTAGGCATAAAATAGAGTTTCGCTACGAGTCGCTTGCTAAAGTTTATCCTACAGGGCTCGCGAGATTCAAGCGCAGGAGGGCCTTGCGCCCCAAGTATGGGGACCACCGACCAGTGGCAATTCCACGCCGCTGCGGGAAACCATACCGGAATCGCCGAATGGCGACAGCTTTCCCGACTTCAACATTCCCGTGACTGAACCTCCAGTAAGCCAAGCTTCGACAAGGAGAGCTCGAGCTGGGACATTGCCCTCGAGGTTTTCCCCAGCCAGCGCATCCAACCCTTCGAGCTCCCAGCCCTCGCTGCTCCCTAAGACTTCTCGCCCAACCCCGTCTACCAGCCCGTTCAAACCAGGCTCCCATACGCCGACTGAACCACCACTCTATCCGACCAACAGTACCTCGATGGCGGCCAAAGCAGCCTTGTTGTCACGTCTCCGTGCCGGATCCATGCCGCAGCGCGCAAGTTACTTATCCTCTTCCTCTAGTCCGTTCGGTTCCTCGGTCTTCTCTTCCAGCTGGACAAGCGGACGCGACCGCGGTAGCACTTTGGCTAGCATTCAATCCTCCAACGGCCCATCCTCGCCAGCGCAGTCCTCGTTCTCACGTGATTCCCTGGCTGACACGGACGTGAGAACTTTGGATTATTTGGGATTAGTTGACACTCCGCAGCAGCCGAGAGCTACGCTCGCGCCATCTGATATCGAACTGATCCTGGAGAGCCAGAGGCAGGTTGCTTTACAAACTGGAAACATTGCAGATCTAGCTGCCCTGGCCAGGAATGCTAATCGATTCCGATCGTACTCTGTTAATGCCAAGGAGAAGTACGCTGCGGAGGACGAGGATGAACTGGCTTATCTGAGAGGGTATCCTGGCAATTACAGCGGCTCATTGACTCCAACTACCGAAGGAAACCCTGCCGCCTATGCGATCCACGAAGCTGTACGGCAGCACAATATGGAGGTCCAAGCATTTGCAAACTTTGCGAGCGCTAATCGACCTCGAGCACGCACAGCAGGCGTCTTGGACTCCCCCTCTACTCGGCTGTTGCGAAACTACCTTCCCACTCCGTCTAGGCTTGACACGAGCATTACCGCCTCGGAGATGCCGCTGACGGAAGAGGCCGAGTATAGTGGTCTTGCTGAGGCTGTTCAGGGCTTGCAGCTTAACGGGAAACCCACCGAAGCACCTGGAGAGGACAACACCCTAGAAGGACCGACAAGAGCGCTTTGGCTTGGCAACATACCTTCATCAACAACGGTCTCTTCGCTGAACGTCATCTTCAACAATTTCGGTCCTATCGAATCTGCTCGGGTCTTGACGCACAAGAACTGTGGGTTTGTCAACTTCGAGAATCTGGACAGCGCTGTAAGAGCCAAATCCCAGCTGAACGGCAAGGAAATTTTTCCAGGGGCTGGGCCTGTTCGGATTGGCTATGCGAAGGTGCCGAGCGCAACTGCTACCCCTGGTAACAACGGCATCTATCCCTCACCGAGTCCTGACCCCACTGTGAAAAGAGCCGTCGAAGCTACCGCACCGGATGCGATAAACGGTGCTGCAGCATTTCGTCCACCACCAGGTCCACGAGCTGAGGCGGCGCCTCCTGCACTGACCACTCCGAAGCTCCAGGATTTACGGAATGACGTTGTGCAGATAGTGAAAGAACTTGGCGCCAGCGACGAGGAGCAGATGCGGATTGCGACGAGTGTTGAGCAAGCAATCAAGCACGACCAGTACGAAATGGAGATTCCTACCATCCAGGAGCCAAACCACAACCGCATGCACGATGCGCCCAGGCTTCGTGAGATACGCAAGCGCATCGACAACAACACCTGCACGGTAGCCGAGATTGAGGACGTCGCCATGGGCATGCTGCCTGAGATTGCTGAGCTCTCGTCCGACTATCTGGGCAATACCGTGGTGCAGAAGATGTTCGAGTACTGCTCTGAGAACGTTAAGGAGGCCATGCTGAGCGAGATCGCGCCACATCTGGCAGAGATTGGTGTTCACAAGAACGGCACCTGGGCAGCGCAGAAGATCATCGACGTGGCCCGAACTCCGACAACGATACGGATGATTGTTACCGCCTTGCAGCCGTATAGTGTGGCGTTGTTCTTGGACCAGTTCGGCAATTATGTCATGCAAGGCTGCCTGCGCTACCAGTATCCGCTGAACAACTTCATCTTCGAGGTGATGCTCAATCGGCTGTGGGAGCTTGCGCAGGGAAGATTCGGGGCCAGGGCTATGCGCGCCTGCCTTGAGAGCCATTACGCCACAAAGGACCAGCAAAGAATGGTCGCAGCAGTGATCGCGCTTCACAGCGTGCAGCTGGCTACCAATGCGAACGGTGCACTGCTTCTGACCTGGTTCCTCGACACTTGCACCTTCCCGCACAGGCGGACAGTCCTCGCACCGCGATTGGTCCCGCATCTCGTCCACCTGTGCACGCATAAGGTCGCGTACCTGACGGTGCTGAAGATCATCAACCAGCGCAACGAGCCCGAGGCGCGCGACGCCATCCTCCAAGCTCTCTTCTTCTCGCCAAACGACCGCGTCCTAGAAGGAATCCTGAGCGACCAGTCATGTGGCGCCACCCTCATCTTCAAGGTCCTAACAACCCCCTTCTTCGACGAGAAGATCCGCCCTGACGTCGTCCAAAACGTCCGCAACGTCCTGCTCCGCATCAAAGCCCAACCCGCCCAAGGCTACAAGCGCCTCATGGACGAAGTCGGGCTCTCGACCCGCGGAGGCCTTGGCGGGCGCGACGTCCACAGCGGCCGCGACATGGAGGGTTCCAGGCCAGGCTCAAAGCAAGGCGCCCCGAACGGCATGCTCCCGCCCGGCATCGACGGCAGTCAGCTGCCCAGACCCCCCTTCTACCCGGGCATGCCGCAAGCAGCGTTCGACCCCACCGCAAGCCTCCAGCGCACCGCAAGCGTCGACTCGAACGGCTTCGAGCCCTTCCACCAGCTCAACGGCCTCAACACCCAGGTCTTCACCCCGAACCTAAACGTGAACGCGCCCCTCACGCCCGTCACGGCCCAGCAGCTACAGTACCAACAGGCGATGCTGCAGGCCGCGTCCGCAGGCCGCCCGCCTGCCAGCTTCTACCCGAGCCCGATCAGCGCTGGGTATCCGAGCCCGGCTGGCCCACCGCCGCCGGGCATGGAGGCGTATAGGAATGTAGCGGGCGGCCCTCCGCTGGCGGCGCAGGTGGGCGGCATGCAGGTGCCGCAGAATGGGTTCGCGCAGGCGGGGGGCTACACGATGGGCGTGGGCGTGCCGCCGGGGATGTATCAGTATCCGATGCAGTATATGCAGCCGTTGCCGCAGGCGCAGGGGCAGGGTGTGCAGGGGGCGGGTGGGCGGAGAGGGAGGGTGAGTTGACCCGATCTGACGAAACGGCTTTGTAGAAGTGGAGACTGACGTCGTTGCAGCGATGATCCGACCCTTTGGGTCGGCCCTTCCTTGGCTGTACACTCGCATCTCAGTTGCTCTAGGCTGGACACCTTCACAGCATCTACGTCGGCGTTCGCAGGGTTCATTGGTGAGTGGCAAGGGGGCCTCGTCACTATGCCAAACGTACATCTTTTGTTTGACTTCACGACCACGAAAGCGCGGGCGCACTGATGCGCTTGCTTCCGGCATGTCGACATGCCCGCTTGACTTGCGTTGGCTTCTACATACGGAGCTGCTTGTACTTTGGCTGCCCCCTCGGGGAGACTCTGGATGGATGAGCCTGAGGCCGCATGCACCGGCTTCTCGTTCGGGAGGCGTGATGTATTTCGTGTTTTTACTATATTTTCCTCCTCCAGCCGGCGGCCTGACAGCGGGGGTGGATGTTCGTGTGTTGAGTAGACTTACAAACGCACGGTTTGGCACTCACATATAGCGCTTGAAAAGATCTGTGGCATCGACTTTTCGCAAAAGGGAGAACGGGTTCCGGTTTGGGCTGCTATGACTTGGGCTTGGGAGAACATGTAACTAGGATCTAGGGCGTAAAATCAAAACAGTGAATCTGAACTGGTCGTTTGAGAAGAAATCGTCACCGTGGCTGTCTTGCTGATAAAAGCCATCTCTTGCAACCGATACTTTACGCCCCGCTACCTCCGCATGAGCCCATAAAGTGTGACACTCGCCCACCCCACACATTGACCACAACACGGGGTTCCCTTTCCATTCCGGAATCATTGCGCGCATGGAGTTCTTTCCTCGGGCCTGGCAGGCCCCCAGCCCGCCTTGCACTTTGCCTCACTCCTCCACTTCCGCCCCCGCCTTCCCGCCGTTCCCGTACGGATCAGATGCCTCATTAAATGAACCCCACGAAAAGCACAGTCCCCTCCAATCCCCACATACATCTCTGATCACGTCTCCAGCTACACGTCCGCGTTCGGCGGCCTGACCTCGATCCTCTCGACCTCAGCCTTCGCCTCCTCCCACGCGGCCTGGCTGCGCTTGGCCCAGTCGATGTGGCAGCGTGCGAAGGCAAGCTTGGAGAATCGGTCAGTGTGTATTCATGAGCGGATTTAGAAGAAGTGGTTAGGAGACGGGGAAGCAGGGAAAAGCGAGAGCGGAAGGGTGGAGTTTCTACCATGTAGCGATTTAGATCCTCCTCCTTCTCCGCCTGGAAGCGTTTCATATCCTTCAGGACCCCGGCGCTGGCGTCTTTGACGTCCTTCTCGGCGACTGAGAGGGCTTGTTGGAGCTATCGCGGTCGTCAGCACTCGTGCAACAAACCCCACATTAAACACCTGAGGAGAAAAACTCACGTGCTCCAGACTCTCCTTGGTCTTCCCGATCTGGTCCCGTCGCGTCCTCTCGGGATCAACGTCCACGATGCCGTGAATCGCGTGATTGATCCGCCCTAGAATCTTGTTCGTCACAAAGCCCCCGCTCTGCGCGCGCTTGTGCGCTTCCTGCCTCCCCTGTTGCTCCTCCTGCTGTGGTCTCCCTTGCTGCGCGCTAGGAGGCTGCCCAGCGTCTCCATGCGTAGGCGGGAAATCGCTGTCGATGGAGACTGTGTCTTCTTCCCGTCTTGTCTGCGCGGACCGCTGCTGTTCGCTGCTGGTCCGGGACCCTGAGGAGGTGCTGCGCTTCGGCACACCAGAGGACTGTGGAGAGGTCGGTTGACCAGACGACGAGAGGTACTGCTCAATCCTCTTCGCCTCCATCTCACTCCTCTCAAGGCTCTCAAGCAGCGTCTTCTTCTTCTCGAGCTCATCCCGCGTCATCTCTTCCTGCACGCGCTTGAGCACCCGGTACCGCAGCACGCTTCTTACCACGCCCGCGAACTGCGCGCTCTCGCGCATCGGCTCCGCGAAGGACGCGCTGAGGCTGGAGGATAGCTCCGCCGTCGCGATGTATGTGCTGTCGACCGCCTGGCCTGTCTTCTCGATCGCGGCGGCGAGCGTGGGGGATTGCTCCGAGAGCGAGAAGGCGTTGTAGCGAGCGCCTAGCTCGGCCATGTCGTCTGCCCAGGATGAGAGGTGGCTGAGCGTTCGTCGGTTTGTTTTCTCCATGCTGCCTTGGAGGAGCGTCTCGAGCTCTTTAGAGGAGGCTTCGAAGGCGACGAAGTAGGGGTCTAGGTCTTCCTCGGAGAGATTGTGCGAGTCGGGCGGGAAGCGGCCGAAAACTTGGGGGCCGGGGATGGTGTGTGCGGCGGCGGAGGGGTAGGCGGAGTGCGGGGGTGGAGCTGTCGGTGTGCCGCTAGAGGAGGTTCCGGACGTCGACTTGAGCTTGGCTGAGGACGAAGGCATAGGGAGGAAGGCGTGGGCGGGTGTTGGGTTTGCGGTATCTAGTGGTGGCGCTTTGAGGACTTGCTTGGGTATTGAGCTCACGGGGTGCGAGTGGAGGACTTCGCTCTGTTGTAGGTGCGGTTCATTAGCAGGGCTCGGTCAATTGGAGGCTACCACAATCGTACCCAGCTTGCGTTCGGATCGAGGAACCTCCACCAGACGCCGTCTTCCCGCACCTCCTTCATCTTCCGACATCGGTTCAGGAAGACGGCCAACATCCGCTTGCGCAGCTCTATTATGCCAGCATCTTCCTTTGCCTTTGTCGGCTTAGCGGCGTAGTCCGCCATGGAATGCTTCTCTGGTATCGGTGGGATGATCAAAGTAGGATGGAGGTTCACTAGCGTCTGCCGTAGTGACGCGAACTCGGAGTACCGCCGGCGAACTTCGAGATCCTAGAAGAAGTTCAGTACGGTTGTGCGGAGGTTGCTGCAGTTCTTCGTACGCCTGTTCTGATCGTATAGGCAATATAGCTGCCCCCGCTCTCTGCATTCTTTCCTGCGTGTGTGATGAGGATGGGGAGGTCTGGATTCTCGTAGAGTATCTGCTGGATCCGGCTGTCGTAGCCTCCCTTCTTCGGCTCGACCTGTCTGACTCGGGGTTGCTCATCGTCGTACTCCACGTCGCTGAGGTCTCGAGGCTGTGATATGAACTCTGGCGAATCATCGCGTGGAGAGGAGCTTCCGGATGGCGGAGTTTGTGGGCGATGGAACCCTACTACACGCGGCGACTGTATCAGCTCTATTCTAGCTTGCCGGTGCGAGGATGCTGAAGTACATACATCCGCCAGGTGAGCTTGGGCGGTTTGGATCCGAGGACGTTGAGTCGCGGCGGTCAAAGGACCCGTAGGGGTTGTTGTCCTCGTCATCCCACATGTTGAAGCCCTATGGAAGACAAGCTGTGCCTAAGTCTGGTTGACGGTGGCTGATCTGGCTTTCATGTGCGGCCTTCAATGCAGCGCGCGTTCATCTGCGTAGGGGCTTGGCGGCGGGACTGATGCAGCGGAACTTCCCTCTGGCGATGACGCTGCTGTTCCGCTCGGCCAGAGCTCCCGGCCATCTTCCACCCCACTCATACGCTGGATTCGGCTTGACCTAGGCATTTGTGCGCTGCAGTTGGGGGACGCTGCGGAAGACAGTGGCATGCAGGAAAATGCTCGTAATGCGTGTTTTGCACCTTCGCCATGTCACAGTTGCAACGATATCTACCGCCAGAGGAATTTTTGAACAAGGCGCGATCGTGTGTTCTTCTAGGTAACATTAGTGGACACCGTCACGGGTCAGGTAGCTCCGGCAAGTGGTCTGGGGAGCAGCTGCAGTTTTTGAGATTCTGGTCATTTAGAATTCTTGAGGTCGATACAGTATGCTATTCGCTCTCTCGCATAATTTAGAGCGACCTAAGCTATGAGGCGACTTTGGTAGCTACGTCTCTGTTGTCCGTTCCCCACATTCCTTCGTCGATACCTCTTTGCTTGAAGTCTTGTAATCTTCTAGTTGCTGTGCCTGATCTGTACGAGATCTCTTCTGTGTCTCAGTTGATTTGAGACGGCTATCCACACTTGCAGTCGGCTTCAGCGTCCGGAGTTGCGATAAGCTGTGAGGATGCATCACTACCTCCAGCCTCTTCGTTCTCAGGAACGGCAGCGTACGTTCTCATCGGATTACGGGAGGTCAGCGTGCCTGCGCTGAACGTGCCATGATAGTGTGGACAGTACCTCAGACCTTTCAGGTAGGTCCCGATGATCGAGCGGAGAACGAAAAAGAAATAAATGCCGCTGTTGGTGTAGTATCTCAGAAGCCTCCTTCTAGGAGCCACCAGTCCTCCATCACAGTGTGTCCAGACTCACCAGCTGACCACACAGTTCCGCAAGCAATGCGGCATGCTCATGTCCGTCGATCTTTTGGATGCGCACTGGCGAGATGTTCGAACTGACATGACGTCGAAAGTGTTTGAAGGAAGACGTGTCACTAACTCTGGCGACGCAGAGCCCGGTTGGTAGACGGTTTGATACAGGTTCATCAAGTTGAATACAGCACGGTATTGGAAAAGCTAAGGAATGACTTTTCCTGTCATCAATATATTGCTAAGGGATACAACAGGCTCAAGCCGCTTAAACAATACCGAACACCGCCTTCATGATGCCTCTATCTGTCCAATGGAACTTCTTTTGGGTGGCTCAAACCTTCGCGAGAGCCTATGAGGAGGAGTAGAAATGTGCTTCAAGGGAAAGCAGTGCGAGACACAACAGTATGATCTAAAGAGGCTTTGTCAGCTTACTGCCGGACTATTGCGCATCGAAGGGAGAAGAGCTCCGGGCAAGGTTCTGCCTACTTCCGATGTGCACCTCAGGAATCTCCTCTGTGTCGTTGTGCTTCGGAACCGCAACTGCGGGCAAGGCTTGTCCAGGCGAGCGTAGGAGGGCCATGACAATGCCTGCTTCTTCGTCATCTGTATTTCAGGAAATGTATGTAAGTCTCTAATGCCTGTGTCCACGGATCAGGATGCTAAGGGATACGTACGGTGGGTATGCTGTGCGTACTTCCTCATCTCTCGGATCTTGCTCCGGACGTAGATTGTGGTTTGATAAACAGCAACAGCTGCCGGTACGGCACCGATGACACCGAAAACGATTGCAATGGTTTGATCCGATGATAGAGGCATTGTGCTTCGTCCAAGAGGTTTAGAGGATAGGTCGTTGGAGATGCTAGTGTATTCAAGAGACTAGATAGAAGAAGTTGATGAATGCGATAGGAGGATCAAACTTCGAGAGAAGTAGACATATATGGGAGCAAGACTCTGCAATAGGCCAATCAGACGTGTTCATCATGGTCCCGTCCGCATGGGTGCTCTCCTGACGTTCTGTAGGCACGACTCTGGTGTCAGCCAATGAGAAGAGAGTGTAAAACTTGGTGCTGAGCCTTTGCCTCCTTCACGGCAACGTCTTGCATAATGAAACAGCAGCAATGACCATGCTTCCAACTGTTACGATAAATAACCTGCTGTTCTCCTATAGCGGTATCACAAACCCACAGAGCATCATTCTGCTTGGTATGGGCGAGGTCATCTTTGCAATTGCTCTGTGCTGTGCGTGCTTCATCCCGATAGTCTTGTGTGAAACAGAGATCTGTTCGCAGATAAACAGCTGCTTGTGACTAAGTGCACTACATGACACCTGCAGCAGGAGCCCGGCAGCGCCGGAAAGCTGTTATGGAGTTTGGTCTTTGCGGAGGCTTCCAAGATGAGTCCCTCTATCATTAGCGTGGCGCCTTAGGCTTCACATATTCTGGGCTCGACCAATTACAATTAGGATGTTCCTGCCAAGCCAGGGTCTTCCACCGGCTGCCGCCCGCCAACCAAGATACCAGAAGTCGTGGCAGCGTTCAAGGCTCAGTGCACTTAGACGTTGCCGCATCTCTGCCGCATTTTAGTAGGAAAGGATGCGGCAATGGCTGAGTGCACCGAGCCTTGATTCTAGCTAAGCGAAAAACTCCGTGTTGCAGCCTGCCTTCTTCGTTTGCTCATGTTCTCTTTCCTCACAACTCCCATCATTTCAAGTGACAGCATGGAAGAACAGTGGCAGGCTCATCGTGACGAGTTAAGGAAACTATATCTCATAGAGAATTGGACCGTCCCGAAGATCAAGTTGTACATGGCGGCAAAGTACAACTTCACACCCAGGTAGGTGAAGTCATGAGCATCATTATTTCAATAAATTGACAACCTACTAGCAAAACACAATACGATTCACAGTTTCAGAAATGGAACTTTCGAAAAAACATTACGGCCGAGGCATGGAAATGGGTCGAGCGTGTTACAAGAAAGCGCAGAGCCGAGGACGGGAAAGAAAGCGAGCTCTGGGTAGATGAAATCCGCCAATGTAGAAAAAAAGTCAAAAAGGAAACCCGTCGGCATGCGCCAAACACGTGGGAAAGGCTTTGCGAGACAGGTTAGCATGGATATTCGCTGAGTTCCGGGACTGTTAACTTACACATCCTCCTTCTAGCATCAAGTGTACCAGCTCCACCAGGATTTGAACTGAGAACGCCACCACCCCAGAGTCCACCACTGGACGCTACTATAGGCGTGTTTGGAAGCCTTTCTCTAAACGGAAACGCATCCTCAACAGCCTTTGAGCAGCGGGAGTCCAGGAACGAACAGTCGACGGCACCCCAAGATAAATTCGTACCAACAGCTGTTCTCAGTGACTTGAGCAACAGACCGAGTCAAGCTTTGGCCACGGAACGGACACTCGAGGACGATGATGGTTAGACATGGTCTTCCTTTGAAGGTTTCAATAAAGTAACTTATATTCACAGCACCCATTCCGCCAGCCGTATTAAAATCAGCCTTCAGGAATTTGATAGCAGCAGAGCAACCAGCCTACTTCGATACCGCAAATCCAGGCGACTCAATTACAGACAGCCTTTCCTTGACCAAGAATAGAGCCCTGGCCGCTTCGGAGCAACCAGTGTCTGAGTTCATCTTACGACAAACACTACAAACCGGATCAAAACCAACAGCAGCCCCTCAGGACCTGGAACGTAGTGTAAACGAACCCTCACACATTACTCAGGTCAGCTTTGCTATGCCAGCTACGCTTTCCGGTTACTTAAACATGCTGAATGACCCATTTCTTCTATCTCTCGTTACGAATTGTTTATCAGATGTTGAAGTTGAGCAGCCCGACGCAAACATCAATTCGTGCGGCGAGCGTAACATTCCCCGTTCACATCGTTCGCTTAGCTGGCGCACTCCTTCCTTCAAGAGTTTTGCTTACGGTTCAACTCTCGTTGCAAGCGACGACAAGTCTTCCCGGCCAGACTGGTCTGCCGGTTCCTGGAGACAATATCTGCGGCTCGGAAGCAGCGTCACAAATTCCGGTCCTTGTCTAGAGCTAAGTAACGCTCACCTCCCAACTCTTGTTTCGGAAGAGCAAAGAGTACATGAGACCGCAGAGGGGAGGCAGATACAGCTGTTAGGGGCGGCAGCGACAGGAAATGAGGCGGTGGTCAAGCTGCTGCTGGCGCATCCCGATATCGACGTGAACTCGAAGGACCAAGATGGAGAGACGCCACTGTGGAGGGCGGCAGCGGAAGGGCGTGAGGCGATGGTCAGGCTGCTGCTGGCGCAGCCCGATATCGACGTGAATTCGAAGAACAACTATGGACTGACACCGCTG